TAAAAAATTGGTTGTCTATAAAGTCGGTATTTTGTGGAAGAGAGATAGATGCGGCAGAAGCCGAATGCTCAAGCTGATCGTGCCTTTCGCTCGCTCGTGCAGCGCACTCGCTCCGATCGTAACGTTACAATGAGCGTAACGTCACAATTAGTCATCCTTTTTCGTGCGTGCATCCGGCGTCTATCGATTTATTAGACGTGGTCACGTCAAAAAATAAATAAAACGAAACTTTTCTTACTATTATCTTTGTTTCACTTCATATTTTTTAAAGTTTTGATGCAAAATCTATTTTGTAATTTTCTTTCAGTTAAGTCGCTTAGTTCTTAAAGTTTAAATGGGTTTTTAACTACTTAACCAAAGACAACTGTTATAGATAGCATACGTCTTACTGTTTAGTGGCGGTGTAAGAAGATCCTATCGTTCCGAAGATGTCGTAAAAGGTGGCAAGAGGAAACAAATCAGAAAATCGTCAGCAGCGTCTCACTGAACCAGAAAAAAAAACTGTGGTTTTCAACCCGAATGCGAAGCGTGGTAACCAAGTCTTTGACAGTCTCTGATGAATGAAAATAATGATAGTAAAAGATCTGTAGGTTATTTGCTTAAGTTCTACGTCAACAGTCTGAAGTAAAAGCTGTTATATCTATTTATTTATATCGAGTACCGTATCGATAACGTTTCGATTAATAACATAATTATTGCATTAAATTATATCTCGGCTAATCTATTTTTTTAATATTATAAATAAAAAATATACCATTTTAAATTTATTTATTTATTTATTTTTTTTTATATTATATTATATTATATTATATTATATTATAAATATAATAGCCAGTTCTTGACATTACTATAATAATCATAATATAGTATTATTTTCTGATTATACTTTCTTGATTTTAAAACTTAAACGTACGCAATAATATTGTAGGTCTACACTTAAACGTCAATAATTTAAATGTGACGAAGTGAATAATGATATATCAAAATAAGTGCATTAGTTTAACGCATTAACCTTAAGTAAGATTAATAAAATTTACATTTAAACAGCAATAAAACTAAATGTATTAAATTTGCAACAACAAATGTGTTAATAATCCGAATACCAATTTGTATTTAAATGGAGAAGAACTGAGCCCTGTTGAATCCTCTGTTTTTCTTGGCATCACTCTCGACGTTAAGCTTCAGTGGGGCCCCCATATATCTAAACTAGCAAGCAGACGAAGCTCTGCAGCTTACGCTGTAAAAAAGATTAGATGTCTCACTAGTGTTGAGACAGCTAGATTAGTTTATTTCGGTTATTTCCATAGCATAATCTCATATGGGATTTTGCTATGGCAAAATTTGCTTGCTGATTTAGAAACTATTTTTGTTATGCAGAAGAGGGCCATAAGAGCTATTTACAACCTTATACCGAGAGAGTCCTTAGAGAAGAATTTAAACAAATAAATATATTAACTTTAGCCTCTCAATATATCTATGAAAATTTAATGTATGTTCACGAAAACGAAGGTAGTTTTAGTAAAAAAGTGATATACACTCTGTAAACACTAGGAACAAAAACAAGCTAGTGATACCAGATTCGCGACTCCACAGAGTCAGTAATTCATTATTTGGGCAATACGCTATTACATTAAAGTCCCAGAAAATATACAAGATCTCTCTATAACCAAGTTTAAATATTTAAATTATATAAACAAAAACTCTATAAGAAGGGTTATTACATTATAATTGAATACATGGTTGATTATCATCATCATCATCATCGTCATTGTAGCCCTTCACAAGTCCACTGCTAAACATAGGCCTCCCCCAAGGTATGCCACAAAGCACGGTTCTGAGCCACCTGCATCGTCATCGTCGTCACTGCATCTAGTGGGGGGTTGCCCTACATTTCGCCTACCGGTACGAGGCTACCAATCGAGAACCTTTTTTCCCTAACGGTTGTCGGTTCTTCGAGCTATATGGCCGGCGCATTGCCACTTCAGCTTACTAATCCGTTGGGCTATGTCAGTCACTCTGGTTCTACTGCGGATATCCTCATTTCTAAGTTTAACATGCAGAGAAACCCCGAGCATAGCCCTCTCCATAGCTCGCTGAGCGACTTTGAGCGTCCTCATACAGCCAGCGTTGAAAGACCACGTCTCAGTTCCATATGTCATCACTGGCAACACGCACTGATTGTACAAGTTTTCAGGTTTTGAGGTATACCTGTGGTTGATTATATATTATTGATTATATATTAATTATTACCCCTGGGAATGTGGTGGTCGCTTCCAAGCTGTTTCTAAGATAAATTATGTAAATATTTTGTGACCATTGACATTGTAATTTTTTTTTAAAGTCCCGCTGGGTTTCTTGCTGGTTCTTCCCAGGAATCCCTTTGTTTTTCGAACCAGTGGTAAAGTAAAAAATTTACTTTCAATAAGAATTACTAGTAATCTATATTGAATTAAAAATAATTCTATTCTATTCTATTTTATTGTACTATTCCAACTGATTAAGTGGTAATGTAGTTGACGATGGTAAAGTGCAAAATTAGATTTCATTGCAACTCATTTTTCTATTTATATTGCCAACTCGCTTACCACAGGCGAAATGAATAAATGAAGAATCTGTCCCCCAATCAGCGATCTCACCCGATTAGATATTCTTATAAGTTTTCTTTTTAACGTTGTAATAAGAAAACTTGACTATTCTATTTTATAAACCATATTATTTACATACCCCAACCCAATTAAGTATTATAAATTCACCCACTACACTCTCTTTCTGTACATGTACGCAAAAGAACCAAATTAACGGATACGGCGAAACGGACCACCTTCTAGAATCTACGAGTATATGGAGCGAGGATCTGGCAAAGCATGAAAGAGGTGTCATCATGTGGTTCATGTGGTTCAGGACAGTGTTTTGTGGTAATCTTTGTGAGAGGATTATGTTCAACAGCGGAATTGTGATGAGTTTTAGTGAAGATGAAGTTGATACCATTAGAAACAATTTAATCTTTCATTTTAGTATTTTTTCCTCACTATCCGCAAAAATTTGCGATTAGCATAAACAAGCTTAACCCATCTACGAAAGCCAACTGATCTGACATTTTTCATGGTCACCGCTTACCACATCCACGTGACGAAACGGGGTGATTTATTAATTTAATTATTTCTGTATAAAACAGCCTATAAAAGTCCGATGCTAAACACATGTCTCCATCCTCATGCGGAAATATTATCCAAATTTCCGTAGTTGCCATACTTGACAGGCGAGTTGTCAAATTCAATTTTTACAATTTTGCGTTGTTATCAGAAAAAGTAGACAAAAAAAGAAAAAAAAAAAAAAAAAAAAAAATTAAAAAAAAAAAAACCAACGCAACAACCCCCCCAAAAACACAAAAAAAAAAAAACGGAGAAAAACCAAAAGTTAACGTCTATACCATAGAATACTATAAACTATAATACACTATAGAATGGCTGTCAACCTTATTTTGTACCGAGGTTCGGCATCGCCGGGAGCACACATACAAACAATTACGTCGTATTATCAGTTAATCACTACTACAAACCCGATTCGCTGTGTTGACAGACGGATTTTAATACATATTTATTTGTAAATAGCGTGCAATTTGGCATTTTCTAAATAATTTGCGTTTGAAATTTGGAAACGATTGTGAATGACGTCTTGTGACATTTTAGTGGCTACACGTGCTCCGCCCACACCTCCATTCTATTATGTATGTAAGTAGTATTCTATGGTCTATACTGTTTCAGTTTTTCTCTGTCGCCTCTTACGAAACCCACGGGATGTTACGAAGCAGTGGATATCATTCTTACATAGCCACTACACGGTTGACCACACTCAATCTTTATCATCATTAATCTAATGTAATCATTCCTATAAGAGACACTGGTGTCAGTACTCACAGTACTAGCGATGCGTTGGCGACGGATGCAAGTACGATGAGCAGGAACATTTTTTTATTAAAAAACGTTACCCCCACACTAGGATTTTCTCCTGTATCGTGGAGGCAGTTTACAAACATACATCACACAGGGACAAACATCCAGACCCGGAACAATTATTTGTAGGCCATTGATTAAAACTGCTTTTACGGATTTTATCGCGTTTTATTTATTTTATTTTTTATGTACCCGACGTTGCAGATGCTTTGCAGCACCCATGGTCAAATGTAATGTATTGGTTGGGGCCATCTAGGACATGATCACAAAATTGATAGATCACTAATCCTCGCGAAAAAACATCAATTCATATCAAGGATGATACTTGAGGCTATTGAAATTTAAAAAAATCCTAATTTCAAAAGAGAAGCAGGCTGGGTACTACCACCTCCTTGGGACCCCATAATTAATAAAATTAAAACTAAACCCAAGCATACCACTGCAAGACTTCAAAACACAGTTAATTCATTCTGCGTAGATTGAACTAAAGGCAATAATTAAAAAACTGAAGGCACTGTACTCCGGGTTAACTTTGACATTGGGAGGTCAGTCACCTTAGACCCCCGTGAGCACGGGTTCTGTAAAGCACCCGAAACGTCGGGTATTAAAAATAAAATGCGATAAAATTCATAAAAGTTGTTTTAATCAGTGTGTAGTGTTCGCGTAAATATAAGAAATCATTATTTGTAGGCCATAGAAATACTTGTTCCGTGCGGGATTCGAACCCGCGGCCCCCACCGCAGCCACTCATTGCTAAGCCACTGCGCCACGGAGCTGTCATTCCGATTGACATTCCGATTGGCAAACGCATTTTGGGTAGCGCACTGGAACGAAATTCGATAAATTTTGACTTATCGAAATGTCCGATGATATTTGTATTATGACAATGTTTACTTTTCAGGATTTCTTCCGGATTATTCATGTAAATGTAAGCAGATACCTGATTATTTTATACCCATTTATTTCTTTCCATTGCCAACACAATTTATTTTTACATTTCAATTTTATTCTTACTCACACTTTTAAATATTATCTTATTTTCCACAGAAACATCCGGATCGATACCGTCCACAACAGAAGCGCCAATATCTCGACATCCGTTCCGTGTAGCAATTCATCGTCGACCAGTTGCCACCACTAATACCACCTCCATAAATGACACCACACAATCTATCACTATTATTCTAGATAATGAAAAGCTTTTGAAGAACATTGAAGAGACAGGTAAAAACAACACAAACAATATTTTTTTACACGTGGAGGTGTGGGTGATATATATCTATATCTATCTATGTCTACATGTGTAGATATGTAGCCTTCATTGCTTGAAATTGGTTGCAGTTGTTTAAGAGCTGCAGTAACTACGAGTACTTACCATCAGGTTACAGTCCAGTCCACCTGATGGCAGTCCATTAATATTTATGCAATATGTGGTTATGCCGCTTATCTGTACCGTATAGGCATTGCTTTATTTTTTATTAGGCGGTAGGAATAGATACGAGGATAGGTACAACCCAGGCGGATTTCTAAGTACAAAAAAATTGTTGCCTCACCAAGTAATGTAAGTGTGTCTGAGAATTTTATAATTCACATTCAACCTACATCTGGATGTCTGAATAATCTAAGCTTTATTCTGGATGTTTGAATAATCTAAGCAGACGTATTAAGAACCGATGTCAATACAATACTTGCAAGACTATAACCTAGTCTTCTCACTAGCGTTCTCACAGTTCTTAATGAATGTACGTTGTTTATTTATTTTTGTTCTCTAAAGGTTTTATTATTTATAAAGGAAATTTATTTATATATTGTGAATATTTTCAGATTCTATTGAAGATCTATCCATAAACACACGTTCTAATTCGAAGAACCGGATGACTCAAAGATTGTCTATAAAAGTTGAGCAAGATCAAAATCCTGCCGCTACGCGTGAAGAGGAGAAAAACAGGCAGAGTAAAAGCTATAGCTCCAGCTTAAAGCAAAGTGAAGTGCTTACACTCAAGGCTCACAATGCGTATGATATCGACATAGACCCGAAGACTAACGGGAAATTCACAGTTGAAGGTAAAAATTCCCTACTCTCCACTAAAATACTTACTTCGTTATCTTATTATTATTTTGTATAAAATAAGGTGATAAACAAGCACACAGTCCACCTGATGGTACGATAAATACTGTATCTCTTAGACATTTACAACTATCCTCGATTAAATAGCAAAATGCAGATGCGTTGTCTCCCCTGAAGACTAAAATGGAATGCCTCGTTTTCAGTAAAAACCTTTTTTTTTACCTCGTTTTATACACTCACCATACAATACACTGCAGCATTGAGCTGCTATTTAACGCTGGTATTCTAGGCTTCGGGGAATTCTTATAGACGTGGCTCAGAATCGAGATGGGCCGATAATTCTTTAACATTGTTTTGTCACCTTTCTTGTAAAACAAGACTGTGATGCTTCTGCTCCACGCCATTGGAGTTCTCCCATCTCGTAAAACGCAGTTAAAAATTCGACAGAGCTCTTTAAGCAACGTTTGTTGTAACTGCCTCCTCTCCAGTGGCTTTTCCATTTTTAGGTTGCCCGAGGGCTAACTCGATGTCCTCTGGACAGATATCTGGCAGCTCATCGGTAATGTGGCGAGTCATTGCGGCTCTAGGATTTCAAGTTCAAGTTAAGTTGCTAATTCTATGAGGCATATAGGGTACGGTAATAGCCCTCGATCTCCGAAAATCTCAGGCTTCGACGTGAGGGTTTGCCATCACATGTCTTCAGTTTTGTAATGTGGCTCCTCCCAAGCTTCCGAGCAAAACTTTAGGACCCTTGTTTCGCTCTATTGCCTCTTGAATAAGGGTTGCATTAGAGCGTCGCAGGTCCCGCCGTACAGCTTTCCTTACAAGTCTGATGAGTGCCAGCTGTTCTAATAGCGCGGCTGTTGTAACCTCACGTCGCTTTTGCATAAGCTGAAGTGTCCCGTCTGAGAGCTTAGACTTCCGATCTATATGTAATTATGCAACTTATTCCCCTCATCCCTTAAGGACTTAACCATACTAGTGAGATCTCTTTCTATCTAGTGAGATCCTCGTCAATGTCCAATGTGGGTTCAAGGGCATCGAATAGATTCCGGAGTTCCAACTGGAAACGTTGGGATTCCGCTACGGTTTAAAAGACATTTGGTCGAAGCGTTGACTTCATCAGAAGGACTCTTTCAATCTTGAAATCGATATTCAGAGTGCCTAGAACAAGTCGGTGACCGCTTCCGGTATCAAACACTGAGACATTTGTGAATATGTACTTTTTGTCCGCCATGATGAAGTCGATTTCATTTTTCGTCACATTTTCGAGGATGCGCCAGGTCCATTTCCTTTGGGGCTGGTTTTGAAAATAGGAATTCATTAGATGAAGCCTCTCCTTTTCTAGGAAGTTGATCAGCATTTGTCCCCTGTGGTTTCTGCTTCCAAATCCATAATCGATTCAACACCTGTATGTTTCCCAACTTTGGCAGCGTTGATTTCCCACATGACGACATTAAAGTGTGTCATTAGTGAGCGACATTAGTGATGTTGTGTAAAGTCTTCGCGATGTCTACATACATAGCTTCAACTTCATCGTCCGAGTATGTCGAAGCTGGTGCGTAAACTTGTACAATCTTTACTGTATATGTTTCAGTTAGTTTTAAAACAAGATACGCTACCCTCGCCGACACACTAGAGATTTCTAAAATGTTGTCACTGAGAACTCTATTGACGATTAAGTCCACTCCACCCTGAGAAAGATCATGTCCCTCGTAATAATAGAGTAGGTGGCCCGATTCCAGGAATAGCGCCTCCTCTCCCTCTTTTCGAACTTCACTCAGCTCCAGAACGTGCCATCTTACATCTTTCAACTCTACTTCTAATTCTGCAATGATCTCGTCGTGCCGCAGAGTTGGTCCATTGTACGTTGCCAGGTCCAGTTTTTGGTGGTATCCTGCCATCTCACGGGGATTTTTAGCCCTATCCCACTCTGTCCTCTGTCCCACTGCTGCCATGACCACCACCACGGTCGTATACATAGGGATGGCTGGGAACTGAGACCCGTGTTTTTTTCGCTGCTTAACATTGAGAGGTTTTGCCCTTAATCGCCACTCTGGGCATACGGGTGAGCGGCCGCAGTATTAGACACGTCACCTGTGACCTGTGACGCTCCTGCCCGTCACAGATTTGCCGACAGGACAGAGACAGGCAGAATTGCTGTAGGAACTACAACGCATGATAAGCAACCTAAATGAATCCTTTAGGATTTCTTTAGAATTAGGAGGAAGGTTTCATTTAGATTTCATTCAGTCTGCATATGAATTTAAATAAGACGAAAGTCATTTTTAACACTCATGTTATACCAGATCCAATTAGCGTTGTTGGTGAAATTCTTGAAGTTGTTCAAGAATATATCTACCTCGGCCAGATAATGTAAATAGATAAAAACGACTTCGAGAAAGAAGCTGATAGGCAGATTAAGTTAAGCTGGGCAGCGTTTGAGAAGCTTCGTCAGGTCTTTTCGTTGCCTTTACCGCAAAGCTTGAAGACTAAAGTTTTCGAACAGTGCGTCCTGCCAGTACTCACATATGAAGCCGAAACGTGGACACTAACGGTACAACTACTCCACAAAATTCTAAGTCATCCAGCGGACGATGGAAAGAGCTATTCTCGGAATTTCTATGGTGGATAAGATTCTTAACGAAGAAATCCGCCGGAGAACTAAGGTCACTGACGTAGCCTTCCATATTATCAGCCTGAAGTGGCAACGGGCTGGTCAAATTTGTTGCAGAAGCGATAAACGTTGGAGTATGCATGTCATAGAGTGAATACCGCGTTTAGGTAAACGTAGTGTGGGACGCCCCTGGCTAGATCTAGCGACGATCTGCGCAAGGCAACTGGCAGCAACTGGATGCGTGAAGCCGAAAATCGGGCCATTGCCAGATTTTTGGTGATGATTTTGGGAAAGCATGCTGCTTTCATCAATATCTTCCTGATAACAGCAATAATATAATAAAAAATTGCGATTGCTAACCCGCTCGCCAAGCGTAGCAACTATGACAAACATCGCCCCATGATGAGAGCCATGAAGAGACAACTCCCAGTCCCTGGCGACCCCTCTATTCCTGGCTACGTTGGCAACCATGATAAGGCGGGACAGGGGTGCTAAGTATCTCCAATGGAGATTCGGTTGTCACCTAAGACAACACGACCTAGCAACATATAACTCACGCACCCTGAGGACCGACGAGAAGATCCTGGAGCTGAAAGAAGAGATGTTGTAATTGCATATCATAAGATTATGAGGTCTGAAGACAGGAGGAGGACACGGTAATCCTTGAATCCAGCAACTTGTTCTATAACCAGGAGGGCGACCATCTCCCAAAGAGATACCGGATTTATCGTCCACAAGTCTCTCGTTAACAACGTTGTAATAATTGGAAGTGTGTCGACGAGAGTTGCATACCTTATACTCAAAATCACCAAACGGTGTTCGTTGAAGGTCATACAGGTTTACGCAACAAGCTTGGTACATCCTGATGAGGAAGTGGAGGGAATGTATGATGATTTAAAACCCAATGTACAGTGTATTAACATGTGTAGAAGCCTCCTATTAAGGAGGCTTCTACACAAAACTGGGCACAAGAGAGAACGGTTAGCAAATGGTAGGGGTATTCCGAATTAGGCAATGGAACCCAAGGGACCAGCAGCTAACCGTATATTGAAGTGCTGAAAGAACTCTTTCTTCCAAAAGCGGCCTCACAAGAAGTGGACCTGGTCGAGCCTCAATGGTTCGACAAAAATGAGATTTACTTCATTATGACGACTAGAGGGCAACGGTTCAGTGATGTCTCAGTGATCGCAAGGTTGATAACTGGCAGCAATCATCGAATCGCTAGAGGCACACTGAACCGTTAAGTTGGAGAGGTCTCGTCTAATGAAGTCAGTGCTCCGTCTCCCTCGTGCCCTATTTCAAAATCCTGAAAACTTTCAGCTCGAGTAACAAAAACGTTTTCAGTGGACTGGGACTGGGAGTGGGTGATTCGTCTCGCAGGCAGGCTCGACGGCTTTCAGCTCCGAATACGCCAATTTCCGAAAAGGTTTTAGTACCATATACCACATACATACACTTCGGCAAATTGTACAGAAGACCGAAGAGTACAATCTACCACATTGCCATGCGTATTTGGACTATGAAAAAGGTTTTGATTACGTCAAAATTTGAAAGTCGCTGCAGTCCCTTAAGCGGTGGCAAGTTGAATGTATATTGAAGTGCTGAAATGCTTGCACAGAAGGGCTACGATGGCTATCCGAGTACAGAATCAGAGTATGAATCCTCTCCAACTGCAGAGAGGTGTAAGACAGGGTGACGTTATATCCCAGAAACTCTTCACTGCTGCATTGAAAGACGTTTTCAAGCTACTGGACTGGAAATAATACGGTATTAACATCAATGGGGAGTATGTCTCTCACCTTCGATTTACCGACGTTATAGTTCTTACAGCCTACGAATATAATGGCTATCGGATCTAGGCACTATGCTCAATGACCTCAATAGTGTCTCCCAATGGATAGGTCTTAAGATGAATATGGACAAAACAAATATCGTGTGTAACGTGAATGTCACAACTATGCTCGAAGTAGTTGGGAGCACTAAGATCGAAGGTGTTGACGAGTATGTTTACCTCAGACAAATAGTCGGTCTAGGTAAGTTCAACTTAAACCGAGAGGTCAATTGACGGATTCAAATCGGCTGTGCAGCGTTCGGAAAATTACGACATATTTTCTCGTCAGGTATACCTCAATCTCTGAAAACTAAAGTGTACAACCAGTGCGTATTATCTATTACAATCTCGTTAAAAATACATATTGCATGTAATGGCTTATAGATCTGAGACGTGGCCCTTCACTGCTGGCCGTATGAGAAAGCTAAAGGTGGCTCAGCGAGCTATGTAAAGGGCTATGCTTGAGGTTTCTCTGCGTGACAAACTTAGAAGTAAGGGTATCTGCAGTAGAACCAGAGTGACCGTTATAGCCCAACGAATTAGTAAGCTGAAGTGGCAATGGGCTGGCAATATAGCTCGACAAAACGACAACCGATGGGGAAAAAAATTCTCGGGTGGCAGCTTCGTACTAATAGGTGAAGTGTAGGGTTAACCCCTACTAGATGGAGTGACGACATTGTAAGACATGCAGGAAGTCGATAGATGCAGGTTGCTGAGGACCATGTTTTGTGGTATTCCATGGGGGAGGCCTATGTTCAGCAGTGGATTTGTGAAGAGCTGTAATGATGATTATGATGTGATCTTTTCCCGTTCGAGCAGACTGATTTGTGCTGTAGCTATAACATAGTTGCAGCATGGTTCAAACACATATAAATTATTTATTTATTGTATTATATGCACGTATAGCATTATTTAACATTTTATTTATTACTTCTAATTATTGTTTATGATGTGCACAGTTTTGAGACTATTCTTTCCTTCAACAGGATCTTTCAAAGACCCCCAACCTACAGGATTCACCACTGCAACTAATATTACAAATGTTTCGCGGGGAACAAACCAATCTACAACGAAATATATCGAAGACAGAAAGTACACAAGAGTATCCCAGGATGAAAATCCCGTAAACAGTTTTACTGACACAAACGACACAGAACTGCCACACACGGCAATATCCACAAATAAATATATCAATACAAAAGAGAGACATACAGCAGTACAAAATCTAAGCCCTACTTACACTTATACAGAAACAAACGACAAACACAAGTTAGTTTCACAAAGAAGACTCCCATCAACTACATCTACCGAAAAAGAAAACTTTACTGATACATCGTCTAGAGTAAGACCCTCAACAGGTGTATATACGGAGAACTTTGAAAAAATCACTAAAACGCCATTTACTTCAGCTGACACTGTAATAACTACCAAAAAGTACTCTGAAGTATCATTACAAAATTCCGCTAGAACTACTGGACAAACGGGTACAAGTGAAAAGTTTACGGAGACATCGTCTTCAGTACCCTCACATCATAAAAACAAACTTGTTACAAATACACGGTCAATTAGAGATAGCGCAGAAAATTCCGATCAAAGTTAGACATACAGGTATAAGTGAAAAGTTTACGGAGACATCATCTTCAGTAAGACCCTCAACAGATATACATCAGGAGACATTTGAAAATACAGGAAGATTGACAACAAAGTATACGGATGCGATTAGAGACAGCGCAACGACATCACAAAATTCCGGTCAAACTAATGTACAAACCGTTATAATTACTGATACATCTTCTAGCGTACGACCCTCAACACGTGTATATTCGGAGACTTTCGAAAAAACCGTTAAAACTCCTTTAACTTCATCTGACACTGTAATTACTAGTAAAAAGTACTCTGAAGAGTCATTAAAAAATTCCAGTCAAACTACTGGACAAACGGATAAAAGTGAGAAGTTTACGGAGACATCGTCTAGAGTAAGACCCTCTACAAATATATATTCGGAAACATTTGAAAAAAGTGGACCATTGACGACAAAGTATACAGATGCGATTAGTGGTAACACAGTGACATTACAAAGTTCCGGTCAAACTACTGTACAAAAGGGTATACGTGAAAAGTTTACTGATACATCATCTAGAGTAAGACCCTCAACAGGTGTATACTCGGAGACTTTTGAAAAAAATCAGTAAAACGCCTTATACTTCAGCTGACACCGCAATAAGTAACAAAAAGTACTCTGATTTATCATTACAAAATTCCGGTCGAACTACTGGACAAACGGGTATAAGTGAAAAGTTTACGGAGACATCATCTTCAGTAAAACCCTCAACGGACATAGAATCGGAGACTTTTGAAAAAACTAGAACATTGTTGACAAAATACACGGGTGCAATTAGAGATAGCGCAGGGACATTAAAAAACTCCGATCAAAGTCTTAGACATACGGATATAAGTGAAAAGTTTACGGAGACATCATCTTCAGTACGATCCTCAACAGATATACATCCGGAGATATTTGAAAATACCGGAACATTGACAACAAAGTATACGGATGCGATTAGAGATAGCGCAGCGACATCACAAAATTCCGGTCAAACTAATGTAAAAACGGTTATAATTACTGATACATCTTCTAGCGTACGACCCTCAACACGTGTATATTCGGAGACTTTCGAAAAAACCGTTAAAACTCCTTTAACATCATCTGGCACTGTAATTACTAGCAAAAAGTACTCTGAAGAGTCATTAAAAAATTCCAGTCAAACTACTGGACAAACGGATAAAAGTGAGAAGTTTACGGAGACATCGTCTAGAGTAAGACCCTCTACAAATATATATTCGGAGACAATTGAAAAAACTGGACCATTGACGTCAAAGTATACAGATGCGATTAGTGGTAACACAGTGACATTACAAAATTCCGGTCAAACTACTGTACAAAAGGGTATCCGTGAAAAGTTTACTGATACATCGTCTAGAGTAAGACCCTCAACAGGTCTATACTCGGAGCCTTTTGAAAAAATCATTAAAACGCCTTATACTTCCGCTGACACTGTAATAACTAACAAAAAGTACTCTGATGCATCGTTACAAAATTCCGGTCAAACTACTGGACAAACGGGTATAAGTGAAAAGTTTTCGGAGACATCGTCTTCAGTAAAACCCTCAACAGACATGGAATCGGCGACATTTGAAAAAACTAGAACATTGTTGACAAAATACACGGGTGCAATTAGAGATAGCGCAGGGACATTACAAAACTCCGATCAAAGTCTTAGACATACGGGTATAAGTGAAAAGTTAACGGAGACATCATCTTCAGTAAGACCCTCAACAGATATACATCAGGAGGCATTTGAAAATACAGGAAGATTGACAACAAAGTATACGGATGCGATTAGAGACAGCGCAGCGACATCACAAAATTCCGGTCAAACTAATGTACAAACGGTTATAATTACTGATACATCTTCTAGCGTACGACCCTCAACACGTGTATATTCGGAGACTTTCGAAAAAACCGTTACAACTCCTTTAACTTCATCTGACACTGTAATAACTAGTAAAAAGTACTCTGAAGAGTCATTAAAAAATTCCAGTCAAACTACTGGACAAGCGGATAAAAGTGAGAAGTTTACGGAGACATCATCTAGAATACGACCCTCTAAAAATGTATATTCGGAGACATTTGAAAAAACTGGACCATTGACGACAAACTATACAGATGCGATTAGTGGTAACACAGTGACATTACAAAATTCCGGTCAAACTACTGTACAAAAGGGTATCCGTGAAAAGTTTACTGATACATCGTCTAGAGTAAGACCCTCAACAGGTCTATACTCGGAGCCTTTTGAAAAAAATCAGTAAAACGCCTTATACTTCAGCTGACACTGCAATAAGTAACAAAAAGTACTATGATTTATCATTACAAAATTCCGGTCGAACTACTGGACAAACGGGTATATGTACGGAACATCATCTTCAGTAAAACCCTCAACGGACATAAATCGGAGACTTTTGTAAAAACTAGAACATTGTTGACAAAATACACAGGGACATTAAAAAATTTCGATCAAAGTCTTAGACATACGGATATAAGTGAAAAGTTTACGGAGACATCATCTTCAGTACGATCCTCAACAGATATACATCCGGACATATTTGAAAATACCGGAACATTGACAACAAAGTATACGGATGCGATTAGAGATAGCGCAGCGACATCACAAAATTCCGGTCAAACTAATGTAAAAACGGTTATAATTACTGATACATCTTCTAGCGTACGACCCTCAACACGTGTATATTCGGAGACTTTCGAAAAAACCGTTAAAACTCCTTTAACATCATCTGGCACTGTAATAACTAGCATAAAGTACTCTGAAGAGTCATTAAAAAATTCCAGTCAAACTACTGGACAAACGGATAAAAGTGAGAAGTTTACGGAGACATCGTCTAGAGTAAGACCCTCTACAAATATATATTCGGAGACAATTGAAAAAACTGGACCATTGACGACAAACTATACAGATGCGATTAGTGGTAACACAGTGACATTACAAAATTCCGGTCAAACTACTGTACAAAAGGGTATACGTGAAAAGTTTACTGATACATCGTCTAGAGTAAGACCCTCAACAGGTGTATACTCGGAGACTTTTGAAAAAATCACTAAAACGCCTTATACTTCCGCTGACACTGTAATAACTAACAAAAAGTACTCTGATGCATCGTTACAAAATTCCGGTCAAACTACTGGACAAACGGGTATAAGTGAAAAGTTTTCGGAGACATCGTCTTCAGTAAAACCCTCAAGAGACATAGAATCGGAGACATTTGAAAAAACTAGAACATTGTCGACAAAATACACGGGTGCAATTAGAGATAGCGCAGGGACATTACAAAACTCCGATCAAAGTCTTAGACATACGGGTATAAGTGAAAAGTTAACGGAGACATCATCTTCAGTAAGACCCTCAACAGATATACATCCGGAGACAATTGAAAATACAGGAACATTGACAACAAAGTATAGCGATTCAATTAGAGATAGCGCAGCGACATCACAAAATTCCGGTCAAAATAATGTACAAACGGGTATAATTACTGATACGTCTTCTGTCGTACAACCCTCAAAACGTGTATATTCGGAGACTTTCGAAAAAACTGTTAAAACTCCTTTAACTTCATCTGACACTGTAATAACTAGCAAAAAGTACTCTGAAGAGTCATTAAGAAATTTCAGTCAAACTACTGGACAAACGGGTATACGTGAAAAGTTTACGGAGACATCGTTTAGAGTAGGACCCTCTACAAATATATATTCGGAGACATTTGAAAAAACTGGACCATTGACGACAAACTATACAGATGCGTTTAGTGGTAACACAGTGACATTACAAAATTCCGGTCAAACTACTGTACAAAAGGGTATCCGTGAAAAGTTTACTGATACATCGTCTAGAGTAAGACCCTCAACAGGTGTATACTCGGAGACGTTTGAAAAAATCACTAAAACGCCTTATACTTCAGCTGACACTGTAATAACTAACAAAAAGTACTCTGATGTATCATCACAAAACTCAGGTCGAACTACTGGACAAACGGGGTATAAGTGAAAAGTTTTCGGAGACGTCATCTTCAGTAAAACCCTCAATAGACATAGAATCGGAGACATTTGAAAAAAAATAGAACATTGTTGACAAAATACACGGGTGCAATTAGAGATAGCGCAGGGACATTACAAAATTCCGATCAAAGTCTTAGACATACGGGTATAAGTGAAAAGTTTACAGAGACATCATCTTCAGTAAGATCCTCAACAGATATACATCCGGAGATATTTGAAAATACCGGAACATTGACAACAAAGTATACGGATGCGATTAGAGATAGCGCAGCGACATCACAAAATTCCGGTCAAACTAATGTACAAACGGGTATAATTACTGATACATCTTCTAGCGTACGACCCTCGACACGTGTATATTCGGAGACTTTCGAAAAAACCGTTAAAACTCCTTTAACTTCATCTGACACTGTAATAACTAGCAAAAAGTACTCTGAAGAGTCATTAAGAAATTTCAGTCAAACTACTGGACAAACTGGTATACCTGAAAAGTTTACGGAGACATCGTCTAGAGAACGACCCTCTACAAATATATATTCGGAGACATTTGAAAAAACTGGACCATTGACGACAAAGTATACAGATGCGATTAGTGGTAACACAGTGAATTTACAAAGTTCCGGTCAAACTACTGTACAAAAGGGTATCCGTGAAAAGTTTACTGATACATCGTCTAGAGTAAGACCCTCAACAGGTTTATACTCGGAGCCTTTTGAAAAAATCATTAAAACGCCTTATACTTCAGCTGACACTGTAATAACTAACAAAAAGTACTCTGATGTATCATTACAAAATTCCAGTCGAACTACTGGTCAAACGGGTATAAGTGAAAAGTTTACGGAGACATCATCTTCAGTAAAACCCTCAACAGACATAGAATCGGAGACATTGGAAAAAACTAGAACATTGTCGACAAAATACACGGGTGCAATTAGAGATAGCGCAGGGACATTACAAAATTCCGATCAAAGTCTTAGACATACGGGTATAAGTGAAAAGTTTACAGAGACATCATCTTCAGTAAGATCCTCAACAGATATACATCCGGAGATATTTGAAAATACCGGAACATTGACAACAAAGTATACGGATGCGATTAGAGATAGCGCAGCGACATCACAAAATTCCGGTCAAACTAATGTACAAACGGGTATAATTACTGATACATCTTCTAGCGTACAACCCTCAACACGTGTATATTCGGAGACTTTCGAAAAAACCGTTAAAACTCCTTTAACTTCATCTGACACTGTAATAACTAGCAAAAAAGTACTCTGAAGAGTCATTAAGAAATTTCAGTCAAACTACTGGACAAACTGGTATACCTGAAAAGTTTACGGAGCAAAAAAGGGAAAAAAAAACAAAAAAAAACAAAAACACATCGTCTAGAGTGAGACCCTCAACAGGTGTTTACTCGGAGACATTTGAAAAAATCACTAAAACGCCTTATACTTCAGCTGACACTGTAATAACTAACAAAAAGTACACTGATGTATCATTACAAAATTCCGGTCGAACTACTGGACAAACGGGTATAAGTGAAAAGTTTACGGAGACATCATCTTCAGTAAATCCCTCAACAGACATAGAATCGGAGACATTTGAAAAAACTAGAACATTGTTGACAAAATACACGGGTGCAATTAGAGATAGCGCGGGGACATTACAAAATTCCGATCAAAGTCTTAGACATACGGGTATAAGTGAAAAGTTTACAGAGACATCATCTTCAGTAAGATCCTCAACAGATATACATCCGGAGATATTTGAAAATACCGGAATATTGACAACAAAGTATACGGATGCGATTAGAGATAGCGCAGCGACATCACAAAATTCCGGTCAAACTAATGTACAAACGGGTATAATTACTGATACATCTTCTAGCGTACGACCCTCAACACGTGTATATTCGGAGACTTTCGAAAAAACCGTTAAAACTCCTTTAACTTCATCTGACACTGTAATAACTAGCAAAAAGTACTCTGAAGAGTCATTAAAAAATTTCAGTCAAACTACTGGACAAACGGGTATACGTGAAAAGTTTACGGAGACATCGTCTAGAGTAAAACCCTCTACAAATATATATTCGGAGACATTTGAAAAAACTGGACCATTGACGTCAAAGTATACAGATGCGATTAGTGGTAACACAGTAACATTACAAAGTTCCGGTCAAACTACTGTACAAACGGGTATACGTGAAAAGTTTACTGATACATCGTCTAGAGTGAGACCCTCAACAGGTGTATACTCGGAGACTTTTGAAAAAAATCACTAAAACGCCTTATACTTCAGCTGACACTGTAATAACTAACAAAAAGTACTCTGATGTATCATTACAAAATTCAGGTCGAACTACTGGTCAAACGGGTATAAGTGAAAAGTTTTCGGAGACATCATCTTCAGTAAAACCCTCAACAGACATAGAATCGGAGACATTTGAAAAAAATAGAACATTGTCGACAAAATACACGGGTGCAATTAGAGATAGCGCAGGGACATTACAAAATTCTGATCAAAGTCTTAGACATACGGGTATAAGTGAAAAGTTTACGGAAACGTCATCTTCAGTAAGACCCTCAACAGATATACATAAGGAGATATTTGAAAATGCCGGAACATTGACAACAAAGTATACGGATGCGATTAGAGATAGCGCAGCGACATCACAAAATTCCGGTCAAACTAATGTACAAACGGGTATAATTACTGATACATCTTCTAGCGTACGACCCTCAACACGTGTATATTCGGAGACTTTCGAAAAAACCGTTAAAACTCCTTTAACTTCATCTGGCACTGTAATTACTAGCAAAAAGTACTCTGAAGAGTCATTAAAAAATTTCAGTCAAACTACTGGACAAACGGATATACGTGAAAAGTTTACGGAGACATCGTCTAGAGTAAGACCCTCTACAAATATATATTCGGAGACATTTGAAAAAACTGGACCATTGACGACAAAGTATAAAGATGCGATTAGTGGTAACACAGTAACATTACAAAGTTCCGGTCAAACTACTGTACAAACGGGTATACGTGAAAAGTTTACTGATACATCGTCTAGAGTGAGACCCTCAACAGGTGTATACTCGGAGACTTTTGAAAAAAATCACTAAAACGCCTTATACTTCAGCTGACACTGTAATAACTAACAAAAAGTACTCTGATGTATTATTACAAAACTCCGGTCGAACTACTGGACAAACCGGTATAAGTGAAAAGTTTTCGGAGACATCATCTTCAGTTAAACCCTCAACAGACGTAGAATCGGAGACATTTGAAAAAACTAGAACATTGTTGACAAAATACACGGGTGCAATTAGTGATAGCGCAGGGACATTACAAAATTCCGATCAAAGTCTTAGACATACGGGTATAAGTGAAAAGTTTACAGAGACATCATCTTCAGTAAGATCCTCAACAGATATAAATCCGGAGATATTTGAAAATACCGGAACATTGACAACAAAGTATACGGATTCGATTAGAGATAGCGCAGCGACATCACAAAATTCCGGTCAAACTAATGTACAAACGGGTATAATTACTGATACATCTTCTAGCGTACGACCCTCAACACGTGTATATTCGGAGACTTTCGAAAAAACCGTTAAAACTCCTTTAACTTCATCTGGCACTGTAATTACTAGCAAAAAGTACTCTGAAGAGTCATTAAAAAATTTCAGTCAAACTACTGGACAAACGGATATACGTGAAAAGTTTACGGAGACATCGTCTAGAGTAAGACCCTCTACAAATATATATTCGGAGACATTAGAAAAAACTGGACCATTGACGTCAAAGTATACAGATGCAATTAGTGGTAACACAGTAACATTACAAAGTTCCGGTCAAACTACTGTACAAACGGGTATACGTGAAAAGTTTACTGATACATCGTCTAGAGTGAGACCCTCAACAGGTGTATACTCGGAGACTTTTGAAAAAAATCACTAAAACGCCTTATACTTCAGCTGACACTGTAGTAACTAACAAAAAGTACTCTGATGTATTATTACAAAACTCAGGTCGAACTACTGGACAAACGGGTATAAGTGAAAAGTTTTCGGAGACATCATCTTCAGTAAAACCCTCAATAGACATAGAATCTGAGACATTTGAAAAAAATAGAACATTGTTGACAAAATACACGGGTGCAATTAGAGATAGCGCAGGGACATTACAAAATTCTGATCAAAGTCTTAGACATACGGGTATAAGTGAAAAGTTTACGGAAACGTCATCTTCAGTAAGACCCTCAACAGATATACATCCGGAGATATTTGAAAATACCGGAACATTGACAACAAAGTATACGGATGCAATTAGAGATAGCGCAGCGACATCACAAAATTCCGGTCAAACTAATGTACAAACGGTTATAATTACTGATACATCTTCTAGCGTACGACCCTCAACACGTGTATATTCGGAGACTTTCGAAAAAACCGTTACAACTCCTTTAACTTCATCTGACACTGTAATAACTAGCAAAAAGTACTCTGAAGAGTCATTAAGAAATTTCAGTCAAACTACTGGACAAACGGATATACGTGAAAAGTTAACGGAGACATCGTCTAGAGTAAGACCCTCTACAAATATATATTCGGAGACATTTGAAAAAACTGGACCATTGACGACAAAGTATAAAGATGCGATTAGTGGTAACACAGTGACATTACAAAGTTCCGGTCAAACTACTGTACAAACGGGTATACGTGAAAAGTTTACTGATACATCGTCTAGAGTGAGACCCTCAACAGGTGTATACTCGGAGACTTTTGAAAAAATCACTAAAACGCCTTATACTTCAGCTGACACTGTAATAACTAACAAAAAGTACTCTGATGTATTATTACAAAACTCCGGTCGAACTACTGGACAAACGGGTATAAGTGAAAAGTTTTCGGAGACATCATCTTCAGTTAAACCCTCAACAGACGTAGAATCGGAGACATTGGAAAAAACTAGAACATTGTCGACAAAATACACGGGTGCAATTAGTGATAGCGCAGGGACATTACAAAATTCCGATCAAAGTCTTAGACATACGGGTATAAGTGAAAAGTTTACAGAGATATCATCTTCAGTAAGATCCTCAACAGATATACATCCGGAGATATTTGAAAATGCCGGAACATTGACAACAAAGTATACGGATGCGAATAGAGATAGCGCAGCGACATCACAAAATTCCGGTCAAACTAATGTACAAACGGGTATAATTACTGATACATCTTCTAGCGTACGACCCTCAACACGTGTATATTCGGAGACTTTCGAAAAAACCGTTAAAACTCCTTTAACTTCATCTGACACTGTAATAACTAGCAAAAAGTACTCTGAAGAGTCATTAAAAAATTTCAGTCAAACTACTGGACAAACGGATATACGTGAAAAGTTTACGGAGACATCGTCTAGAGTAAGACCCTCTACAAATATATATTCGGAGACATTTGAAAAAACTGGACCATTGACGACAAAGTATAAAGATGCGATTAGTGGTAACACAGTGACATTACAAAGTTCCAGTCAAACTACTGTACAAACGGGTATACGTGAAAAGTTTACTGATACATCGTCTAGAGTGAGACCCTCAACAGGTGTATACTCGGAGACTTTTGAAAAAATCACTAAAACGCCTTATACTTCAGCTGACACTGTAATAACTAACAAAAAGTACTCTGATGTATTATTACAAAACTCAGGTCGAACTACTGGACAAACGGGTATAACTGAAAAGTTTTCGGAGACATCATCTTCAGTAAAACCCTCAACAGACATAGAATCGGAGACATTTGAAAAAAATAGAACATTGTTGACAAAATACACGGGTGCAATTAGTGATAGCGCAGGGACATTACAAAATTCCGATCAAAGTCTTAGACATACGGGTATAAGTGAAAAGTTTACGCAGACATCATCTTCAGTAAGATCCTCAACAGATATAAATCCGGAGATGTTTGAAAATACCGGAACATTGACAACAAAGTATACGGATGCAATTAGAGATAGCGCAGCGACATCACAAAATTCCGGTCAAACTAATGTACAAACGGTTATAATTACTGATACATCTTCTAGCGTACGACCCTCAACACGTGTATATTCGGAGACTTTCGAAAAATCCGTTACAACTCCTTTAACTTCATCTGGCACTGTAATAACTAGCAAAAAGTACTCTGAAGAGTCATTAAAAAATTTCAGTCAAACTACTGGACAAACCGGTATACCTGAAAAGTTTACGGAGACATCGTCTAGAGAACGACCCTCTACAAATATATATTCGGAGACATTTGAAAAAACTGGACCATTGACGACAAAGTATACAGATGCGATTAGTGGTAACACAGTGACATTACAAAGTTCCGGTCAAACTACTGTACAAACGGGTATACGTGAAAAGTTTACTGATACATCATCTAGAGTAAGACCCTCAACAGGTGTATACTCGGAGACGTTTGAAAAAAATCACTAAAACGCCTTATACTTCAGCTGACACTGTAATAACTAACAAAAAGTACTCTGATGTATCATTACAAAACTCCGGTCGAACTACTGGACAAACGGGTATAAGTGAAAAGTTTTCGGCGACATCATCTTCAGTTAAACCCTCAACAGACATAGAATCGGCGACATTTGAAAAAACTAGAACATTGTTGACAAAATACACGGGTGCAATTAGTGATAGCGCAGGGACATTACAAAATACCGATCAAAGTCTTAGACATACGGGTATAAGTGAAAAGTTTACGGAGACATCATCTTCAGTAAGATCCTCAACAGATATACATCCGGAGATATTTGAAAATACCGGAACATTGACAACAAAGTATACGGATGCAATTAGAGATAGCGCAGCGACATCACAAAATTCCGGTCAAACTAATGTACAAACGGGTATAATTACTGATACATCTTCTACCGTACGACCCTCAACACGTGTATATTCGGAGACTTTCGAAAAAACCGTTAAAACTCCTTTAACTTCATCTGACACTGTAAAAACTAGCAAAAAGTACTCTGAAGAGTCATTAAAAAATTCCAGTCAAACTACTGGACAAACTGGTATACGTGAAAAGTTCTAAAACCCTCTACAAATATATATTCGGAGACATTTGAAAAAACTGGACCATTGACGACAAAGTATAAAGATGCGATTAGTGGTAACACAGTGACATTACAAAGTTCCGGTCAAACTACTGTACAAACGGGTATACGTGAAAAGTTTACTGATACATCGTCTAGAGTGAGACCCTCAACAGGTGTATACTCGGAGACTTTTGAAAAAATCACTAAAACGCCTTATACTTCAGCTGACACTGTAATAACTAACAAAAAGTACTCTGATGTATCATTACAAAACTCCGGTCGAACTACTGGACAAACGGGTATAAGTGAAAAGTTTTCGGCGACATCATCTTCAGTTAAACCCTCAACAGACATAGAATCGGAGACATTTGAAAAAAAATAGAACATTGTTGACAAAATACACGGGTGCAATTAGTGATAGCGCAGGGACATTACAAAATTCAGATCAAAGTCTTAGACATACGGGTATAAGTGAAAAGTTTACGGAAACGTCATCTTCAGTAAGACCCTCAACAGATATACATCCGGAGATATTTGAAAATGCCGGAACATTGACAACAAAGTATACGGATGCGAATAGAGATAGCGCAGCGACATCACAAAATTCCGGTCAAACTAATGTACAAACGGGTATAATTACTGATACATCTTCTAGCGTACGACCCTCAACACGTGTATATTCGGAGACTTTCGAAAAAACCGTTAAAACTCCTTTAACTTCATCTGGCACTGTAATTACTAGCAAAAAGTACTCTGAAGAGTCATTAAAAAATTCCAGTCAAACTACTGGACAAACCGGTATACGTGAAAAGTTAACGGAGACATCGTCTAGAGTAAGACCCTCTACAAATATATATTCGGAGACATTTGAAAAAACTGGACCATTGACGATAAAGTATAAAGATGCGATTAGTGGTAACACAGTGACATTACAAAGTTCCGGTCAAACTACTGTACAAACGGGTATACGTGAAAAGTTTACTGATACATCGTCTAGAGTGAGACCCTTAACAGGCGTATACTCGGAGACTTTTGAAAAAATCACTAAAACGCCTTATACTTCAGCTGACACTGTAATAACTAACAAAAAGTACTCTGATGTATTATTACAAAACTCCGGTCGAACTACTGGACAAACGGGAATAAGTGAAAAGTTTTCGGAGACATCATCTTCAGTTAAACCCTCAACAGACGTAGAATCGGAGACATTTGAAAAAACTAGAACATTGTTGACAAAATACACGGGTGCAATTAGTGATAGCGCAGGGACATTACAAAATTCCGATCAAAGTCTTAGACATACGGGTATAAGTGAAAAGTTTACAGAGACATCATCTTCAGTAAGATCCTCAACAGATATACATCCGGAGATATTTGAAAATACCGGAACATTGACAACAAAGTATACGGATGCGATTAGAGATAGCGCAGCGACATCACAAAATTCCGGTCAAACTAATGTACAAACGGGTATAATTACTGATACATCTTCTAGCGTACGACCCTCAACACGTGTATTATTCGGAGACTTTCGAAAAAACCGTTAAAACTCCTTTAACTTCATCTGACACTGTAATAACTAGCAAAAAGTACTCTGAAGAGTCATTAAAAAAATTTCCAGTCAAACTACTGGACAAACGGGTATACGTGAAAAGTTAACGGAGACATCGTCTAGAGTAAGACCCTCTACAAATATATATTCGGAGACATTTGAAAAAACTGGACCATTGACGACAAAGTATAAAGATGCGATTAGTGGTAACACAGTGACATTACAAAGTTCCGGTCAAACTACTGTACAAACGGGTATACGTGAAAAATTTACTGATACATCGTCTAGAGTGAGACCCTCAACAGGTGTATACTCGGAGACTTTTGAAAAAAATTACTAAAACGCCTTATACTTCAGCTGACACTGTAATAACTAATAAAAAGTACTCTGATGTATCATTACAAAACTCCGGTCGAACTACTGGACAAACGGGTATAAGCGAAAAGTTTTCGGAGACATCATCTTCAGTTAAAACCCTCAACAGACATAGAATCGGAGACATTGGAAAAAACTAGAACATTGTTGACAAAATACACGGGTGCAATTAGAGATAGCGCAGGGACATTACAAAATTCCGATCAAAGTCTTAGACATACGGGTATAAGTGAAAAGTTTACAGAGACATCATCTTCAGTAAGATCCTCAACAGATATACATCCGGAGATATTTGAAAATACCGGAACATTGACAACAAAGTATACGGATGCGATTAGAGATAGCGCAGCGACATCACAAAATTCCGGTCAAACTAATGTACAAACGGGTATAATTACTGATACATCTTCTAGCGTACGACCCTCAACACGTGTATATTCGGAGACTTTCGAAAAAACCGTTAAAACTCCTTTAACTTCATCTGACACTGTAATAACTAGCAAAAAGTACTCTGAAGAGTCATTAAGAAATTTCAGTCAAACAACTGGACAAACTGGTATACGCGAAAAGTTAGCGGAGACATCGTCTAGAGTAAGACCCTCTACAAATATATATTCGGAGACATTTGAAAAAACTGGACCATTGACGACAAAGTATACAGATGCGATTAGTGGTAACACAGTGACATTACAAAGTTCCGGTCAAACTACTGTACAAACGGGTATACGTAAAAAGTTTACTGATACATCGTCTAGAGTGAGACCCTCAACAGGTGTATACTCGGAGACTTTTGAAAAAATCACTAAAACGCCTTATACTTCAGCTGACACTTTAATAACTAACAAAAAGTACTCTGAAGTATTATTACAAAATTCCGGTCAAACTACTGGACTAACGGGTATAAGTGAAAATTTTAAAGATACGTCGTCTGTAGTAAGACCCTCAACAGGTGTATACTTCGAGTCGCTTGAAAAAACCTTTCAAACGCCTTCAATTTCAACTGACAATGTAATAACCACTAACAAATACTCCGAAGTATCTTTACGAAATTCTGGTCAAACTACTGGTGAAACGGGTATAAGTGAAAAGTTTTTAGAGACAACATCGTCAATGAAACCCTCAACAGATATAAATTCGGAGATATTTGAAAAAACTAGGCCTCTGTTGACAAAATATACGGATGCGATTGGAGATAGCGGAGTGACATCACAAAATTCTGGCCAAACTATTGGACATACTGAAAAAAGTGAAAAGTTTATAAAGACATCTTCTTTAGTGAAACCCTCAACAGATATACAATTAAAGACATATGAAACCACTAGGCCATTGTCGTCAAAATATATGGAATATCATGATACGGTAGAAAAACATACAGAATTAAATGAAGGTAATGTTCAGTTGAATCGTTTCTTTAATCCAAACGACCGAACTGGTATTGCTCAGGACCACCAAAGTTCTACCCCCAAATACTTTATTGAAAAAGGATTTCGAAGTTTAAGCCCCTCGTCTATCAACTACACAAGTACCACTGACAAGTATGTATCTGGAGCCATATACGACTTAAACTACTTGACTGCCGGCTATAGTCAGAGTCAAGAACCTTCGTATTCCAAAGTTTTTAAAACGCAATCAGTCCAAAAAGAAGACACTGAAGATAGAGTAATACAGAAAGACGGAGAGGAGGCAAAAGTCATCGTTTATGGAAAGGGTAAGTGTATAAAATAGTAGTTACTGTATACCCAACCCAATCCGACTTCCAAGCGTAGCAACTAAGTCTTTGGTAGGCTCTCATGAATAAAAAGAACAATAATGATTGATCTGAATGTTTTTTGCTTAAGTTCTATGTCAACGAAGTCACGAGTAGAAGCTAGTACATCAAGTTTGGGTTTAAGTACATAGATTAACGTATTAGGCCAGTAAAAATAGAAGTTTTTTTTTTGATCTATTTTTCACTAAATTTCCGATCCAATATTTATTTTTTATAAGGTTTGGGATCACTTACTGAGCATAAAATCCCAAAATGCAACAGGTCCAGTTAGCGCTTCAAACACCATCTTGAAAAAACGTTTTCAGCCGATATCTCGGAAACTATGTACTTTATGGCAAAAGTTGTAAAGACCATTATTATGGAGAATAAAATTCGCATCCTTTATTTTAAGCAAACTTTTTTGTGAAACTAAATGTTTACGATTTATGGCCCATTTAATGAACCGGTTTTTCTATCGCAGCCAATAACTTGAAATATGAGATTAATCAATAAAATGCGTTTATCAATTTTTAAAGATCTGTTTGTTTTGTACAACTTTTTTTAAACTTTTTTTTCATGTCCATACTTTTTAAGTAATAGGACATTTAATGTTGGACTACCAGGCGTAAAGTTGAAAATTTCATCGGCCTAGCTCGGCCGACGCTCGGCGTTTGACGCGGCAGCTATGCTTATCTTGAAATTTTAGTAGATGCTTAACCCCATCTATTTGAAGCCAGGAGATCTTTCTAGCATTTCACATAGTTGCTACTTATCACAACCACGTGACGAAATGGAGTGATTTATTTATTTCTTTTTCACAAAGGTATTCAGATAACTAATATTTACAGCCTCTTACAGGTCCTTTGTGAGACACTGCTGCTACGTAATAGGTTGCCTTATCATTTTGTTTCGAACCGTAAACACACACATCGTACACATTTTATTTTAATACATCAATTTCATTATTATTCTCACTTTTAATATCTTACTTTCCACAGCAACCTCCGATTCGATCTCATCCACAACAGTGTCGCCAATACCTCAACGTTCGTTCCGTGTAGTAAGTCGCCGTCGACCAGTAGCCACCATTAATACTACCTCCACATCTAACACCACGCAATCTATCAAGAATATTCCAGACATTAAACGGATAGGTAAAGACAATACGAACATCGTTTTTTTACATAAGTAGGTGCTATGTTTCACCGTTGGTCTAGTAGAGTGGAGTCGAGCCGATTCATTCATGCTACAACCATAATACTATCTGCAGCATAGTTCTACCTCGTCTAAACATCCATAACCTCCTTTGCTTAAAGTTGGTTGCTGGCGTTTATAACCTGCGGTAGCCACTCACCATCAGGCTACAGTCCATCTGATGGTAAGTGGCTATAGAATTCCATGGATTCCTGTGGTAATTGTACTGGTTCTCTATACCGTAGAGGCATTGCTCTTATGTGGCAGGAATAAGTATGTAGTTATTATCTACCCAGACGATTCTTAGGTACAAAAAGGCCTACCGTACCACCCACTTCTGGATGTCTGAATCATCTGAAATTTCTCAGAGGTATTGAAAACTTATGACAATACAATAATTTTAAGACTAGTATTCTCACTGGCATTCTCACAGCTCTTACTCAATGCGTGTTGCTTACTTTTTTTTATTCTAATGTTGTTTGTTGTTACTAATAGTCAAGTTATTTATATATTCTAAATATTTTCAGTCTCTATTGAAGATTCATCTATAACCTCGCGTTCTAAATCAAAGAACCGGACAACTCAAAGGCGTCCACTGATATCTCTGAACATTGAGCAAGATCAAAATCCTGCCTTTAGAAGTGAAGAGGAGAAAAACAGACAGAGTAAAAGTTATAGCTCCAGCTTCAAGCAAAATCAGTTAAATGATTTGCAAAGTGTCAAAGCGCAAGGCTCAAGGGAATTCACAATTGAAAGTAAGTATTCCCTACACTGTACCCACGTACTTCGTTTTCTTATTATTATTAAACAAAATAAGATATTATAAATAAAATAAGGTTGACAAACATGCTCTAATTTCACCTGATGATAAATGGATACTTTGGTCTATAGGTAGCTACATCTATCCTCAATTAAGAAGTGGAGACTAAGAAGAAAAGCCTCGCTTTCATTAAAAATTACTCTCCAAAATTAAGCTTCTATTTTACGCAGGCATTATGTAAGAGTGTGGACCCTCTCCGGTCGAACAGATCGATTCGAGCTACAGCTATAATATAGCTACAGAACGGTTCCAGAACCACGTACATATTAATCATTACCAGTGTTGTAGTATTATTTGGAATTTTATTTCTTATCATTATTAATGATTGTATTCTTTATTATGTGTAATTTGTTAAATTTTTCACGTTAAAATGCGTTCAGTACCTTCTTCTATTATATTATGTGTTGTACATGTTTTATGTCTAAATGCGATGATACATCTTTATAATTGCTGGTATTGTAGGTGTTATTTACCCCCATTTCTTAGCGACGACAGTTGGAAAATCTAACGATCTGATAAATGTATATGTATGGTTTTTGTCTTTTTTATATATGCTATTGCTATTTTATATACATGCCAGCGCGCATAGGTGATAACGTAGGGTTGTTATCCTTCTATCGATAAGACGGGTCCACATCTAGCAAAATACTAATTAAGGACTGAACAAGAACTTTTAAAAATAGAATCTTATTATTGATTTTCATCTTATAAAACCAATTATTTATAATCCTATTTTGCTTACAGGCCCCAGTGCTGAGACAATGCTTCTTTCTACAGGAGCTATCAAAGCATCCCAACCAGCAGGATTCACCGCAAACACTATAATTACAAATGTTTCACAAGGTACAAACCAACTTACCGCGACATATACCGAAGACAGTAAGTACACAAGATTATCGCAGGATGAAACTCCCGTTAATAGTTTTATTGGCACAAACTACTCAGAAATTCCACTTAATATAGGAATATCCACAAACAAATATACAAATACAAATGAGAAATTTACAACAATTCAAAATCCGAGCCCTACTTACGCTTATATAGAAAAAAACGACAAATATAAGTCAATTTCGCAAATAAGAAATCCATCAACTACATCTACCGAAAACAAAAACGTCACCACCACGACACAACAAGAAACGGATCCTACAAATATATATTCCAGCATCAATGAAAGATTCACAGAAACTTCACGCAGTAGAAGGCCATCTAAAAACGGCTCTACAGAGCAATCATCCTCAAAATTATCAACATCTGGATTTATTGTCACCGGTGCGAATACCAACGCACTCAAGGATGCAATTACAGATACCACAGTGACATTACAAAATTCCGGCCAAACCACTGGACGTACAGGTACAACTGAAAAATTTACGAAGACATCTTCTGCAGTAAGACCCTCAACAGAAGTACGCACGGAGACTTTTGAAAAAACTATTAAAACGCCTTTTATTTCCACTGACACTGTAATAACGAGTAAGAAGTACTCCGAAGTATCACGAAGCCCATCTACTAGTACGTATGTGGAATCGGTGGAAAATCGTACGAAATTGAATGATGATAATGTTTCCTCAAATCGTTACTTTACTTCGAACAATCAGTACACAGGTATTGTTCAAGACCACCAGAGTTCTACCGCCAAATACTTTACTGAAAAAGGATCTCAAAGTGTAAGCCGAGGAGCGTCTATTATATACCCAAGTACCACCGACAAGTATGTATCTGGAGCCATATACGACTTAAACTACTCGACTGCCGGCCGTAGTCAGAGTCCAGAAAGTTCATATTCCCAAGTTTCAAACACGCACTCAGTTCAAAAGGAACAGCAATTAGTGTCAGATGAACAGCCAGTGAAACAAGTTGAAACAGCACAGTGGGTTCAGACAGTGCAGAGAGTACAGCCTGTAGGGAAAATCGAAACTTCTGAACTTAACGGAGTGATCGAGCGTATAGATAGCCATAATTATAAAGAAAGCAGCGAAGGAAGAGTAATACAGCAATACGGAGAGGAGGCAAAAGTCATCCTTCATGGAAAGGGTAAGTGTATAACGAAAGTAGTAACAGTTTTCTAGACGGTAAAGCTCCTTTTCTAATCAGGAGAGTAGGAGGCATTTAATAATGGCCTAAATTCAGAAGAGGTCATTGATATGCTCTAAAACTAATGATAGCTATGGAACTGAAAGTCACCGATCGTACCTGACTAGATATTCCTACCAGACTTTTTAAACATTTGAATAAGAAAACCTTACTATCCTATTTTATAACCAAAATTATTTTGTTTTTATATATATATATATATATATATATATATATATATATATATATATAAATATATATATATATACAGTGTGTCCGGTCACAGACTAGCGATATTTTAGGTAGTTATAATACAGCTATTTTAATACAAAAATACACTACACACTGAGGTCTAATCCCCTCCCCCCTCTATTTGGCAGCCATTTTGTTTTTTTCTTGAGATATTCTCTACGCGTTTACGAAAAAAGTCATATCTCTCAAAGTCTTAGTCCTACTGAGATAAAAATTAACTCATTCGGAGGCCAATAATATTTTTTATCGTTTACATTATCAAAATTTTTGTTGACAATTACTTGTAATTTTGAAGAAAAAAATTTAACTTCAAATAAATATCAAAAAAAATATGCTAATCGGCAAATTATTGTAAATTACTGCAAAAACAATACAACATAAAGTTTATAGCTGTATCTTTATTACTTTAAGAATTATTGTTGTTTGAACATAGCATATGCGCAAACACAAAAGGCCTTTGTTAAATGACAACTGGCACTGCCTGCCTAGGAGTAATAGTAATCTGAGATTACTTATGATCTTAAATGAATTAAAGATGATGAATAAGAGATCAGAGAATCAGAATCATCATTTATAAGTAGTATAATTTGAGAGCAGCACAGAACACTTGAATGATAATCGTTGGAGCCGTTTCCGAGATTCCGATTATATATATAATATATAAAAAAAAAAAATATTACCCGCAATAGAACCAAAGTATCCGATACAACCAAACGGACCACCTACTAGAATCTTGATGGAGTGACCACCTGGAAAAGCAGCAAAGCATCAAGAGGTCGATGGATGCATGTAGTTCAGCGCTGTGTTTTATGGTAATCATTGTAAAAGGATAATGTTCAGCAGCGGAAGTGTGATAAGCTTTAGTAAAGATGAAGTTGATATCATTAGAAACACATTGAAATATCTTATTTTACAAAAGTCCAATTTTGCGACTAGAGTAAACGAGGTGCTTAAGGTCATTTCGGAATCGGTAGCAGGAGATAGTTCTAGCATTTCCCACAGTTGCCTCTTACCGCACCCACGTGACGAAATGGAGAGATTTATTTATTTACTTATGGCTCTTTTATAAAGGTATTTAGATAACTAATAATTTACAGTATTTAATCTCAATTACAACCTAATACTAAACATAGGTCTTCCTCTCCTTAGGGAATATTACCACGGTTGTCACACTTGGCAGGTGGGTTGGCAACTGTAATTTTTACAATGATGCGTTTTGATCATAAAAATGTTGCTGCCCATTAACTGTTTCCAATCCACGGGACGATAAGTGGTAAGAATATTCACTATTCTTACACGGCCAGTACACGGTTAAAGTTATTAATAATCTAATGAAATCGTTCCTTTGTGACACAATGGTGTTCGTACGAGGTTGCTCTTTTGTTTTGAATCGCCAAAACACATTATATTTTTTTACATCAATTTTTTTTTGTTATTCTCACTTTTTATGTTTTACTTTCAACAGCAACCCCCGAATCCATCTCTTCCACAACAGTATCGCCAACACCTCGACGTTCGTTCCGTGTAGTAAGTCGCCGTCGACCAGTTGGCTCCACTAATACCACCTCAACAACAAACTCCACGCAATCTACCAATAATATTTTGGACAGATTCATTGAACGGACAGGTAAAGATAATACGAATATAATTTTTTACTTAAGTAGGTGCTATTTTTGGCTCTTGGTCTAATAAAGTCGAGTCAAGCCGATTAATTAGTGCTACAATCATAATAGGCTGCATGACTCTACCACTTATAAATCCATAAACTTCTTTGCTTAAAGTCGGTTGTGAGCTGCAGTAGTCACCATCAGGTTTCAGTTCACCCGATGGTAAGTGGCTATAGCACGCCATGGATATCTATGCAATCTATGGTAATTGTATTGGTTCTCTATACCGTATAGGTATTGAATTACCGTATAGGTATTTCTAGGTACGCGCCATTCATGAGGCTGTCAAAGATATGAGTGGCTCATCAGTGTCATCATCATTACAGCCCTTCACAAGTCCACTGCTGAACATAGGCCTTCCCCAAGTAATACCACAAAGCATGGTCCTGAGCCACCTGCATCCATCGACTTCCTGCATGTCTTACCGGGTCGTCACTCCATTTAGTGGGGGGTCGCCCTACACTTCGCCTACCGGTACGAGGCTGCCACTCGAGAACCTTTGTTCCCCATTGGTTATCGGTTTTTCGAGCTATATGGCCGGCCCATTGCCACTTCAGCTTACTAATCCGTTAGGTTATGTCGGCCACTCTGGTTCCACTGCGGATATCCTCATTTCTGAATCTATCACGCAGAGAGACTCCGAGCACAGCCCTCTCCATAGCTCGCTGAGCGACCTTGAGCGTCCTCATACGGCCAGCAGTGAATGACCACGTCTCAGATCCGTAAGTCATCACTGGCAACACGCACTGGTTGTACACTTTAGTTTTCAGAGATTGAGGTATACCTGACGAGAAGATATGTCGTAATTTCCCGAACGCTGCCCAGCCGAGTTGAATCTGTCGATTGACCTCTCGGTCGAAGTTGGACTTACCTAGTCGGACTTTTTGTCCCAGGTAAACGTACTCGTCAACAACTTCGAGCAAAGTGCTTCCAAAAACTACCGGCATAGGTGTGATTTTTGTTTTGTCCATGTTCATCTTAAGACCTATTCGTTGGGAGGCACCATGAAGATGCTGCTGCCCATCTCCTACCTGTCTCCCTCTGTCGCCTCTTACGACACCCACGGGAAGATTTGGGGTAGTGGATATCCAATATAATAAATATCCACCGTGTAGTGGCGGTTGAGAATATTCTCAACCGCCACTACACGGCACGATGAGTGTAGCAAAAGACTGTTAAGAATTGACAAAGAACAAAAAGTTGTAAAAAAAGGAATTTTGTTTATGATCTTTAGTGTTTTAAACCTATTCTATATAATCCCATTTTGCTTACAGGTGACAGTGCTGAGACAATGCTTACTTCAACGGGAGGATTCACCACCACCAACATAATTACAAATGTTTCACGGGGAACAAACCAAGCTACCGCGACATATATCGAAGACAGAAAGAACACAAGAGTGTCGCAGGGTGAAGCTCAAATAAACAGTTTTACTGGTGCAAACAACCCGGAACTGCCACTTAATACAGGAATATCCACAAACAAATATACCAATATAAATGAGAAATATAAAACAGTACAAAAACTGAGCCCTACTTACACTTATGAAAAAACAACAATTTCACAAAGAACAGAACCTTCAACTACATTTACCGAAAACAAAAACGTAACCACCTTGACACAGCAAGAAACGGATTCCACAAATATATATTCCAGTACGAATGAAAGATTAAGAGAAGCTTCACGCAGAAGAAAGCCATCTACAAACAGCTCTAGAGAGCAACTGTCAACGAAATCATCAACATTTGGATTTACTGTCACAGGTGCGAATACAAACGCACAAAAGGATGCGATTACAGATACCGCAGTGACGTTACAAAATTCCGGCCAATCTACGGCGCGTACAGGTATAAGTGAAAAGTTTACGGAGACATCGTCTGCAGTAAGACCCTCGACAGAAATACACACTAAGACCTTTGAAAATACTATTAAAACGCCTTCAATTTCCACTGACACTGTAATGACGAGTAAGAAGTACTCCGAAGTATCACGAAGCCCATCTACTAGTACGTATGTGAAATCGGTGGAAAAACATACGAAATTGAATGATGATAATGTTTCCTCAAATCGTTACTTTACTTTGAACGATCAGTACACAGGTATTCTTCAAGACCACCAGAGTTCTACCGCCAAATATTTTACTGAAAAAGGATCTCAAAGTGTAAGCCGAGGGGCGTCTATTATATACCCAAGTAACACCGACAAGTATGTATCTGGAGCCACATACGACTTAAACCACTCGACTGCCGGCTATAGTCAGAGTCCAGAAAGTTCATATTCCCAAGTTTCAAACACGCAATCAGTTCAAAAGGAACAGCAATTAGTGTCAGATGAACAGCCAGTGAAACAAGTTCAAACAGCACAGTGGGTTCAGACAGTGCAGAGAGTACAGCCTGTAGTGAAAATCGAAACATCTGAACTTAACGGAGCCATCAAGCCTAAAAATAGCCTTAATTACAAAGGAGACAGTGAAGAAAGAGTCATACAGCAATACGGAGAGGAGGCCAAGGTCGTCCTTCATGGAAAGGGTAAGTGTATAATAAAAGTAGTAACAGTGTACTAGACGGTAAAGCTCCTTTTCTAATCAGGAGAGTAGGAGGCATTTAATAATGGCCTAAATTCAGAAGAGGTCATTGATATGCTCTATTGACTAAAAATAATGATAGCTATGGATCTGAAAGTCACCGATCGTACCTGACTAGTAATTCCTACCAGATTTTTTTAAACATTTGAATAAGAAAACCTTACTATCCTATTTTATAACCACAATTATTTTATATATGTATATATATATATATATATATATATATATATATATATATATATATATATATATATATATATATATATATATATATATAATGTATATATATATATAATCCGAAGCAATGATACCCGCAATAGAACCAAAGTAACCGATACGACCAAACGGACCAACTACTAGAATCTAGATGGAGTGACGACGCAAAGCAGCCAAGCATCAAGAAGTCGATGGATGCATATGGTTCAGCGCTGTATTTTACGGTAATCTTTGTAAAAGGATAAAGTTCAGCGCGGAAGTGTGATGAGCTTTAGTAAAGATGAAGTTGATATCATTAGAAACATATTGAAATGTTTTATTTTACAAAAGTCCAATTTTGCGACTAGAGTCAACGAGGTGCTTAAGGTCATTTCGGAATCGGAAGCAGGAGGTCGTTCTAGCATTTATCACAGTTGCATCTTACCGCACCCACGTGACTAAATGGAGAGATTTATTTATTTACTTATGGCTCTTTAACAATGGTATTTAGATAACTAATAATTTTACAGCATTTAATCATCAATTACAACCTAATACTAAACATTGTTCTTCCTCTCCTTAGGGAATATTACCACGGTTGCCACAATTGGCAGGTGGGCTTGCAACTGTGATTTTTACAATTTTGCGTTTTCATCATAAAAATATTGCTGCCCATTTACTGTTTCCAATCCACGGAACGATAAGGGGTAGTGAATATTCTTACATGGCCAGTACACGGTTAAATTTATTAATAATCTAATGAAATCGTTCCTTTGTGACACACTAGTATTCATACTAGGTTGCCCTTTTGTTTTGAATCGCCAAAACACGTCGCACACACTTATTTTTTTACATCAATGTTATTGTTATTCTCACTTTTCATGTTTTACTTTCTACAGCAACCTCCGAATCAATCTCTTCCACACCAGTATCGCCAACACCTCGACGTTCGTTCCGTGTAGTAAGTCGCCGTCGACCAGTTGGCTCCACTAATACCACCTCAACAACAAACTCCACGCAATCTACAAATAATATTTGGGACAGATTCATTGAACGGACAGGTAAAGATACACAAACAATACGAATATCATTTTTTACTTAAGTAGGTGCTATTTTCGGCCGCTGGTCTAATAAAGTCGAGTCAAGCTGATTAATTAGTGCTAAAACCATAATAGGCAGCATGACTCTACCACGTACAAATCCGAAAAATTCTTTTCTTAAAGTTGGTTGTGAGCTGCAGTAGTCACCATCAGGTTTCAGTTCACCCGATGATAAGTGCCTATAGCACGCCATGGATATCTATGCAATCTATGGTAATTGTACTGGTTCTCTATACCGTATAACCGTATAGGTATTGAATTACCGTACAGGTATTTCTAGGTACGCGCGATTCATGAGGCTGTAAAAAGATATGAGTGGCTCATCAGTGTCATCATCATTACAACCCTTCACAAGTCCACTGCTGAACATATGCCTCCCCCCAGTAATGCCACAAAGCACGGTCCTGAGCCACCTGCATCCATCGACTTCCTGCATGTCTTACCAGATCGTCACTCCATTTAGTGGGGGTCACCCTACACTTCGCCTACCGGTACGAGGCTGCCACTCGAGAACCTTTGTTCCCCATCGGTTATCGGTTCTTCGAGCTATATGGCCGGCCCATTGCCACTTCAGCTTACTAATCCGTTGGGTTATGTCGGTCGCTCTGGTTCTACTGCGGATATCCTCATTACTGAGTATATCACACAGAAAGAATCCGAGCACAGCCCTCTCCATAGTTCGCTGAGCGACCTTGAGCGTCCTCATACGGCCAGCAGTGAAGGACCACGTCTCAGATCCGTAAGCCATCACTGGCAACACGCACTGGTTGTACACTTTAGTTTTCAGAGATTGAGATATACCTGACGAGAAGATATGTCGGAATTTCCCGAAAGCTGCCCAGCCGAGTTGAATCCATCGATTGACCTCTCGGTCGAAGTTGGACTTACCTAGTCGGACTATTTGTCCCAGGTAAACGTACTCGTCAACAACTTCGAGCATAGTGCTTCCAACAACTACCGGCATAGGTGTGATCTTTGTTTTGTCCATGTTCATCTTAAGACCTATTCGTTGGGAGGTACCAGGAAGATGCTGCTGCCCATTTCCTGCCTGTCTCCCTCTGTCACCTCTTACGACACCCACGGGAAGATTTGGAGTAGTGGATATTCTCAACCGCCACTACACGGCACGACGAGTGGCTCACGTGTAGCAAAAGATTGTTAAGAACTGACAAAGAACAAAAAGTTGTAAAAAAAGGAATTTTGTTAATGATTTTTAGTGTTTTAAACCCATTCTATATAATCCCATTTTGCTTACAGGCGACAGTGCTGAGACAATGCTTACTTCAACGGGAGGATTCACCACCACCCATATAATTACAAATCTTTCACGGGGAACAAACCAAGCTACCGCGACATATATCGAAGACAGAAAGAACACAAGAGTGTCACAGGGTGAAGCTCAATTAAACAGTTTTACTGCTGCAAACAACCCGGAACTGCCACTTAATACAGGAATATCCACAAACAAATATACCAATATAAATGAGAAATATAAAACAGTACAAAAACTGAGCCCTACTTACACTTATGAAAAAACAACAATTTCACAAAGAACAGAACCTTCAACTACATTTACCGAAAACAAAAACGTAACCACCTTGACACAGCAAAAAACGGATTCCACAAATATATATTCCAGTACGAATGAAAGATTAAGAGAAGCTTCACGCAGAAGAAAGCCATCTACAAACAGCTCTAGAGAGCAACTGTCAACGAAATCATCAACATTTGGATTTACTGTCACGGGTGCAAATACAAACGCACAAAAGAATGCGATTACAGATACCGCAGTGACGTTACAAAATTCCGGCCAATCTACGGCGCGTACAGGTATAAGTGAAAAGTTTACGGAGACATGGTCTGCAGTGAGACCCTCAATAGAAATACACACTGAGACCTTTGAAAATACTATCAAAACGCCTTCAATTTCCACTGACACTGTAATGACGAGTAAGAAGTACTCCGAAGTATCACGAAGCCCATCTACTAGTACTTATGTGAAATCGGTGGAAAAACATACGAAATTGAATGATGATAATGTTTCCTCAAATCGTTACTTTACTTCGAACGATCAGTACACAGGTATTCTCCAAGACCACCAGAGTTCTACCGCCAAATATTTGACTGAAAAAGGATCTCAAAGTGTAAGCCGAGGGGCGTCTATTATATACCCAAGTAACACCGACAAGTATGTATCTGGAGCCACATACGACTTAAACCACTCGACTGCCGGCTATAGTCAGAGTCCAGAAAGTTCATATTCCCAAGTTTCAAACACGCAATCAGTTCAAAAGGAACAGCAATTAGTGTCAGATGAACAGCCAGTGAAACAAGTTCAAACAGCACAGTGGGTTCAGACAGTGCAGAGAGTACAGCCTGTAGTGAAAATCGAAACATCTGAACTTAACGGAGCCATCAAGCCTAAAAATAGCCTTAATTATAAAGAAAACAGCGAAGGAAGAGGAATAAAGCAATACGGAGAGGAGGCAAAAGTCATCCTTCATGGAAAGGGTAAGTGTACAACAAAAGTAGTAACAGTGTACTAGACGGTAAAGCTCCTTTTCTAATCAGGAGAGTAGGAGGCATTTAATAATGGCCTAAATTCAGAAGAGGTCATTGATATGCTCTATTGACTAAAAATAATGATAGCTATGGATCTGAAAGTCACCGATCGTACCTAACTATATATTCCTAACAGACTTTTTTAAACATTTGAATAAGAAAACCTTACTATCCTATTTTATAACCAAAATAATTTGGTTTATATATACATATATATATATATATATATATATATATATATATATATATATGTACCCGCAATAGAACCAAAGTAATCGATACAACCAAACGGACCACCTACTAGAATCTAGATGAAGTGACGAGCGAAAGTGTGATGAGCTTTAGTAAAGATGAAGTTGATATCATTAGAAACATATTGAAATGTTTTATTTTACAAAAGTCCAATTTTGCGACTAGAGTAAACGAGGTGTTTAAGGTCATTTCGGTATTTAGATAACTAATCAGTACAGTCAATATATTACTCGTAAGTGGACGTGTTGTCGGTTAGTGTAGCAAAAATCCAGTGTCAGTGCGTGCGAGTTTACTTCTTACGAAGCGCTTTCTAATAGCAGTTGCGGCTATAATCCCGTGTGTTGTGCTAACTATAAAAATAATATTTTAATACTATAACACTCGGTAGCTGCCTGTGGACTCGCGGGGTACTTCACCTCACCCCCGGCGCGATAAGAGACAAGTTACATAATTGCTGTCGCACTCAAGCGCCGTTTGCACCTGCATTGTTTGCATGTATACGTAGTTGCCGCGATTTTGAACATAATATGCATCAATGCTCCGCCTGTCATACTAAGATTAAGGACTCTGAATGCATGCAATGTTGTGTCTGTGTGGCATACTATCATTGCATATGTGTCGCCATTTCGCCTGCTCAGCTTAAAAACCTATCGACTGAAGTTAAGGCAGATTGGCTGTGCCCTGAATGTAAGAATAAAAAGCCGCGCAGCGTTAACTCTAATACACCGGTCCGACCATCGACGCCCAGTAACCCCAAAGCTAACGTTACCTTGCGCCGTAAAGGCCCGGATTCACTCCTTGAGTCAGACGCCGGTACGAGTTTTAATGTATCACGGTCGGAGTTGCGTGTTATTATACAGGAGGAGATGAGGGTCATCATGGAAGAATGCGTGAGAGATTTGAAAGCTGACCTGAATAGACAACTACAGGCTTTTAGGGGAGAGATCACTGGTCTCACGGAATCAATACAATTCATGAGTGATTCGTTTGAGCAATGTAAAAAGGATTTGAGTGGCTGTAAGGCTAAAATTGACACAATTATTAAGGAAAAGGAAACCCTACAGAGTGATCTTATCATCATTACTAGCCGTCTTAATCAAATGGAGCAAATCTCTCGGGCATCGAACCTGGAAATCCAATGTGTTCCTGAGCGTAAGTCTGAAAACGTTTTATCTATTGTAACAAAATTGAGCAAAACCATATGTTGCCCTATAAACGAGTCGGATATCTTATATTGTTCACGCATTGCTAAGAAGAACCCCGAGAGTACCCGTCCTCGCTCTATTCTAGTTAAACTTAACAGCCCTCGCTCCAGGGACTCCCTGCTAGCCGCTGCATTGAAATACAATAAAACTCACTCACAGGAAAAATTGAACACGGAGCATGTGGGATTGGGGCCTAACAGGAAGACTCCCATATATGTAGTAGAAAATCTTTCACCTGAGAATAAGCTTCTTCACGCTTTGTCCCGTAAACGTGCAAAAGAACTTCAATACAAACATGTATGGGTCCGGGGCGGCCGTATATACATGCGGAAAACTGATAAATCTGAATACGTCTTAGTGCGTAATAAATCGACCCTGGACAATTTATCTTAGGTTCTTTTTGTTATTTTGTAATCTATCGTGTAATAGTATATGGCTTAAAGTTCAATAGTTTAAATGTATATTTTCAAAACGTTAGGGGTCTTCGAACGAAGACGACAAACTTGTACAAAAACATATTAAAATACGATTATGATATAGTAGTATTATGTGAGACTTGGTTAAATAGCACTATTTTTGACTCCGAGTTGTTTAGTGATCGTTACGCAGTTTTTAGACGCGACCGCGAGACTAGTGGCTTTCATCAGGACAAATCTGGTGGCGGGGTATTGGTGGCTGTGTCAAAGCATATTTATTCCCGTAGGCTACACCATTTTGAGAGTAAATGCGAGGATATTTGGATCGAATTGAATATACCTACGGAAAAAGGTACCCCAAATAAGCTTTTATTGTGTGGCGTCTACCTCCCGTCGCCCATTCAAAAACATTTTCTGGAACATTATATCGACAACGCTAATAGAGTCTTAGAGTCTAACGCAAAAGCGGTAATTTTGGGAGATTTTAATATGAGTGGTATTGCCTGGAACGATACGGAGGTACCGTTTGCTGTAAATGGCAATAATATGACTAAGACTTCATTTGAAAGCACTTTACTGGACTTCATGGCTTTAAATAATCTTACCCAATATAATACGGTCCTAAACCATAAAGGCAAAATTTTAGACCTCGTTCTCTCTAATCTTAGTATTCAGTTGAAAGTGACACGAAGTAACTCTGAGCTCAGTTCTGTAGATGATTATCACCCACCGCTGGTATTTACGCTGCCTTCCAGGTATTCAGCTAAACTTCTTTCCCGAAATTATAATGAGAGGCATAACTTTTATAAAGCTGATTTTGAAAAAATATCTAATTATTTAAGCTCGATACCATGGGAGAGTGACCTGGCTTCGTGCTCCTCAGTGGATGAAATGACTAACAAATTTTACTCAATACTAAGAAGTTCTATCTTAAAATATGTTCCTAAAAGCAAACCAGCATCAAAAAAGTTTCCCCCGTGGTATACCAGGGATCTTATTCGCCTCTCACGTGAGAAGTATAAGCTCAGGATAAAATACAAAAAGTACAATAACCCACTCGACGAACTGGCATTCCAAAAAAATTAAAAAACGGTGCTCTGATTTAACAGAATCTTGTTATCTTAAATATATAACTGATCTTGAAAAGTCCCTATCAGTAAATCCAAAAAAGTTTTGGACCTTTCTCAAGAGTAAAAAAGTCAATAGCAATGCGTATCCATCTGCAATGACTTTCGATGATAAGGAAGAAACTTCTGGAACTGGTATTTGTAATCTCTTTGCCTCTTATTTTGCCTCGGTTTACCGGCCAAGCTTGCCTCTCTGCAATGTACCTGATCTAGAATACTCAGTCTCTTGCTTCCTTGGAAGTCTCACCCTTAGGCGGGAGGATGTTCTGAAAACTCTGAAAGGACTAGATAGGAATAAGGGAGCTGGACCAGATGGAATACCCTCGTTGTTTGTAGTTCAATGCTGTGAATCTCTCTCCTTTCCTCTAACAATAATATTTAATGAGTCTTTAATGAATGGCGTATTTCCCTCGATCTGGAAGGAGGCGAGAATTGTTCCAGTTTTTAAGTCGGGAGATTCGGCATCCGTGAAGAACTATAGGGCCATTTCGATACTCTCAGTCTTTGGGAAGGCATTTGAATCGTTGGTTTGCCCGGTCTTGTCCTATCACATAAAGCATTTAATTTCTCCTTGCCAATCAGGATTTTTGGCATCTCGCTCAACGGTAACTAATTTGATCCCGTTTGTGGATTTTGTTTCTAGCTCCCTTGATTCCCGTATTACTGTAGACACCATATACACCGACTTTAGTAAGGCTTTCGATTCAGTTGATCACAAAATTTTACTGGGTAAACTTTCTCGTTTGGGTGTGTATGGCAGCCTTCTGGAATGGTTTGAATCCTATCTTTATCAACGCAAGTCGCACGTTGTGGTTAATGGCTACGCATCGCATTCCTTTCAGCCAACTTCCGGCGCTCCACAAGGTTCGCATCTGGGTCCAATCCTCTTTAATATATTTATTAATGATATCGTGGGTATCTTTGATCATGCTGCTTGTTTCCTTTACGCTGATGATATGAAACTGTCTATGCAGATCGGAGGTATTAATGATTCATTGCTATTACAGGAGGATCTAGATCGACTCGCTGGATGGTGTAGGGAGAACAGGTTATATTTAAATACTGAAAAATGTAAATTTATCAGATTTTCGAGATGCAAAACGAATTTGTCGCCGTCCTACAATATTGCCGGTCAAAAATTGCAAGAGGTGGACTCTATTCGCGATTTGGGCGTCATTATGGATAAAAAATTACGTTTTCACAAGCACATTGACCAGGTCGCAACAAAAGGTTTCCAGATGCTAGGGTTTGTGCTGCGGAATGCAATGGAATTCAAAAAGCCCTCAACAAAAGTTCTCCTGTATTTGGCATTGGTTCGTTCGGGTTTGGAATATTGTAGTCAGGTTTGGTCCCCACATTATGAGGTTCATATCAGGCGAATCGAGCGAATACAGAAGAGATTTCTCTGGCACCTATCCTACCAATCTAACAAAGCGAAACTGCTGCCCTCATATAAGGAACGTCTTGCCTATTTTAAAATGACTAGCCTACAAGGGCGAAGATTGTTTTTGGATCAATTGCTTTTTTATAAGATTATCAATGGCCTCATTGACTGCCCTGCGTTATTGCGATCTGTCAATTTTAATATCCCATACAAGTTGCCGCGTTGCGTACGTTACGTTCCATTCTCACCAAAAGGTGCCAAAAGTAGCTTAGGTCACCATGCCACCATGAATCGCTTACAGAGTCAGTACAACTTAATATCTAAGTCTTACAACATCGACATCTTTTCTGACAAGCCGTTGAAATTTAGACGCAAGCTCGGTCAGTTTCTCAAGTCAATGGTGTCTGTTTGATTCAAGTATCTATATCTATTGTTTGATTTTTTAACATATAAAAATAATGATTGTTAAATGATGATTAAAATGTTTTAAGTAGTCATTTGCTTAGTGTTAACTAACCTATTTAAGTTTTATTTGCATAGTCCACATTTGCATGCCGTGGCAGCCTATAATTAAGATGACGCTTAGCTTTAGTTTGATATTCATGTTACCTTAAAATCCATGTATTAGTGTTCGTCTTGTTGGTTGTCCTTTTAAATAAATAAAAATAAATAAAAACTAATAATTTACAGTATTTAATCATCAATTACAACCTAATACTAAACATAGGTCTTCCTCTCCTTAGGGAATATTACCACGGTTGCCACACTTGGCAGGTGGGTTGGCAACTGTCATTTTTACAATTATGCGTTTTCATCATAGAAATGTATCTGCCCATTTACTGTTTCCAATCCACGGGACAATAAGGGGTAGTGAATATTCTTACACGGCCAGTACACGGTTAAAGTTAGTAATAATCTAATGAAATCGTTCCTTTGTGACACACTAGTGTTCATACTAGGTTGCCCTTTTATTTTGAATCGCCAAAACACGTCGCACACATTTTATTTTTTTACATCAATGTTATTGTTATTCTCACTTTTCATGTTTTATTTTCTACAGCAACCTCCGAATCAATCTCTTCCACACCAGTATCGCCAACACCTCGGCGTTCGTTCCGTGTAGTAAGTCGCCGTCGACCAGTTGGCTCCACTAATACCACCTCAACAACAAACTCCACGCAATCTACCAATAATATTTTGGACAGTTTCATTGAACGGACAGGTAAAGATAATACGAATATAATTTTTTACTTAAGTAGGTGCTATTTTTAGCCATTGGTGTAATAAAGTCGAGTCAAGCCGATTAATTAGTGCTACAATCATAATAGGCTGCATGACTCTACCACGTATAAATCCATAAACTTCTTTGCTTAAAGTTGGTTGTGAGCTGCAGTAGTCACCATCAGGTTTCAGTTCACCCGATGGTAAGTGGCTATAGCACGCCATGGATATCTATGCAATCTATGGTAATTGTACTGGTTCTCTATACCGTATAGGTATTTAATTACCGTATAGATATATCTAGGTACGCGCGATTCATGAGGCTGTCAAAGATATGAGTGGCTCATCAGTGTCATCATCATTACAGCCCTTCACAAATCCACTACTGAACATAGGCCTCCCCCAAGTAATGCCACAAAGCACGGTCCTAAGCCACCTGTATACATCGACTTCCTGCATGTCTTACCAGGTCGTCACTCCATTAAGTCGGGGGTCGCCCTACACTTCGCCTACTAGTACGAGGCTGCCACTCTAGAAACTTTGCTCCCCATCGGTTATCGGTTCTTCGAGCTATATGGCCGGCCCATTGCCACTTCAGCTTACTAATCCGTTAGGTTACGTCGGTCACTCTGGTTCTACTGCGGATATCCTCATTTCTGAGTCTATCACGCAGAGAAACTCCGAGCATAGCCCTCTCTATAGCTCGCTGAGCGACCTTGAGCATCCTCATACGGCCAGCAGTGAAGGACCACGTCTCAGATCCGTAAGCCATCACTGGCAACACGCACTGGTTGTACACTTTAGTTTTCAGAGATTGAGGTATACCTGACGAGAAAATATGTCGTAATTTCCCGAACGCTGCCCAGCCGAGTTGAATCTGTCGATTGACCTCTCGGTGGAAGTTGGACCTACCTAGTCAGACTATTTTTCCCAGGTAAACGTACTCGTCAACGACTTCGAGCATAGTGCTCCCAACAACTACCGGCATAGGTGTGACGTGGACATTAAACATGATCTTTGTTTTGTCCATGTTCATCTTAAGACCTATCCGTTGGGAAGCACTATTGAGGTCATTGAACATAGTGCTTAAGTCCTCCAGCGATTCTGCCATAAGGACTATATCGTCGGCAAATCGAAGGTGAGTGATGCACTCGCCATTGATGTTAATACCGTATCCTTTCCAGTCCAGTAGCTTGAAAACGTTTTCCAATGCAGCGGTGAAGAGTTTCGGGGAAATAACGTCACCCTGTCTTACACCTCTCTGCAGTTGGATAGGTTTCGTACTCTGGTTCTGTACTCGGATAGCCATCGTAGCCCTACTGTACAAACACTTCAGCACTTCGATATACCGACAGTCAACTTGGCACCGCTGAAGGGACTGTAGCACCGCCCAAATTTCGACGGAATCAAAGGCTTTCTCATAGTCCACATATGCCAGGCAAAGTGGCAGATTGTACTCTTCGGTCTTCCGTACAATCTGCCGCAGGGTATGTATGTGGTCTATGGTACTGAAGCCTTTTCGGAAACCGGCTTGTTCGGGAGGCTGGAAGTCGTCGAGTCTGCGTGGGAGACGATTCGTAATGACTCTCGAAAACAGCACGTAGAAGCGCCTCAGAAGGGAAATCGGTCTGTAGTTCTTCAAGAGAGCGTTGTCGCATTTCTTAAGGAACAAGACCACCGCATTTCTGCTCCACGCCTCCGGAGTAGTACCACCATGGAGGACGGAATTGAAGAGCTTCTGAAAGTCTCTCAAGTACCGGTGTTCCACCGGCTTTCAGAAGCTCCGCTGTAATTCTCATCCTCGCCTGGGGCCCTGCCGTTTTCATGGTGCTAGAGAGCCATTCTAATCTCGCTCAGACTGACGTCCGGGATATCATCGGAATAGTGTTGGATAAGACTTGCTCTTGTATCATTACTCACACTTGCGTGTGGCTCCAACGATGATGTGTACAGCTGCCCATAGAACCTCTCAATCTCACTCAAAATCTCAGGTGTTCCGGAAAAGATGCTGCCACATTCAGTCTTCAGCTTTGACAGTTGGCTCTTTCTGGCAGACAGATCTCTGGCAAAGACTTTGGAGCCCTGGTTCCGCTCGATCGCTTCTTTAATACGAGCAGTACTAAAGTTTTAAGATCTGTCTGTTCAGTTGCCTGTATGCTGTCAAATCTGTTGACGACTGCAGCCTCATCTCCTGTCTAACAGCCATGAGATTAAGAGTGTGATCGGAGAGTGCTTGTGTTCTTCTGCGGCGGGTCTTGCAGAACTTAGCTCCGACCGCATGGACAGTTTCCACGAGCTTCTCGTTCATATCGTCCACTGCATTGCAATCTTCTAGGCACTGAAAGCGGTTATGTAACTCGAGCTGAAAGATTTCGGGATTCTGGATTAGAGCACGAGGGGGACGGAGCGTTGACTTCATTAGACGAGACCTCTCCAACTTAACGTTTAGGTTCAGTGTACCTCTAACCATTCGGTGATCGCTGCCGGTTTTCACCCTTGCGATCACTGAGACACCACTGAACAGTTGGCGTCTGATCGTCATAATGAAGTCAATCTCATTTTTGTCGAACCGTCGGAGCTCGACTAGATCCACTTCCTGTGGGGCCGCTTCTACAAGAAAGAATTCATCATAAAGAGTCCCTCTTTCTCCATAAAGTCGGCCAGCTGCTGGCCCCTTCGGTTCCGTTGTCCTACTCCAAATTTTCCTACCTTCAGCTCACCGTTTTCTCTTGTGCCTAGTTTTGCGTTAAGTCTCCCATCAACACCGTGTAGTGGGTTTTGGAGGAATTCATGGCTCTGGAAATATCCTCATACATTTCCTCCACCTCCTCATAGGGATGTGCCGGGGTTTGTGCGTAAACCTGTATGACCTTCAGTGAATACGGTTTGGTGATTCTGAGTATTAGGTACGCGACCCTCGTCGACACACTCCCTATCCTTACAACGTTGTTGATGAGAAACTTGTGGACGATAAATCCGACACCTCCTTGGGACAGATGGTCGCCCTACCGGTGATAGAACAAGTTGCCGGACTCGAGGATTACCGTGTCCTCCCCCTCTCTTCAGACCTCGGATAATCCAATAATATGCCAGCGCAACTTGTCTACCTCTTCTTCCAGCACCAGGATCTTCTCGTCATTCCTCAGGGTGCGTGCGTTATATGTTGTCAGGTCGAGTCGTCGTAGGTGGCAACCGAACCTCCACCGGAGATTCTTAGCACCCCCTGTCCCGCCGTTACCATGGTCGCCACCGTAGCCTTAGGAATAGCAGGGCCGCCGGCGACTGGGGGCCGTTTGTTTGCGTCGTTCTTCATGGGGGATATTTGCCATAGTTGCCACGTTTGGTGAGCGGGTTGGCAACCGCAGTTTTTTTTATGATGTCACCGTTTTTATCAGGAAGATGCTGCTGCCCATCTCCTGCCTGTCCCCCTCTGTCGCCTCTTACGACACCCACGGGAAGATATGGGGTACTTAATTTTCTCAACCGCCACTACACGGCACGATGAGTGGCTCACGTGTAGCAAAAGACTGTCCAGAAATGATAAAGAACAAAAAGTTGTAAAAAAAGGAATTTTGTTTATGATTTTTAGTGTTTTAAACCCATTCTATATAATCCCATTTTGCTTACAGGCGACAGTGCTGAGACAATAGTTACTTCAACGGGAGGATTCACCACCACCAATATAATTACAAATGTTTCACGGGGAACAAACCAAGCTACCGCGACATATATCGAAGACAGAAAGAACACAAGAGTGTCGCAGGGTGAAGCTCAATTAAACAGTTTTACTGGTGCAAACAACCCGGAACTGCCACTTAATACAGGAATATCCACAAACAAATATACCAATACAAATGAGAAATATAAAACAGTACAAAAACTGAGCCCTACTTACACTTATGAAAAAACAACAATTTCACAAAGAACAGAACCTTCAAATACATCTACCGAAAACAAAAACGTCACCACCTCGACACAACAAGAAACAGATACTACAAATAAATATTCCAGCACGAATGAAAGACTTAGAGAAGCTTCAAGCAGAATAAAGCCATCTACAAACAGCTCTAGAGAGCAACTGTCAACGAAATCTTCAACATTTGGATTTACTGTCACGGGTGCGAATACAAACGCACAAAATGATGCGATTACAGATACAACAGTGACGTTACAAAATTCCGGCCAATCTACGGCACGTACAGGTATAAGTGAAAAGTTTACGGTGACATCGTCCGCAGTAAAACCCTCAACAGAAATAAATACAGAAACATTTCAAAAAACTATTAAAACGCCTTTTATTTCCACTGACACTGTAATAACGAGTAAGAAGTACTCCGAAGTATCACGAAGCCCATCTTCTAGTACGTTTGTGAAATCGGTGGAAAAACATACGAAATTGAATGATGATAATGTTTCCTCAAATCGTTACTTTACTTCGAACGATCAGCACATAGATATTGTTCAAGACCACAAGAGTTCTACCGCCAAATACTTTACTGAAAAAGGATCTCAAAGTGTAAACCGAGGGGCATCTATTATATACTCAAGTACCACCGACAAGTATGTATCTGGAGCCATATACGACTTAAACTACTCGACTGCCGGCTATAGTCAGAGTCCAGAAAGTTCATATTCCCAAGTTTCAAACACGCAATCAGTTCAAAAGGAACAGCAATTAGTGTCAGATGAACAGCCAGTGAAACAAGTTCAAACAGCACAGTGGGTTCAGACAGTGCAGAGAGTACAGCCTGTAGTGAAAATCGAAACATCTGAACTTAACGGAGCCATCAAGCCTAAAAATAGCCTTAATTATAAAGGAGACAGTGAAGAAAGAGTAATACAGCAATACGGAGAGGAGGCCAAGATCGTCCTTCATGGAAAGGGTAAGTGTACAATAAAAGTAGTAACAGTGTACTAGACGGTAAAGCTCCTTTTCTTATTTATTATATAATATATGTGTATATATATATATATATATATATATATATATATAAATATAAAAAAAAAAATATATATATATATATATAACATGTAACATATATATAATCGATTCCTATCATTTTTAATATAGGTAATTTTTTATCCCAAAAATAATTAAAACTACGTAAATTACAGTCACACTAAATCTGTACAGTCAAAACAAACTGAAATGGACCGTAACTAGACAACAGGACTTTTAAGAGTGCAGTTTTATTTGTATTATTACTAATTCTGTCAATCAATAAAAGTAAAGAAAAATGAACTTTATTTCAAGCACGTTAAAGTTTTTGCGTTCGTGGATTTGAACTGTGACCACAACATTCTTCCGGAATTAGTATAACTAATTTGATAAATAACCAGTGCATAAAAATGTGTAACTAAAAATTCAGTGTATGTATTATGATTATAACATAATATACTAATTGGGTTGTCTGAGGGTGTGCATTAAGCTACGTTACATATTGTATATATAATTAATTATTATAAGTTCACACACTACACTCAGTTTCTGTACATGATAGAATCCGAAGCAATATACCCGCAATAGAACCAAAGTAACCGATACGACGGACCACCTACTAGAATCTAGATGGCGTGACGACCTGGCAAAGCAGCAAAGCAGCAAGAGGTCGATGGATGCATGTGGTTCAGCACCGTGTTTTTAGTAATATTTGTAATAGGATAATGTTCAGCAGCGGAAGTGTGATACGAGTAAGAATACTAATAGTAATAGTTGCAGACGGTGACGTTTCGTGTAGCCGCTGTAACGTGCGCTCCGCGAATTTAATTCGATTCTAAATAGTGAAAGTGAATAAATTTTATCAAAAACGCTGGCACAACTAGGATTCTATATACACATCAACATCTTAAGTCATCTTAAAGTAACAAGAGACAAATTCTTGAAAAGTTAATACTTTTAAAATTTGTAGAGACCACAATTTGTAGTGACAACAATTAGTGTATTATTACGAAATCAGTGCAAAATTTAAATACCAAAGTAGTTTAAACTGTACGTAAGGCAAAAAATCACTAAAAGTTAATAAAAACAAGACAAAAAAGGAATATGTGTTGTGAAAAGGGTGGGGTACTTCGTTAAAATATTTAAATGTGAAGTGGCTTATATTTAGAACAATACAACTATAACATATACTATAACATGTATATACACACTCTAAACTAGTAAATAAAAGAAACAAGTATTTTAGTGAGTAATTTCGTCAACTCTCAAGTAGTTAAAATAGCTCAATTACCATAAGACAACAGAACTTGTATCTGTGTATCAATAATCGGCAGATTAAATCCATATAGATATTATAAAATAAATTTATGTTTTTTTTTCTTTCTTTCGTTTTATTATTTATAGGGATTAACAACAAAAAGTGACTATTATCATATTTATATTTACAAAAGTATAACATGGAAATTGACAATATCACAATTCGTAAACGGAAAACAAATGATTCTTTTGATTGTTCCTTTATATCAAATAGATCGGATTGTAGAAGATACAGCCTACCCGATCTATCGATTGGTTATGACAGTGACGACTAAGAAGACGAATTAAGGGAAGAATAAAAATTTACAGACGAAATTGGTTAGTGCTAATGGTGAAATTGATAACTTAAACTATGAAATATATAACTTATCTAAAAAATTAAAAGATCAGCAAAAAAAACTATAGAAAACCCAAAAAAACTTGCTACCGAATCCACTACTAGCACTAAAAAATATAACTCTACGAAAAAATTGTTAAAAGACAATTAAGCAAGGATAATTCACTAGAGGAACTTAATAAAATTTTCCAGGAATTACAGATAAGAAATGATAATTTGACTCAAAGTAAACAAACTCAAACCTATGGCCAAATTCAAGAACAATATTTCCAATCCACTAACAATAAATGCATAAAGTCCCAACTATTACCACAAGATGACACTGCTAGTACCCAAACTAATAATCTCAACAAACCTACAAATAAAGAATCCAAGAACAATTTTGAAAAGAAAATATTTATAATAGGCAGTCAACAATGCGTCGGGCTTTCGTCACATTTAATAATTTCAAGACAACAATCAAGACATAATATATATGCTACGGCAGAAGAAATATTAAAGTCTTGTTAATAAACTTCAGCCGAACGAATCAAACTATATTATACTGTGTGTTGGTGAAAATGACATAAATCCTACTAAACTTAGTATTGAACTTTCGTCTGCTTTAAGGTATATGCGTAATTTAAATATTATATTGTTAAGCAAATATCTTAATACAGTTAAATTAAATCAAACACTAAAAATAATGTGTAATAACATAAATAAATGTAATTTTATATATTTATCAAGTAGATTACTAAGTAAGAAACAATATTTTGACAAACTTTATTATAAAATTAATTTGTTAATAGACTCAAAGGATTATTCGAATAAGTTTTTAAAGTTCAAAGCATCAAAAACCATCTTGTCAACTGTTCACAAACCAGGTACTATACCCTATTATTTTATGAAAATGCAAAACGCATTAACTACAAAAAAAAAACAAATAATAAACATAAGTGATCAATCTGAAACACATCAAGTCATAAAAAAGGGAACAATACCGTATTGTTTTAAAAAAATTAATAAAAAAGAAATATCGACAAAGATATCTTGCATGACACAGATTCAAAACAAAAAAATAATTCCTTTCGTTAATTTAAATGAATTAAATAATAAAGTTGTAATTTTTCATCAAAATATAGCTGGACTTCTCAACAAATTATTAATGGTAGAAATATGTATTAATGAACTTACTGAAACTACACATACGTATTTACAACGTTCTTTGTTTTACTGAAACTTTTATTAAATCAGGACATGAAAATAACATCAATTTGAAAAATTTTCGAATTGCTAGTCCCTATGGTAGATTAAGTGAATGCCGTGGCGGTGTTTATATTTTGGTAAGGAAACAATATGAGTTTAATGTTATAAACTATTGTAATGAAATATCAGTAGAAAAATCTTTTGAGTGTTGTGGAGTAGAAATACCATATTGGAATTCTATTATAGTATGTCTTTACAGAACACCAAATTCGAATGCTTTTTTTTTCTTTAACAAATTACAAGTCCTATTAAATAAACTATCACATACAAAAAATAAAAAATTGTAATAGCAGGTGATTTTAATATTAATACTCTTGTAAATAATAAATTGTCGATAGAATTAAAAGAATTTTTAGCAAATTATAATTTAAAATCACATATATTTGGCCCAACTCGCAAAACATCATGCTTAGACCATATTGCAAGCAATATCCCTAATGCAATTGGTAAAACACATGTACTTCATTTATCAGACCATGACACAGCACAAACGTTAGAATTCACACCGGCAGCTTTAACCCACAAATTTAATTCACATTACTTTATATTTATTAGGGTTTATAACAAAGAATATATTACAAAATTCAGACAGTGCCTTTCCAGTATCTCATGGAAAGATGTAATTGAAGAAAGGGGCAGAAAAACCAAATATTCAAAAAAACAATCATGAGTTTTTAATAGCATGTATATGTTTATTCATGTCATTATATTACTTAAAACTAATATTGCACAAAACAACATATAAACTCTACTTCAAAACAAACAAATTAAATAAGAAATCTCACAATGATGTTAATTCCGCTTTCAATAATGTTCATGAAACTTTGATAATGTTCTATGATCTCTGCTTTCCCACTTTAAGAATTAATATAAAAAGATTCAATTCGGTCACAAAATGGATTACAGAGGGAATTAAAAAATCATGTTGCACAAAAAGAAAATTAATGTCTTTATTTTTTTAAAACAAAACAGATAGTAGGAAGACACATGTCAGGACATATATATTAAAATCTTAAAATCTTGTATCATTAAAACAAAAAGCAACACATACAATAATTTCATTAATAAAGCTAAAAATAAATGTAAAGCTACTTGGAATCTCATCAAAGAGTCATCAAATGATTTACGGAAAAATAAGGACATTACTTCGATTCACAAAAATGAAACATTGATTAAAGATCCTGGAGAAATAGCAAATATATTTAACAGCTTCTTTACAAATTTACCAAAAAACTATGATAAAAAATAAAAGTTTTCCCTTAAAGTACGTTGATGTTAAAAATAACAGTATATTTCTGCAACCCTGCTCTGCAGAAGAAATTAAAAAATTATACAAGGGTTAAATAATACAAATCCAGTGGGTTATGACGGAATCTCCACAAAAATTTTAAAGTCTTGTGCTGAATTGGTATCTCCAGTTCTTTCTTATATTATTAATATATCATTTGAATATGGAATATTTCCAAACAAATTTAAATTTTCTGTGATTAAGCCAATTTATAAAGCGGACAGCAAAAAAGAAATTAATAATTATAGACCTATTGCTCTTATCCCAATATTAGCTAAAGTATTTGAAAAAGCAATGCATACTAGACTGAATAGTTTTCTAAATAAACATAAGATTTTACGAGAAGAACAAAACGGTTTTCAAAAAGAAAAATCAACAACACTAGCTAATTACACACTAACTCAGCACATAACAGAAAACATTGATAAAGGTATGAAAGTTACTGGTGTCTTTTTCGATATGAATAAAGCATTCGATTTTGTAGACCACGAACTATTATTAAATAAAATTGAAAAATATGGCATTAGAGGACTTGTATTCCAATGGATACAATCTTATTTAAGTAACAGAACACAATGCGTTCAAATAACTAGGATTAATGAATTTAATGAACATGTCACATATAGGTCTAAATTAAAACCCACTAGAAAAGGTGTGCCACAAGGTACAATTCTTGGTCCTTTACTTTTTATTTTATATATTAATGACCTTCCATTGGCAATCGATACACATTGTACTCTATATGCCGACGATATATCAGTTATAATAACAGGTAAAGAAAAGCCATCTGATTATGAACTTAAAGTTAACAATACTGTCACATCTACAATATATTGGCTCGAAAGTAATAATTTATCTCCCAATCTACTCAAAACTAAATATATTACATTCTGCACTAACCGGGCAAATATCCCTAAAATAAAAGTCGAGAGTCGTAATCAAGAAATTGAAAACGTTCCTGAAATAAAATTCCTCGGCCTTATTATAGACCAGCACTGTAGTTGGCAAAGTCATATAAGCTTAATGTGTGATAAATTAGATAAATTCCTTCGTTATGCACTTAAAAGACTAAACAAGTAAAGAAGCTGCTATAACAGCTTATCATGGATATGTAGCGTCCGTGCTACGGTATGGTTTATTGATCTGCGGCAATTCAACGGTTTTTAATAGAGCATTCCTCATCCAAAAGAAATTTATACAGGCGATTTTTGGATGTGGAACTTTTCATTCTTGTAAACCACTTTTTAAACAGTTAAAACTTATGACACTGTGTTGCATGTACGTGTATGGAATGGAACATTTGTAAATAAATATCCACATTTATTTCAAAGATGTAGTGATAGTTGTACAGATAAAACATTTCCGCATAGAGATGTTACAAGATTAAATTTACGAAAGTGTAAAACTGTCTTTTATCAGAAGAGCTGTCCTAATATGTGTATAAGAGTATATAATAAAATCCCCAGTGATATTCGAAAATTGCCATTTAACTTTTTTCAAAAAACATTGAAGCTTATTCAGAATTGATTTTATTCCCTAGATGAATTTTATTGTTATAGACCAAAGTGATATTTAATATAATCTTGACTTGACTTGATAACTGTTGACATGTACACCTTAACTTGACATTTTTTATTATTTTATTTTATTTTACTTTGGCATTAAGACTGGATCAAATTTTGTATTATTTCTTGTTTATTGTTAACGTCTATGTATATGTGTGTTATTTATCTTGTGATACTTTATTCTTAGGTTTATCACTAAATTGTAATTAATCATAGATATCCATAAAACATTTATAAATTACTAGACTGACAATTATAAAATTATATATTTGCATGCCACTGGCGAAATATGATTGTACCATACCAAATTATTAATCCTGTAACTACCATATTTCTTGCAAATAAATAATTATTATTATTATTACAAGCTTTAGTAAAGATGAAGTTGATATCATTGGAAACACATTGAAATATTTTATTTTACAAAAGTCCAATTTTGCGATTAGAGTAAACGAGGTGCTTAAGGTCTTTTCGGAATCGGAAGCAAGAGATCGTTCTAACATTTCCCATTGATGCCTCTTACTGCACCCACGTGACGTAATGGAGAGATTTATTTATTTACTGGCTCTTTAACAAAGGTATTTAGGTAACTAATAATTTACAGTATTTAATCATCAATTACAGCCTAATAATAATCATCTTCTAAGGGAATATTACCACGGTTGCCACACTTGGCAGGTGGGTTGGCAGCTGTAATTTTTACTATTATGCGTTTTCATCATAAAAATGTTGCTGCCTATTTACTGTTTCCATTCCATGGGACGATAACGGGTAGTTAATATTCTTACACGGCCAGTACACGGTTAAAGTTATTAATAATCTAATGAAATCGTTCATTTGTGACACATTGGTGTCCGTACTAGGTTGCCCTTTTGTTTTCACACATTTAATTTTTTTTACATCAATTTTATTGTTATTCTCACTTTTTATGTTTTACTTTCCACAGCAACCTCCGAATCAATCTCTTCCACACCAGTATCGCCAACACCTCGACGTTCGTTCCGTGTAGTAAGTCGCCGTCGACCAGTTGGCTCCACTAATACCACCTCAACAACAAGCTCCACGCAATCTACCAATAATATTTTGGACAGATTCATTGAAAGGACAGGTAAAGACAATACGAATATCATTTTTAATTAAGTAGGTGCTATTTTTCGGCCGTTGGTCTAATAAAGTTGAGTCAAGCCGACTCATTCGTGCTACAACCATAATAGGCAGCATGACTCTACCACGTATAAATCTTCTTTGATTAAAGTTAGTTGTGAGCTGCAGTAGCCACTTACCATCGGGTTTCAGTTCACCCGATGGTAAGTGGCTATAGCATTCCATGGATATCTATGCAATCTATGGTAATTCTACTGGTTCTCTATACCGTATAGGCATTGCTCTTATGTGGCAGGAATAGTAACGAAGTTAATATCCAGGATCTTCTAGGTGTACGTTGTTTGCGCCTAGCAGTGGTCACATACAACCGCCGGTACGATATACTCCGCCAATCGTCGAGTCCGTATACTCCGAGAGGCGTCGAGGTCAACAGCCCCTACGTAGAATCTTAGGCACTTTAAGGCGCTTGTGCTTTTAGTGCTCAGTCGCGTTTTAGAGTGCCACCCAATGCACTTTCCCCAACCCTTTAAGTTATTAAAGGGGCAGGCAGTGTCCTAGAGCCGCAGGCAACCACCTTCTCCCACCCTTCACCTTGTTGCATCCACCGACCGATCGTCGCCAGTACAGAATTTCGTTCCCGTTCGGGCTGCCGCAAGACGACGGACAGAGGCCTTCTACTAGTTACGTCCACATCGCAGCAGCGCCAGCAGTTCCACGACCCAAGGCGGCAGAAGAGCCCAAACCTGCAGAAACCGAGAAGGCTAAATATCAGCCCATATTGGCGGATAGCCTCCCGGTCTGGATGAGGCATTTCGAAGAGCTTAACAGAAAGCTAGGCCACCTTCCTAATGCCCGCCCGTTTGAGCAGGGTGTTAGATTCACACCGCAGAGTACCGATGAGTTCCGAACCATCCAGCGATACATGATCGAGCTCTCGGAGAAGTTACCAAGAATGTCGTGGTAAAGTTATACCCCGGAGGAAGAGAAGCCCACTAAAGTGTGTATCCGGGGGCTGCACGTGGGCACACACAAGTAAACAATAAAGGTGGCCGTCAGGGCAAATGGCTTCCCTATCAATTACGTTAAGGCTATTCCACCACTTAGAAGCAAACCTGGATGGCTCTACTTCGCATAGCTGGACCACCTGGGCCTGGATAAGCTGTAAGAACTTTATATAATATAAGACCTCCTCTACATGAGAGGGGTTGTCATCGAAGCCTGGCAAAGGAAAGCGGGACTGGCACAATGCCACCGTTACCAGGCTTTCGGGCACGCCTCCGCCCACTGTTTTAGGCGTGAAGTGTGTTCGCTGTGCCGGAAGCATATTGCCAGCCATTCCTTAGGGGTACGAATGAGAAACCGAAGTGCGCCAACTGCGCCAGGAACCACACGACCAACGATCGCTGCTGCCCAGTCTTGAGGAGGATTGCAAGGACGCAGGGGATCACTCTGCCGGGGCTACTCCCGGGGGACCCGAAGAGGATCCTCCAGAGTCACCTAAGAACAGGAGCTGTCTCACCCGTCCTCCTGGACCGTTAGAGGTAAGGGTAGGCAGTCAGCTCACCCCCCCCCACGCAACACAAATAGAAATGGTGGAAATCGCTAAAGCAAGCCTCGCTAATGACGCCACACGACAGCCTCTCCTCCTCAGGCTGTAACTTCTACCCCAACACCCAAGTCCTGGCCAATATTGGGTCTGGGACAGATCCAGTAACTGCCATGATGAAGGTGCTGGCGTCGCTTCTGGCACGCCATTACGGAGGATAGTAACCTTTCCTCCTCCTCCTCTTGGAACCCGGCCACAGGACATCCAGGTGATCTTGCTGGGAGAGACAAAGTTAGGACCAACAACGCATCTGAAGCTGCCAAACAACTTCATCTACAGGCGGGACGAAGTAAAACCTCAAGGAATCGCCTACAGAGGGATGGCAATTCTAGTGTGGAGACACATCATCCATCAAGAGCTAGACCTGCCAGATTTTCAAACGATGCGCTCTATGGACATAAAAATGGACGCGGCCGGCGAGGAATTAAGGGTCTTTGCAGCATATCGCCCGCCAGGACTCCATTTTACTCCTCAGACATCCGGACGGTAATGGAAGGCACGACGGCCACCATCAAGAGACAAAGTTTCCTTCAACGGGGGCTATCAAATCATCCCAACCTGCAGGATTCACCACTACCAATATAATTACAAATGTTCCACGGGGAATAAACCAAGCTACCGCGACATATATCGAAGACAATAAGAACACAGGAGTATCGCAGGGTGAAGCTCAAATAAACAGTTTTACTAGCGCAAACGACACGGAACTGCAACTAAATACAGGAATATTCACAAACAAATGTACTAATACGAATGAGAAATATAAAACAGTACAAAACCTGAGCCCTACTTACACTTATGCAAAAACAACAATTTCACAAAGAACAAAACCTTCAACTACATCTACCGAAAACAAAAACGTCATCACCTCGATTAAGATTATTCGATACCTCGAAGAAGATTAACAGAAGCTTCACGCAGAAGAAAGCTATCTACAAACAGCTCTAGAGAGCAACTGTCAACGAAATCATCAACATTTGGATTTACTGTCACAGGTGCGAACACAAACGCACACAAGGACGCGTTTACAGATACCACGGTGACATTACACACAGTAAAACCCTCAACAGAAATACACATAATAGTGTATAGTAAAGTGTATAATAAATAATAGTGTAAAGTAATAGCGTATAATAAAAGTAGTGACAGTGTACTAGACGGTAAAGCTCCTTTTCTAATCAGGAGAGTAGGAGGCATTTAATAATGGCCTAAGTTCAGAAGCGGTCTTTAATAGGCTCTATTGACTAAAAATTTCTGATCAAGATAGTAAGAGACTATTAATAATAGTCTGAGTTCAGAAGAGGTCTTCAATAGGCTGTATTGACTGAAAATAATGATAATGATTGATCTGAAGGATTATCGCTCAAGAGGTCAACGAAGTCGTGAGTAAAAATTACTACATCTAGTTTTCAATAAAATGTTCATAAAAGTATTGAATTTATTTAAGTTTAGAATAATGTATAGAATAATAACATATTACATTAATTTATATCCGATATTTTTAATAAGCCAGTTCTTGACTACTATTCCAACTAATGTTAAGTAAGCCGAAGATGGTAAAGTGCAAAATGTAACTCAATTGCAACCGAATTTTTTAATTATATTGCCAACTCGCTTACCACAGGTCAATGGAATAAATGAAAAATCTATCCCCAAAAACCGATCGGAAACCAACAAGATATTCTTATCAGATTTCTTTTTAACAAATGAATAAGATAACCTAACTTTCATATTTCATAACTACAATTGTTTTATATATAGAAATACAATTAAGCATTATTAATTCACCCACTACACTCAGTTTCTGTACATGATAGAATCAAAAGCAATGATACCCGCAATAGAACCAATGTTACCGATACCGTCAAATGGACCACCTTCTAAAATATAGATGGAGTGAAGACCTGGCAAAACATGCTGGAGGTCGATGGATGAATGTGGTGCAGGACAGAGTTTTGTGGTAATCTTTGTGAGAGGATTATGTTCAACAGTGGAAGTGTGATGAGCTTTAATGAAGATAAGGTTGATATAATTAGAAAAAATTTAATATTTCACTTTACAAAAGTCTAACTTAGCGTATACGATATGCTTAAGCCCATCTATCGGAAGCCGGTATATCTATCTAACATTTTCCATAGTTGCAACACCCACGTTATGAAATGAATAGATTTATTTATTTACTTATGTCTCTTTCACAAAGGTATTTAGATAACTAATAATTTACAGTATTTAATCATCAATTACATCCTAATACTAAACATAGGTCTTCCTCTTCTTCGGGAATATTAACATGGTTGCCACGCTTGGCAGGTGTGTTGGCAATTGCTTTTCTTACAATTTTGAGTTTTCATCACAAAGATGTTGCTTCTCATCTACTTTTTCCGTTCCATGGGAAGATACTGGGCAGTGAATATTCTTACACGGCCAGTACACAGTTAAATTTATTAATGATCTAATGTAATTATTCCTTTGTGAGACACTAGTGTTAGTTAGTGTTTAGGTTGCCCGATTATTTTCTTTTGAATAATTTTCTTGCGCCGTCAACACACGTCGCACACAGTTTACTTTTATACGTCAATTTTGTTATTATTTATACCTTTAATATCTTACTTTCCACAGCAACCTCCGATTCGATCTCATCCACAACAGTATCGTCAACACCTCGACGTTCGTTCCGTGTAGTAAGTCGTCGACCAGTTGCCACCACCAATACCACCTCCACATCTAACACCACGCAATCTTCCACGAATATTCTAGACGGATTCATTGAACGGACAGGTAAAGACAATTCGAACATAACATTATTTGCTTAAAGTCGGTCGCAGTCGTTTAGGCCGGTTTCAGAGTTCGACCGACCGTCGCGTCGGTGCGTACGTCGGTCGCGCTTGTCTTTTGTATGAAAATTCACAAGTCGTTACATTGCTCGACCGACCGTACGCACGCGTAAATAGCTACACACTGCGTACGAGGACCGTCGATCGAGCGCGTCCGCGTGCGTACCGTCGGTCGACCGACGCGCTATGGAAACATAGTGACGTGTTCAGTGCTACACCGACCGTACGGATGTGTGTATCATCGTCAAAAAAATCAAAACTAAACTTTAATAATATTGTATGATTTTATAGGTATTAAGTAGTGTCAGTGATATAAGTAATTTTTATCAAACATGGCATATGTCGACACCTAACGCCTCGCGGATGTTTTAAGTTGTCTTGTAATTTCACTGACAATTGTCAGAACTTTTGATCAAAACATCAAAATTTTTGATTGACATTCTCAAAAATTTTTCTTCATCTTCACGCAATAATGAATATAAAGTAGTTAATTCCCCTTGAAGTACTCTTTGGGCGACGATTGGGTGAACCTGATATCTACGTCTTCTGTTCCTTATACGTTTACGAACATAGTAAGCAGCAATTAAACAATTAACGCGTCCATTGTACGTGTTTGTGACTGTACCAGTCCGGCCAGTTTCGTTGCTCAGGAAAGCTCTGAACGCTACAAACTGACGATCGGTTATGCGTATCGTCAGGACCGATGGTACGCACCGACGGTCGGTCGAGCTCTAAAACCGGCCTTATAGCCTGCAGTAGCCTGTAACCATCAGGTAACAGTCCACTTGATGGTGAGGTGCTTCGTATTCTATGGATATCTTTGCAATCTATGGTAATTTTACTGGTTCTTTGTACCGTATGGACACTACTGCTTATGCGGCATGAATAGGTACGAAGTTGTTATCTACACAGACGATATTCCTAGGTAAAGAAGGCCTACCTGACCAAGTAATGTATGTATGTGTGGCATAATGTAAATATGTAATGGAATTTCATAATTCATTTTTATACCCATCTCGCTGTCCGAATAATCTGAATTTGTGCAGAGGTATTAAGAACTGATGACAATACAGTAATTTCAAGACTATGACCGAGTATTCTCTCTAACATTCTCACGGCACTTACTCAATGCGTGTTGTTTTTTTAACTCTAATGTTTTTTTATTTTTTTTATAGCCAAGTTATTTATATATTCTATATATTTTCAGAATCTGTTGAAAATTCATCTATAACCTCCCGTTCTAATTTGAAGAACTTGACGATTAAAAAGCGTCCATTAGTATCTCTGAAGGTTGTGGAGGATCAAAACCCTGCCTCTACGAATGAAGAGGAGGAAAACCGACAGAGTACGAGTATAAGCTATAGTTCCAGCTTCAAGCAAAATCAGTTAGATGAAGTGCAAAGACTCTTGGCTCAAGGTTCAAGGAAATTCACAGTTGAAAGTAAGAATTCCTTACACAGCTTCTCTACTTCGTTTTTTTATTATTATTATGTATAGAATAAGAGTGACAAGCAAGTACACGATCCCTCTGATGGTAGGTGGATACTTTGGGCCACAGATATCTACGTCTTTCTTCGATTAAGAACTGGGGACTAAATGAGAAGCTTCATTTCCAAAAAAGACTCTCTACAATTAAACTGCTATTATATTATATTGTTATTACGCTGGCTCGGGGTTTCTCTGAGTGATAAACTTAGGAATTAAGATATCCGCAGTAGAAACCAGAGTGACCGACATAACCCAACGGACTAGTAAGCTGAAGTGGCAATGGGCCGGCCATATAACTCGAAGAACCGATAACCGATGGGGAAGAAAGGTTGTCGTGTGGCAGCCTCGTACCGGCAGGCGAGTGTAGGGCGTCCTCCTACTAGATGGAGTGACCACCTGGTAAGACACGCAGGAAGTCGATGGGTGCAGGTGGCTCTGGACCGTGCTTTGTGACATTACTTGGGGGAAGCCTATGTTGAGCGGTGGACTTGTGAGGGACTGTAATAATAAATGATATTGATTACGCTGATATGCGGTGAGAGGTCCATCCTCGGTCGGACAGACCGATTCTGCAGCTGTATTATAGCTGTACCACGTCTCTACAACGCATAAATAATTCATTATTAGTGTTATATTAATATTATTTAGAATTTGTCTTTCTAATATTATTTATGATTGTATTATTAAATATTTGTATTATTTGTTTAATTCTTTCCCGTTAAAAATCCGTTCAACACCTTGTTCTTTTATTGTCTTATGTGTTGGACGTATTATGTTTTCCCTATTATGTCTTAATGCGATGATATTCTTTTTTTATTGGTTAATTGCTTTTGGTAGAGGCATAATATCTCTCTATTTCTCAAATAATGGGGACTGTGGTAAAGGTTAACAATCTGATAACTATATATGTATTGTTGTAAAACATTTTATGACATACTAAAATGATAATACCCAAACCAGCGCGCGTGACATGTGGTTGTCATCCTTCTAACAATAGGAGAGGCCCTGTTAAGGACTGATAAAAAACCATATGTTTTGAAAAGAATTTTTTTAATGATTTTTATCGTTTTAAACCCATTTTTAATCATCCCATTTTGCTTACAGGCCACAGTGCTGAGACAATACTTCCTTCAACAGGAACTATCAAAGCATCCCAACCTGCAGGATTAACTGCTACCACTATTATTACAAATGTTTCACATGGAACAAACCAAGCTACCGCGACATATTTCGAAGACAATAAGAACACAAGAGTATCGCAAAGTGAAACTCACGTAAACAGTTTTACTGGCACAAACGACAGGGAACTGCCACTTAATACAGGAATATCCACAAGCAAATATACCAATACAAATGAGAAATATGCAACAGTACAAAACCTAAGCCCTACTTACACGTATGTAGAAACAAGCGACAATTTTAAGCTAATTTCACAAAGAACAAAACCGTCGACTACATCAACAAACGTCACCACCAAGACAGAACAAAAAACAAATCCATCAAATGGCTATTCAAGCACAAATGAAAGTTATATAAAAGCTTCACGCGGAAGGAGGCCATCTACAAACAGCTCTACAGAACAACCCACAACGGAATCGTCAACAGTTGCATTTACTGTCACCAGTGATGGCACGAATAATGGTAAGTTCCACCTTTAATATTTATGATGAATGACTACAGTGAAAGTTCAAAAACAATTTAATTATTAAAATAAAGAAATACTATTTTAGCATTAATCAATAAAATATAAATCTTTAAAATATAATCCTTTTCCACTTTTGTACCAATAAAAAACTATTAAAAAATTGCAGGTAACCTATCACCTGTGACTTCTAACCAACCATCAAGCACAATTAGTAATCTGGCCAGAAAGAAGACGGTGTTCCGAAGAATTTCCACAACTACCCAACCGAGTTCAAGCACGACAACAACACCGAAGTCAAGTACTCTTGAGAAAGTCCATACAGTCGAGACAGTGACAGTTCTTAAAAAACAACCAGTTCAGAAGGAACAGCAATTAGCGTTAGAAGAACTGCCAGTCAAGCAAATTCAACCAACACAGAGGGTTCAGACAGCGCAGAGAGCACAGCTTGTAAGGAAAGTCGAAACGTCTGAACCCAATAGAGCGATCAGGCTTATAGGTAGAAATGTTTATAATAACGACAGCGAAGAGAAAGTAATACAGAAGCAAGAAAATGAGACAAAAGTGATTGTTCGTGGAAAACGTAAGTAATAGTATTAACAGTTTACGAGGTGGTGGGACTTTTTTCTGCCTAGGAGTCTGTCTGTATAGGTACCATCCTTAGCTATTTCTACCATCAAATAGCAAGGCCTGCACTGCTATGTTCCCGTCCGAATGATATAGAGCACGTATAGTTACAGGCTGTGAAGTATTCCAATTATTCTTTCTCAGATGTGCCAACGCATTAGCAGCTATAGTCTGTTCGCTAGGATGGTAGCGTTACACCAGAAGGCGCACTTATTATTTTGTTTTTATCACAGAAATAGTAATAATAAGACAATCCTCAGTAAGACTAAAAAACTCGAAATTCTTAAATGAAACTAATTTTTCACGATACTATTAGCTCTTTCTGCTTAGATCGGACCAAAAGTTCAAAAACTGAAGGTAGCCATAATAACTATGACATCAAACACCTCAGTCTCCCCTGTGACCATGGGTGCAGGAATTTAAAAGTTAAAACTATATGCAATTAATCCATAAAAATTAGTTTAATTTTAAATGAAATCCTCAAGAACTATAATAATTTCTTGAAGAAATATGACATTATCTTTCATTTTGTTGCCATTCAGAATAAAGTCATTTGTAAGTGTACATAATACTTGAGATGCAGGCAGCATCATCTTCAAATTAAGTCATAGTAAAATTTTTAAAGTCCTTGTGAGAAGAGGCAGCAAGAAACTCACAAGTGACACTAAGTTTTTTCCAAACCTGAACCAAAACTAGGAGGACAACCTCCTCCAGGTTTTGGTTCTATAGAGCGGCAAAGCTTAAGGTATTACCCACACGTACCTTATACACGAAATCCTTGTCGAAAGTCGAAAACGCATTACCTCAAAATATTTAGCATTTACTTTTAATTTCGAGTTATAGATATTCCTCTGTATTTTATTATGTATTATAATATACAGGCTGTAAGTAAATACAGTGTAACCTTAATATAACGAGCCTCAATATAACGAATTCCTCGATTTAACGAACTTTTTGAAATCCCCTAGAACTGCCCGTAAGAGCTAATGCAAAATTTTGTTTATAGAATAGAGTGACAAACGAACACATATTCCACCTGATGGTAAGTGGTTGCTGTGGCCCATAGACATCTACATCTATCCTCGATTACGAATCAAAATGCAGATGTGTTGTCACCCGTGAGGACTAAGATGGAATGCCTCGTTTCCAGTAAAAAAGGGTCTCCGGTTCTCTACACTCACCACACGAAACACAGCAGCATTAAGCTACTATTTTACACTGGTATTCTGTGAGAGCATGGTCCTTCCCCTGTCAAGCTGACCCATTCGTGCTACAACTATACTACTAATGTAACTGCACAATGGCTCTACCACGTAGAAAAATATAAATATACTTTAAAAAATATACCTCTACATTAAGTTATATCAAAAACCTATCCTACGTACTATCAAAAACCTTTTTATAACGAATTTTTAATCATTGCAAAATATAGGTAGAAGGTATTATTTACCTCTATTTAACAAATTTGTTCGACATAGAACCTTGACGTGACATATCCTATTAATTATTCTCACTTAATTCCACAATAAATCCTCTTGTTGTCTTGACAGGTTCAGACACGTTAAACTCTTAGGAAGACACTGGTTTATTGTTTTCTATTTTGATAAAAACAAAAATACTGTATTTTCATTTATTAGTAGAAATTCTTCGCTTTAACAGGGTGAGTAAGGCCCGACCCGGGTTTCAAACCCGGCACCTCATAATCAGCAGTCAGCAGCTTTCGAGGCAGTCAGTCGGGCAGATAAGATATCCACGTAACCAAATGGCGTTATGTGTGACGTAACCTTAAGTTATCTGATTGTTAATTTATTTATTTCACAGGTAACATTGAATGCTTGGACATCGGCAACTTCCCTCATCCATCATCATGCAAGAAGTTTATAACGTGCGCTCGCACGAAGAGTGGTACTTTGCGCGGCACGGAGTACACCTGTCCCACTGGCCTGTTGTTTGACCCAGTTAAAAGCATTTGCAACTGGCCTGCGGAAGTCAAGTGTAACGAATAAAACTCTTAAAAACAATTTGTTTTGACTACATAAACTATAGTTTTCTTTGTAGCTGTTGTCTTTCAACTTAATAAAAATGCTGTTGACAGCTCTAGCTCCATTAAAACTTCCATTTTCAAGTTAAAAGAGCGAACAAAGAGTACCTATAATAACTGCCCTATAAATGAGCGATATAATAATTGTAGTGAGCAAGTAACGGAAGAAGAACTTTTTTTCATGTAAGCACGAAATGATAATTGCTTTTAAATGTATCTCTGCGTTCCTCTTTAAATAAATTCTCTGTAGATATTTTTTTAATAATATATAATATAATAAAAAATATCACTGTAATTATGACAAAAATATCGATAAATTAAATATAATGTTAAATAATTATTGTCTGATCTAAATTTTTATAGAAAAGAAATAGTGGCGTAGCCGTAGTCGACTGGGTAGATGCTAGGTGTTTGATGTTTTCATACCTAAGTCTATAAAGAATATCTACCTCAATCTATGTTACTTATTGTTCCTTTGTGACGACAAACGTTTATTGAAGATGAATAATGTAGCTTTTATAAGATCGTCCAACATGATTGCTGGCTTATTGTGCATTTACTTGGGCGACCACTTAAAAATTTGCGAATTGCAATGTTCAATTAAAATATCAGTTTTTAATTTTAAATGGCCATTCTCTCTAAAGTACAAAACTTTTATAATATTTTGTAAAGCCTAACCAGAACAATAAAAACTAGACAATATAGACAAGCCTCAGCATTATTCGGGTCTTTCTTTTGGTTATTGTAATTCCCTGTCTGTTAAAAGTTAAAGACTTCTGTAAGAGCTTAAGCACTCGTTCTTCATAAAATGGGCTCTAATGATATACAATTTGAAATGTATGTACTTATATATCAAATTTCTATCATCTAAGTGCAAAAGAAGTTTAATGGATGAGACTCCTATCATTTGGGTATTTTCAATATCAAATAGGTCTCTTTTATTTAATCTGATATTCTTATAAACAGAAAATTCAATCAAAATACGACTTACTGACGTACATTGTCACGTGGGCAAATATTATTAGTAACATCAATATAATTGGCCTAAACTACCCACAATATAGAAAAGGTTTTTATGTTCCTGGTAGGGCTCCATATTTATTATATATTTTATTATTAAATCCCTTTTTACATGCACACTTTTCAATTATTTTTTTTAATTAATTTAGTTCTACTAACTAGTCGATATGCCTAAAAATAGGTACCAACCAATTTCAAAATGTGCCTTAATAATTTTAAATTGTATATAGTTGTAAGTTTAATGTAATTAAAAATAAAATAAAAATAAGCTCAAGCGCATCTTTATGTAAACTACGCCTCTCCCTTTTAAGAAGTACAGGTGAAGCTGTAAATAATCATACACCAAAGGTATATTATACATGAAACTATACAATACAAATCCCCTTATTGTACACCAAAGAAAGATAAATATTTTACATTGAGGGAAAACAAAAGGAGGTCCATTTTGCGTGTCCATTGTGCGTGCGTGCGTGCGTGCTTGCGTGCGTGCGTGCGTGCTTGCGTGCGTGCGTGCGTGCGTGCGTATTACTAGAAACGTGCTTACTTATTTTTAATATTAACAGAAGTGTTAATTTATCGGCCACATCATGAAATGGCGACGTATCATGAAATGCCAGAGTAGATTACGATCTGCCCAATTCTTAACGAGCGAACTACGACAGATATACCAACGTTCTTCAAAGCAAGAGTGACCATCTTCGGCTACATCACCACTTATCACACATCAAGAATTCTTTTACATGACAGGTCCACGCTACAACGATATATGTATTGTTGTAGTAAGAATAGATCGGCTCGACCGAGGAACACCCACGCTCTCACAGAATACCAACGTAAAATAACAGCTTGATGCTGGTGTTTCGTATGGTAAATACAGTGAATTTAGGTCCATAGGCGTGAGAACGCAACTACATTGTGACTCTTAATCAAGAATAAATGTTTTCTATTTGACCTTTCCAATCAGCCGTTCATCTTCACTGCTATTATGCGCAGGATGATGTTACTGCTCTCACGGGATCTGGTTAAAAGCAAGGCTCTTTCCTTGCGCCACATTGAATAAAAGGTTTCCGTCCGCGCCACAGTAAACATAGCCGACCCACTACATAACCGAACCGAAGCAGCAAAAAACAGCCTTCCAAACGTATTATTATGTTGAACTCGAAGAGTATTGTAAGACTTTTGTGTATATTGGAACCACTTACTTGTTGAGTACAAGGATATAAAGTAAGCTTTGAATACCGTTATCTTAACAGCGTCCGAATACCAACATATTCGCACGGATTGACAATGCCCTGTGTTCTCACTCCATGTCAGCATCATCTCCAAGGCCTTTTCAGTCACCACGTGCCCAAGGTATCTAAATTTGTAAGCTCTTACCACTTGTTACCCTCCCTGAAAACCACGAACTCCGTCTTTTTCACATTATATTGTAAAGCGTACGTTGCTGCGTATGACTCACATCCAGAAAGCAACTTTCGCGGTGTGCTTACTAAAGGCCAGGTACCAGCAGCACCATGTCAATGGCTTAACTCACTTTATTGACACATACACCGTCCACGTGGCTACCTACAGGCATACTGCTGAGTCCCTTAATCAGTCAGGAAAACCTTGGGTACATTAGAATAATTTTAACCAAATAAGAAATTTTTGTTATAAACTGGATTTTAAGAAAAAAAAAGCGATGTCCATGATTGCAGCTACAATTTAAAGAGAGTCATACCATTTTGGAATCATTACAAAATGCGCCAACTTCTGACGCTAATTGTTAAACTCGCGTAGACCAATTTTAAATGCCTATAATTTAGAAAACATGCAGCTTAATATTTTTCTGACAACCAGTATTACTTGTCTTTTCACGCGGTTCCGGGTTGACGTCGAATTTTGGGACCACCTTGTACGTAGGAAAAAAAAAAAAAATATATATATATATATAAAAATATATATATTGTTACGGCATTGCGGTCGACAGGATTAGGGCCCATCCTGTAAAAAAAGTCGTAGGACTACACGTCAGAAGTGAAAACTTCTTATCTTCACAAACTTCAAAACTATTTTTGGTTTTAAGAAGTATTTTTTATTATAAATTATTTTTATCAAGACGTGACTCTTCACTGCTGGCCGTATGAGGACGCTCAAAGTCGCTCAGCGAGCTATGGAGAGGGCTTTGCTCTACTGAGTTTCTCTGCGTGATAAAGTTAGAAATGAGGATATCCGCAGTAGAACCAGAGTGACCGACATAGCCCAGCGGATTAGTAAGCTGAAGTGGCAATGGGCCGGCCATATAACTCGAAGAACCGACAACCGTTGGGGAAAAAAGGTTCTCGAGTGGCAGCCTCGTACCGGTAGACGATGTGTAGGGCGACCCCCCACTAGATGGAGTGACGACCTGGTAAGACATGCAGGAAGTCGATGGATGCAAGTGGCTCAGGACCGTGCTTTGTGGCATACCTTGGGGGAGGCCTATGTTCAGCAGTGGACTTGTAAAGGGCTGTAATGATGATGATGATGATTTTTATCAACGTATATAGTAATGAAAGTTTCTAATACGTTGTATTTATTACGTTCTTTTACATGAAAAAGAATGATATTGTCTATATAATACCAAAAAAAATTATAAATACATTTCAATTTTATAAAATTTAATCAATTGAATTTTCAACATTACTTTCATCAATTTTATGTATCTATAGTCAACCAAATCTAAGAAATATATTTCGACAGCTGTCAAACTTATTGCACCAAGCATGCCAACCAAAAAATGGGTACGTACAATATTCGATTCTTAAAAAAATCGATATCGATTATTTAGAGTTAGTAATCGTTTGGTATGAATACCAGAATAAATTTAAAACGGATAATTTAAAACAAGTGTTATCAGTTTCTTCCTATTTATTGTTTCTGCTTATTTTTAGAGGAAAAGTTATAAAAATTTAAGATTGAAACTAGATTATAAAATTAATTTATTCAATCACTTTTAGTACAACCAGTTGGGCTGTCGTTATTTAGATTAATTATTATTTGATTTTCAATAATGCAGTCAAAATTAATGTCTCTTTCAAAGTCATCCATAATAAATTTTTGTTGTTTTTTCTACTACTATTGCCAATCGTCCTTTGTGACATGGGCACATGCTTCAACGAACAGAGAACAAGAACAAGAAACAGTCCAAAAAGTTAAAGCCTTGTAACAAAATAAGAAGGCAAACAAAAAATCACAAAATTACACATAGTAAGCTCCCGAAATTGCGGGGGGATTGAAATTACGTTGTGGTTTTTTCCTGGCAGCCTTGTAAATGAGTCTTTTTGGCTACACAAATTTACGTAGACAAAGTTAAAAAAGTAAACTTGTTTTAAAATTTTAAAAAAAATTAACTAACCAAAAATACAATAAAAAAAATTAATGATTCGATTATTTGAATATTTTTACCGATTATTTGAATATTTTTGCCGATTATTCACATAAAAATGGATTTTAATCATCCAAACACTATGGTAAGGTACATAGCGAAATATCATTGACCCAACGTCAAGCAAAAGAGCTGATACTGGTATTTTTTTTATATTTTGCTTTGTTTAAAAGATCGAATTTAAATTAGTGATAAAAAAACTATACACGTTGTAATGAAATATAGATAAGTTCATAATTCTTCGGATTTACGTAAAAGGTTATTTTAAATCGTGTAAGTACGCCTGTGCAAAGTTATTGCGGAATGTTTAACCTTTTTGAGCGCCACGCCAAAAACGCATTACCGTGTCCTGTACGCCAGAGCGAAAAGTAAACAAAAATACCTGCGAAAAAAATTGTGTTGCCAAGAGTTGATATATCGATAACACAAAATAACTCGATTTTGTTGGTTTTTATGCAATAAATGACTCTTTATAATCTGGTATGTTTTATTAATCTTGTGCTGTCTTCCAATTTTTATGTATGTAAAGAAACAATAACAATAAAATAGTAGTAAACCACAACACTACTCTTTATAGTGATGACGTCACTGTCACGACTGGACGACAACGGCGTAGCTGACTTTCCTTTTTGAAACTTTTTAGAGATATAGCCATGTCGCACGTTGTGTATCGATTTCGGAATCGCACATCAGGTGAGCCACATGCTCGTTTGCCCCTTCTTCTATAAAAAAAAAAATCTAACCAAAATATACAGAGATCGACTCAAAATATTTTATGTGTCGGGGGGAAGTGTAGGCCAAGTGAAGCACAGAAGAAGTCCTACGCTCTTATGACAATGGGGGTTTGATATGATGCTGATGCTACTACATGATTTTGAGATAATCATAACCTTTATTGCAATCAAATAGTAACAATAGAATTTGGAATTTTAAAAAAAATAGTCCGCATTTGAACCCGTAGCAATTATAAAAATATTAAATATTATTTTAAAACTACAAGATTTCATTAATAAATTATGTTATTAGATTATATTATTTTAAAATCTTGTAAATTTAATTAAATTAATAATCACAATGTCAAGTAAAAAATGATAATTATTATTATAAATAAAAACAAGTAAAAAATAATAATTGAATAAAAAAATTAAATTAAATTAGATAGGCACAGGCCGAAGTTGTCCACACAAATTAAATAACATTTGTACCAAAATATTCATTTAAATTATAGAAACATTGTTCAATTAAAAATAACTTTAATTTGGATAAAAATAATGTAGTACTCGTTAAATTTATTATGTCATTTATTTGGAAGGTTATTAAAATTTTTTACCGCCATACAGTAGGGACTAGAGCTATGCAAAGCAAGAGTAGATTACGGCAATAGTGGCCTGTTTTTATTTGGTCTAGTTGAATATTTGTAATTTGTTTCAGTTAATTTGGTAAATAGTTCTGATAACTGAACAAATATAAATAGACGTCAAAGTCAAAATTTTAAACTTTTTGAAGTTGCGCTTACAACTTTCTGGAATTTTTATGTTTGCCAAGATTTTTATAATTTTTTTTATTATAAATAATTGCTGTGCATCTTTACTATTTCCCCACAACATGACACCGTATGACAGTTACGAAGATGTGTATGCGTAATATGCTGACAGAGCGCTGGGGACATCTGTGGTTTTTTTTTATTTCTCGTAATACGTAAGTGAATTTTGATAGCCTGTTTTTACTTTATTTATATGGCCCAGGCCTAACAAGTTGAAGTTGTCAACAGTCCTATAGGTATATTATTATAAGTAAAAGCGATATTATTTAGTGGTGATTTTTGAACTGGTGGGAATTGCATAATTTTGGTTTTATTAAAATTAATCTCTAGGTTGTGATGTGTCAGCCAATTTGTAACCTGGTTCAATACATGATTCAATTTATTATTTAAATTCTAGTCTTTTGTATGCGGAATAATAATGGAAATGTCATCAGGTTTCAGTCAATACTGAGAAATAAAATTGAGAAATAAATACAATATTGAGAAATAAAATCGCACAAAACAAAATGTAGAATTGGTCGTCATATCTTAAGAAAAAAATAAACATTATTTGTAATTTAATATTATTAAAATAAACAAATTCATCATCGACGCTTTCCAAAATGCGAATGAGTTCTGAGGAATCGTTCATGTTGCACTGCACTACTTTTTCCGCTATTCGTTTATGACGTCATCAGGGCGTCGTCTATCCTTGACCACGGCGCCCAATGAACTGATAATCGATGACGCGCTAAGGATGCGCCAGAGTTGAGATATTAGATTTATTATGCGAAGTTGATTTGATGAAATTTTGTTTTATTTATGTAGGTGATGATAGTTTTATGTTTCTTACCTTTTGTTTTATTCAAATATTAATAATAATTTTAAAAAATAACACGTTTGCGTTTAGTTGTGAATAGTTTTCAATAAATCTATGCCTAACGCGTTACAACACTAGCGGTCAAACATAGACGACTTTGGCGCGCTGGACATGGTATTTGCTTAGATAAAAATCCATTTTTTTTAGTTCAATGTTTCTTAGTAGTCGTGGCTCTAGGAGACTTGTTTTTTATACTCACATGTTGCTGGGTTATTCTTCTTTGAGGAGTGTAGAATTAAAATACCAGTAATTAGTTTCCAATATCTATATTTCATATTTTTGTGGGCCGGGTTTTTTGTCAACTATAGACGTCGTTGGCGCTCAGAGCTCGCAGGTGCTTGTCAAGTATAGGCGACTTTGGCGCTCAAAAGGTTAATGTGAAACGTCAAAAGGTATTTCTTAGATTTGGTTGACTATAAGCGTGACGGTTACGCGAGTTCATTGTTTTTTCCCTAACCCAAAAGTGCCCAACGTGCCTAAAGAAGTTTACACTTCAATATTAATTAAAAGTCGTTTTTCTCGTAAACACTTTATTACAATGTCCTCTTACTAATATTAACATATCCAATTCCAACGCAAGTCATTTTAACCTTCTGAGCTTTAGTCACGTGCTCTTCGTCGTCATCGGATGCCTCGTCCTCCGACTCTGACCGCAGCACTTCGAGTTTAAACATGACTCCAAAGAATTCTTTCAGGTGTTGTAAAAAACTAATTGTGTAGTCTGATAGTGGCCCCACCTGTTATAAAGAAAATTATTAATTTAAACATTACAGAAAGATTTTTATTTATATTATAAATTTAATATTAAACATAAAATTATTAATTTAACCCTTACAGAAAGATTATTAAGATAAGAGGCAAGAGTAAGAGTCCCTGCAAAATGGTAGAAATTCTCATCTTAGTTGGCTTTGTATAGTATAAAACAAAGTCGCTTACCGCCGCGCCGCCTGTACGCTTAATTGTTTAAACAACGGAACGGATTTTAATGCGGTTTTCATCAGTAGATACATTCAAGAGGAAAGTTTATATGTATATATAATATATATATATATATATATATATATATATATATATATATATATATATATATATATAATTCGTCAGTCCGTTTGTATATGACTGAACTCCTAAACGGCTGTTTTTATGTGTGTGATTAAATTCATTCGAGAATGGTTTAGATTGGGCCCAGTAGTTAGCGCTGTTGTCGAGATCAAGAAATCACCCGTGCGAAGCCGCGGCGGATCGCTAGTAGTGTATAAATTAAGGGACTAAGTAATATCAGAGTTTAAACTTTACAGTTGTGAAACGCCTTTGATGTCAGGCGATGCCGCCGCCCTCGTAGGTATTTTACGCGGCCAGCGTGTATGCTAGGGGTTGTCACAAAAATGGAAATGAAATAATTTTGGATAGTCTAATATTACTCATTATCATTTACTAACATTATGTACATATTTATATGTCAAAAACGTTTATTGTATAAGATCATTTTTCATTACTACAAGAAAAAACACATTCACAAATGTTGTACTGCCAAATATTTTCGTGACACTTTCTTTTTATGGATGTTTGCAGTGTTCGATTGTTAAATTTAATTATGTAGTGTATTCGCATTCGGATAAACAATTTTATCAAAAAAAAGGGGAAACATAAGCATGGTCGTCATTTAAATTCAATTTTACTTATATGTAATAAAACTATAACAATAATTCACCATTATAAATATTATATTTTTCGAAAACGTCACTTAAAATTAGTTAAATAAGTACTATAATACACGCTGGTATTGTCTATCAGACTCAGTGAAGTGCGCTAGCATAAAGTCGGCCCACCCCCTGCGCGCAGTACCCCCATCGTTGCTCTGCATAAGTGTACATTCGTACCACAACTGTAAGATCTTTAAGCTATGGTAATATCAAATCTTAATGTGGTCTAAATATAGTTATTAGATTTCACCCCTATTTTATTTTTTATTTATTATTATTATTAGGGGTAGAATATTTTCTCTAAATTTTGAAGTGAACATCCCTAAAGTAGAACCTATTTCATTAAAAAAAGAATCATCAAGAACGGTCTACAAAAGATATCGCGTAACTAGGGTTGCCACCCGTACTATATTATATATTATCGTACTATATTTCTGTTAATTCTACTATACAAGGTGTAAGTGTAAACACCGTTGTCATTAAAACCGTAGGTAAAGAATCATCAAAATCGGTCTACAAAAGACTAAGATATCGCGTAACTAGGGTTGCCACCCGTACTATATTATATATTATCGTACTATATTTCTGTTAATTCTACTATACAAGGTGTAAGTGTAAACACCGTTGTCATTAAAACCGTAGGTAAAGAATCATCAAAATCGGTCTACAGAAGACTAAGATATCGTGTAACTAGGGTTGCCACCCGTACTATATTGTATATTATCGTACTATATTTCTGTTAATTCTACTATACAAGGTGTAAGTGTAAACACCGTTGTCATTAAAACCGTAGGTAAAGAATCATCAAAATCGGTCTACAGAAGACTAAGATATCGTGTAACTAGGGTTGCCACCCGTACTATATTGTATATTATCGTACTATATTTCTGTTAATTCTACTATACAAGGTGTAAGCGTAAATACCGTTGTCACTAAAACCATAGGTAGTTGGCTTTAATATAAAAATATTTATCCGAATTTAAAAAAAAACGCTATTTTCTTTCATAAAATTTTAAAAATTCTGTCTGACACCGTCCGTAAATTCATTGATACCCGAAGCGCCCGAGTGACGTAATCACTGTAAGGATCACCGCCCGCGCTAGCTACCTACACAACATTCCAATAAAAACACAATAGGTACACATAACCTGTGATGTAACTTTTCCCTCATACTTTCATCCTGGCTTAGGACAGGCAAAATTGAGGAATTAAGGAAAAATTTGGATTTTACTAAAAAAAAATGTTGTAATTTTTCATTGAATTTACGTTCTAAAGTGAAACCAAACCACTGGTTTCAAAGGTAACGGCTGTTTACAAAAATATTTACACTAACAACCTGTATATTATAGAAAAATAATATTATACGTAAAATACTATATTTTTATCCCTAATTCAACTGTCGTGCTTTTTTATATTAACTACGATTAGAAGCCTGAAACAAGTAAGTTTTACGGAAAAAAATTCCATTATGAATGTAAAATTGAAAGAAGAAAGAAAAAGAGCATATATTACTTTAATTAAAAATTAATTGTTAATTTATTTTAATATGTATCTAAAGTGCTCAGACCTATAATTATTTTAAAGGTAAGGAGTAGTTAGATCATTGATGACCAAAACAAATAGCAATAACAAACATATATGGAAAACTACATAAAGATTAAAAATAAATGTGTAATTTTATTCTCTTCAATTTTTCAAAAGTATTATATTTTTTCATCTTTTATGGTAAAATGATATATTTGTTCAAAAAAAGGTGGCAACCCTACGCGTAACATACACACAGTCGATTTGTATAACTCCCCGTTTTCTTGAAGTCGAATAAAAACCAAACTCACAACACATTCGCTGACATCTTTTTGTCCCAACGCCATCCACAATGCTAACAGCCATTGAAACGAGGAATCTACTGCGCCACCACGATATATCTCGTCCAAAAGCTTCAGTGCACATTCGTTACCAACATCTTCTGGTAGTGAAGTTTCTCCGCTACCTGCTTCCAACGATTTCTAAAAATAAACATTGCTTGTTAATTTATAATAATAATAATGCTCGAGAAAATGACCGCGCCAGGTTCTACCGGGACCGGGCCATCATCACAGACAGAACTATTTATGCGAATAAGCCTGATATTGTGTTGGTGAACCCGGAACAGTCAAGGATATTTCTGGTCAACATTATCATTCTGTATGATGAGAACGTGATAGCCGAACCAGATAAAAAAAAACAAATATACCTGGCTCCTAGTGAGCCATGAGGACTTGTTAACCACCGACGGAAACAGAGGGATGTTAAATGTATAGCGTGTGTATCTGTGTGTCAGTATGTGGCATCGTAGCTTCCAAACGGATGAACTGATTTAGTTTTTTTTTTTATAGAATAAAGGTGACAAACGAGCACACAGTGCACCTGATGGTAAATGGATTCTGTGACCCATAGACCTCGATTAGGAATCAAAACGTAGATGCGTTGTCACCCCTGAGGACTAAGATGGAATGCCTCGTTTTCAGTAAAGAAGAGTCTGCGGATCTCTACACTCATCATACGAAACACAGCAGTATTCAGCTGCTATTTTACGACCCATTCGTGCTTCAACCATAATATAGCTGCAGCGTGGCTCTGCAACATATGCAAAATTTACCTGAAATGTGACTTGATCGACGGTGTTCTTAGCTATGATCGAAGAAAAGAGGAGCCGATTGAAGATCATTCGCCCTTTTTGTTTCGGGGGTATTTAAAGTTTTCAATTTTAGTTATTGGCATATCCAGTAGTCGCCTCTGACGGGATCACAGGGCACTGCTATACATACTTAATAAGTTAAAAATCAGAGAAGAAAATACTGATACGTAAGTATTATTTATTTGCAAAATGATATGAGGTTTCTCAAAACTAATGCCAATATACATAGGCTGCACTAAAAGTAACGGGAATGGAATATTTCCATTGTTCCTATCATATTAAAATCTTTGTAATTGAAACCTTGGTTTTAAAAATCGAATACCATTTATTTATATAAAAAAAGATTCTCGGTCTTGTCACAAGGTTTTGTCAAACTTGTTTAGTCGTTGAGAAAATGGAATTGACTCGAGAAAATTCAAGAGCGATGATTTATTATGACTTTCGAATTGATTTAACACAAAAACAGTGTGTTTACCGGATAAGTTCTGCATTTGGTGATGAAGCCCTATCTAAAACCACAATTTATCGCTGGTTTGCTGAATTTCAACGTGGACGTGTCAAGCTCAGTGATGATCCCCGTCAAGGTCGTCCAAAAACTGCAGTCACCCAAGAAAACGTTGATGCTGTGCGTAAGCTGATTGAGGACGATCGACATGTGATATACCCCGAAATTCAGGCAACTTTAGACATTGGCATGAGTCTAATACAAATAATCTTACATGAACAATTAGGTGTAAAAAGTTGTTTTCCCGATGGATACCGCATTCGCTCTGTGAAGAGCAAAAAGCGGCTCGCTTTACTTGGTGCGTCAGAACTCTCGAAAGGTACCACGCAGGATTCTCAAATGCTGTACACAACATTGTATCAGGTGACGAATCCTGAATATACGCGTACGAACCCGAAACAAAAAACCAGTCACGAGTTTGGGTGTTCGAAAATGAGTTAAAGCCAACAAAAATTGTTCGTTCACGAAGTGTTGCAAAAAAAATGGTGACCACGTTTGTCTCCAAAACCGGCCATGTTACGACTATTCCTCTTGAGGGACAAAGAACGGTTAATGCAGAATGGTATCCTAGCATTTGTTGCCACAGATCGTTTCTGAACTCCGTAAAGAGAACTGCAACCGCCGCATCATCCTCCATCATGACAATGCGAGTTCTCACACCACACACAGAACAAAAGAGTTTTTAGAGCAAGAAAACATAGAATTATTAGACCATCCGCCGTACAGCCCCGACCTAAGCCCTAATGATTTCTGTACTTTCCCTAAAATAAAGAATAAATTGCGTGGACAGAGATTTTCATCACCTGAAGAAGCTGTGGACGCCTACAAAACAGCCATTTTGGAGACCCCAACTTCCGAATGGAATGGTTGCTTCAATGATTGGTTACATCGTATGGAAAAATGTGTCAAATTTCGCGGAGAATACTTCGAAAAGCAATAAACACATTTTTAAATAGTAATGTTGTGTCACTTCCTTGATTCCCGAAATTTTCAGTGCCGCCCTCGTACTCAAATGCTCCGAAAATTGCAATTTAAGCACCTTATTATTCAATCTAGTCGTCAATTTAATATTATTCTGATTTTGCCATATTACCTTTTATAAAAATTACATTTCCTTAGTTTTCTAGTTTACTCTCTGTTCTTTTTTGGTTTATATTCAGTGGTTTGTGTACACGTTGTGCACGTTGTTTATACGTGGTATGATGGTGGTGGTAGTTGTAGCATGAACGGGTCCGTCCGACCGAGGAAGGACAACGCTCTCACAGAATACCAGCGTAACATCTCAAAGCTGCTGTGTTTCGTATGGCGAGTGTAGAGAACCGTAGCCCTTTTTACTGGAAACGATGCATTCCGTCTTAGTCCTTACAGGTGACAACGCGTCTGCATTTTGATTCGTAATCGAGGATAGATGTAGATGTCTATGAGCCGCAGCATACAACCGCCTACCATCAGGTGGACTGTGTGTTAGCTAAGTAAGTTAAGCTGTTAGCATGATTGTTTGTCATCGTAAATAAAAATAGAAAAAAAATAGAGAGAAAAAAACAACAAAAATAAACACAGACATTGTTAACGACTGAGCGATTTAAAAAAAAAGAGTTTTCTTCCTCGCACAATTTCGTAGCGGAATCGACTACCACCAGAGATTTTTTCCGGACCGATACGACTTAGGGACCTTCAAGAAAAGAGTCTACTCCTTTTTAAAAGGTCTGCAATTCCCCTGGTGTTACAGTTGCTCATGGGCAGCGGTAATCACTTACCATCAGGTGAGCCGTAGGCTCGTTTGCCCTCTCTCCTATTAAAAAAAAAACATTGCTATGTAGTGGTGGCAGAAGAGAATCTACTAGCCCATATCATCCCGTGGGTCGTAAGAGACGACAGAGGGAAATAAAACAGGAGATGAGTAGCAGCATCTTTCGGATAACAATTCAAAATAATAAAAAAACTGCGATTGCCAAACCGCTTGCCAAGCGTAGCAACTATTGCAATTATAACACCTGTAAGGCAATATGTATGAGACGCCTTTGCTTAGCACACTTCATAGGCTGTAATTACAGTACGAACTACGAATGATGAAATACAAACGTATTGAATGTGTTTAACTTATACATACAGCTTCTGCACAGTAAAATGTCTTCTCATTTGTCTCAGCGACCAAACTAACACCAAACCCGGGGCTTTTGCCAGCATTGGGACCCCTACACTGGTCTGTGTTGATGTATACGTCGGGAAGAAACTTTATCATCACCTGTTTGAAGAAAATTAATCATAAAAAGTATAATTAATAAAACCAGGAAACACATAATATTAAAAATAATAAAAATAAAAAAAGACTGCAATTGCCGATGATGAGTCTTTTTCTCCTGATAATACAGTGAACCCCCGGTAATCCGGCCCCTGGCTTATCCGTTCCCCCTAGTAATCCGACATGTCTTTAACTTGTAAATAGATCCGAGTCGCACTATGAATCCGCCACGGGAGAGGTGTCCTTCGCGAATACGTAGACAAACAGGTTGCAATTAGTTCGCGCCACCACGAATCTAGCTTGACGCGTACTGTCTCAGTTCAAATGTAACTATGGTAGCGGGCTAGCGGGCTTTCATTATTTACTGTCTAAGTATTCATTGTGCATCACATGACATTTTTATTTTTTATTACTTGATAATGTAGTGTAGTGCTAATGTTTATGCATGTTATGTAATGTTATGTAATGTTTTGCGTGCTAGATATGTCTTAGATTATAGTTTTCATAGTGATATTAACCTTTTTTAGAATAATCTTAAGGATTATTTTAAAAATTGATAAAAAAATATAGATAGCATATTTTTTTATTATTTTGTCGGTGGGAGGTGTAGTGTAGTGCTCCCACGTTAATATACTTTAGTGTTAAGGTAGAATAATGAGGCAGTCTAATTAAAGTTTTAGTACCAACCACACGTCTCCTTCATTGACATCTTTCCTATATTACATGGCGACCCTGCCAGGCGGTGCGCTGCAACGATGCATGCGCACCGCCTGGTCAAGTTAAAAGGTGGGAAAAAAAATTTATTAAATAATGCAGACAAAAAAAATAATATAGAAGGGATGCAATACCGGATTTGACGATAACAAGTATGAATACCAAAAGAGGCCACAATAATACTATTTTGGAAACTGACTGCAAAATTAAGACTGAAAATTTAACTGGCAGGCCGCCGTGACTGAAATTCGGTCTGGAGGACATTACGTACGTCAACGCACTCGGACCACGCTTAGTCCAAAAATATAGATATAAATGGATGAATGAATGGATTTTGAAACAAGTGATAGGTGGAAAGCCCATTGGCCACGCAGTCATAAACCAAATATCAACAACATGCTAGATATTCGTTCCAGAATTGAAAAGGGAAGGAAGTAGTAGTATTCTAGCGAGCATCACCGCACAGAAGGATGTGAAAATTGAGCCGAAAAGAATAAAGAAGAATTTAAGAGGTAAATTCGCACCTGTGTGATTTTTAATTCCATTTAAAACTTTAATAATTTGAGATTTTTAATGTTGTTTTTGCTTTAAAAAAAAGTTATGAATTAAATTTTCTGTATTTAAAATATGATTAAATTGAAAGTATTTATCAGATAATTCACGATTTAATTGTTTTTTTTTTAAATATTTATATTACTGAAAAAATAAGCACAATGCAATAATTATAAATTAATCAATAATCTAGCAATTGATTTTATATTCAATTTTATTCAGTTATAGTTTTATATTATTTTTATTACTGTGTCCTGCAAAACATGAATGAATAATATGAAGATTACATTTTTACATATTTACATTTAGAATTGTTTATCATTAATTAATTTTTCATATTTTGTAGTTAATATATCACTGATAATACATTTCGTGTGTGTTTTTTATGTAGTAAATTTTATTTAAATCTACACAATTTTGAAGAGTTATAACCGATTTGCTATTATTGTTATCTTTTTTTTTTTCTAAAGGTATTAAATCATTAATGTATATAATAACCCACCTAAAATATTAAAAATTGTTATTTATAATGTTTAAATAAATTAATCTATCGTTGTGTGAAGTTTATAGCTGTTATAGTGATTTTTTTAAAAAGCATTTTTTTATAGCAAAAGTATTTTTTTTAAAAGCTAATGCATTTTGTGATTTATATAAAAGTAACATAAATATTAACAACGTACCTATTTCTAAGTGTAAATTAAGGAAATGTTTAAAACTATCCTTTAAGGTACATTTTACTTGCATTCATATTATAAAATATTGTAAAAGTTATCTTAAAATTGGGCGTGAATCACACCGTGTCATCCTAGTCCGATGTAATTACAAATGATGCCTTATACGTACTTTGAAATTTAAAACAAACTTGTCTCCAATTATTTGCGGTGTTAGGAGTACAATTTGTATTTTGATTTGTGTGTTGCTATATTAATTATAATGATTACGTTGCTTAACATTGACTTCTTTGTTCTGTTTATCTTAATATGAAATGTAATAATTTATTTTCGGTTATTGTTATATTGTTTGAATATTTAAATCAAGCTTTTTAAATGTTATAATTTATTATTTTCTTGGAAAACAGTACTAATTTGAGTAGATTATGAAAGTATATTCTTCGCGTAATACGATTTTGAACCTCACTATATAATGTTGTACACAACTAATTGATTTAAATTATGTTGTTCCCATATTGTGAGCCTCGATTCCTGAGTGACACTGTAATTAAATATTATACGAGACTATTTTTATGATATAAAGTAAAAGATGTGATTAAATTTATATACGGAGTAACTTAACCATAAATTTAATCACATCTTTTTACTTAATACATAATTATAAGTGAAAATATTGATAATGTATAGTTGTGAGAGTAAGATAAAGAAAATTATCGGAGGTTAGTATATCCACATACAATCAGCCTGATCAGCAGAGTGGAAAACCTAATAGCCGATTAATTTTTTAAGGTTTTTCGGACACGATTAAATGCGGAATAAGTTTTAATGTATTTTTAATGAGGGAAATGATAATTTATTATGAATTATATAGGAATATTTTCCATTATCTTGATCATGTATGTACGCGACCCGTGTAAGTGAAAGAAATGACATACATATGTAATGTATAGCTAAATTACTAGTTATGGATAAAATAGGAAAATAAATAAGTAATGGTTAACTAAGAATGAAGTAAATATATGAAAAAAAGAATAAAATAAAATATTGAAATGTAAAAGATTATGAAGATTAAGAGAATATTATATATAATACTAGCTACTAGCCAGGCAGACGTTGTGCTGCTCTTTTCGGCGACTTTTTGTCATAGCCTATTAAAATCCTTAAATTTGTAAAAAATATGTAAGTCACTCATGGTCAAAAAAACTATCCTATCTCTCAAGCTGGACCAAACTGCACACGGTGTGCAAATTTTATTAAAATCGGTTGAGTAGTTTAGGAGCCCATCGCGGACAAACTACGTGACACGTAATTTATATATATTATCATTATTGTGCTGACTAGATAAATGGTAGGCATAATAACAAAGTGATTAAGGATACGAATAAATAATATTGTAGATTTTCGTGAAAATCAAAACATAATTTTATGTTATGACATAATTATGCCTGATTATGTCAATTATACTAGACTGGGTACGGTTGAAACATTTTAGCGTTTATCGCCAATTGCATCGGGATTAGTTAAGCGAGCGATGAACGAAATATATTTAATAAAAGACCATATATCTGTTTACTAACAGGCAATGTTATTTGAGATCACTGTATTATATTTTATATGTAAAATCACATTTAAAAAAAAAGTGTAATTTGTTTCAACCGTCCCCATGCCAGGGTCGGTTGAAACAGTGCCTGGGGTCAATCGAAACATGCAAATAATACAAAATATAATAAATGAACATGTTTTATTAATCGTCTTATAACATTTTACGACTCGTAATGGCACAGTTGAACATCACAAATATTTTTCATTAAGTCAAGCATTATATATATTTTGCGATTCAATTTTATAACAGTCCATGAGAGTAGCCAAATTGTCATAGAAAGCATCTACGTTATTTCTTTTTAAGCTAGTCGTCCTAGAAAGACGTGTAGTCTGTGCTGGACGCTCTGACAGCTCCGGATTTCTTCTCATAAACATTCGAACCCAGGCCGTTATAAGTCGTACTTGACGGTTAGTACGTATGCTTATTTCATAACATCATTTTTAGTTAGGCCAAAATGTATGTCTGCATATCTAATTAAATATTTAGATAGCTCACGCTCTTGTTCCTGCTTAAGCATTTGATTGTGAGCCTTAAAATCCATTTCTTGATGTTTATCGTCACCAGTCGAATATTTTACACAGGGAACAGTTGTTCAGTCCATTCTTTTCTGCCGCTTTACCTAACGAAGATTCGGCTTTTACATCTTCATAGGCTTGTTTATACTTTGATAAGTCGGCCTGACCTTTCGTAGTTCCTTTGGCGTACCCTTCGCATCTAAGAAACAAGAAAATTAAATAAATAAACTGTTTCAACTGTACCCACAAAAAACGTTTCAACTGTCCCCAACCCCATTCTTGATAGAAAACGGTTCATAGTAAGAATGATAACAAATTTGAATAAAAACTAATCATACAGCCATATTCTACAAACTTCAATTTAAACAATACAAAACACTCAATATTCCAACTTTAATAAAACCATAATAATTGCAAAAATTTACGAACAAAAAAAACTTAATTTTCCGTCAAAAAACACAATGAGGCCTTCTATACATAAACACAGCGCGCGAAGAGCGACGCAACACTTAAATTCGTGTTTCGACTTGGCACCCGCTCCTTTCTTTCCTTATACCCTTGAACCTCCTCACGCACGGTGTCGAGATAGTTTCAATCGTCCCCCGTTTCAACCGTACCCAGTCTACCCTACTGTGACTATGCATTTTTGCTGCTGATATGTCTTAGATTATAGTTTTCATAATGATATTAACCTTTTTTAGAATAATCTTAAGATTCTATTTTAAGAATTGTTAAAAAAATATAGATAGCATATTTTTTTATCAATTCGTAAATTTATTTTTTTATCAAACGTTAATATACTTTAGTGTTAAGGTAGAATAATGAGGCAGTCTAATTAAAGTTTTAGTACCAACCACACGTCTCCTTCATTGACATCTTTCCTATATTACAATAAGTAATCTGTCAAAAAACAAAACCAAAGACGCGAGCTATGAAAAATGAATTAAAAGCACTGTACAAGCTAGTTAGCAAATATGTTCGAAGACTACTCAAACCATCGAAAAACATCTTAACTCAACAGGAAGTATTAAGAAAGCGTATAAGGAACTGCGATCTCATAAAACATGGATAGAAGGACTCAATGATCCTCAAAGAACAACGCATGACCGAAGAGAGATCTTAAACATAGCAACTAACTTTTATAAAAACTTGTACAGTGCTCCAGAATGCCAATAAATAGACCAAACTGAACCGGAAAATGATGACAATGATATAGATATAAACCCAGTTAATGGATCAGAAATTATAATGGGAATAAAAATGTTAAAATTAGAGAAGAGTCCAGGACCGTACAGAATAACAAACGAGGCAATAAAAATAGCTGGTACTTACCTAGTAAGCCCTCTGACACATCTATTTCATTTGATATAAATTATTCTCATCAATAATACAGAAGAGAATTAGAAATACACTGGAAAAAAGTCAACCGATCGAGCAAGCTGGGTTTCGAAAGAGCTACTCCACAATGGACCACATCCACTCTTTGGAACTACTTATTGAAAAATATCAGGAATATCAATGTCCACTCTACATAGCGTTTGTAGACTACCAGAAAACTTTCGATACAATACTACATCCCGCAATATGGAAAGCTTTACAAGCACAAAAAGTGAGGAAAAAATACGTCCAAGTCTTAAAATACCTTTACGAGAGAAACAATAGTAGAGTGAAACTAGAGAAGACCGTGGACCACCTATCTATCAAAAGAGGAGTACGGCAAGGCGGCCCCTGTCGCCTCAAATCTTTATAGCAGTACTAGAATCGATTATCGGAAAACTAAATTGGGATAAAATAGGTATATGCATAAAAGGGAAACATATTTGCCACTTGAGGTTCGCCGACGACATTGTCCTATCAGAAAATAGCATAGAGCTAGAATCAATGTTACACACATTACAACAAGCAAGTAGAGAGGTAGGACTAGAAATTAACCTGAGAAAAACAAAACTCACGACAAATGCCACAAAAAGCTTTATATGTCTTGACAACACGCCAGTAGAGTACGTCGAGAACTATATATACTTAGGCAAACAAATTTCGTTTCAAAAACAATACAATGATACAGAAATTGATAGAAGAATAACAAAGACATGGAAAAAATTTTGGAGCCTAAAGGAAGTTCTAAAAAGTCAGATGCCAATGAAAATCAAGAGCAAAGTCATAGACTCATGTCTTTTGCCAACATTAACCTACGCATGCCAAACTTGGAAGTTCACACAAAGAGTCAAAAATAAAATCAATCAAAGCGTCACAAAAATTAGAAAAAGTCAAAAAATTCGTCACACTAGCATCAGGCAAAAGACAAGAGTAACAGATGCCCTCACGCACGCTCTAAAGTTAAAATGGAGGTGGGCGGGACACGTAGCGAGAATGAGCGATGAGCGATGGACAATTCGCATGACGTCATGGCCAGGTCCTACAGTCACTCGGAAAAAAGACCTACATCTAGATGGGCAGACGACATCACCCGAGTCGCAGGCAAAAACTGGATGTCGGAAGCCAAAGACCGAGACCGCTGACGTTCTCTGAAGGAGGCCTTCACCCTCACTACTTGAGGGGTTCATGCATGGTATTATTTTAATCTTAAATCTTTATTCTATTTTAAATCTATAATTTTATTATCTTATATTTATTTTCATTTTATACTATTGTTTAATTATATTGAAAACCAAAAATTTTATGTATATTAAAAGAAATGAATGAGTTCTAACAAGTACATTTAATATTTTATTTGATTTGATTTAAATTTAATTTCATTTAAATTAATATATAATGACAGACGGAAATGAAAATAAATATGTAATAAAAGGGACAAAAAAATGTATATACTATAACTATTCACGTACGAAATAATAACAAAAACAATGTAACAGTCCATTTATAACCTATTATTACTATAAGAAAATATTACGTGCAATGCATGGAATAAAAGGCTTTTTTATTTTATTTTTATTTATTTATTTTTAAGTAATCTGTCGGATTACAAGGTACTCTTTTTCAAAAAGTTCCAAACTACCAGGGGGTTGTGGCAGTACTCTACAGTCCGACAAATTTGATAATCCGACACCGCCTTGCAAAACGTTTGTCGGATTACCGCGCGTCAACTGAACCTTGTTTAGAAGCAAAACACATGTCGTATTATAGATGGTGGTGTATCTTTCCTAATTTTAGATAGTTAATTTTAATATCCTTAAAATTAAAAGTCCGATGAAATACCTTCATAGCCAGTTAGAACTATTACAGTCGGTAACTTATTAGTTATTACTATTGCATATATATCAAATTCAAATATTTACAATATGTTGGATACATCAAATCCAATTACAGTAGAATAAAAATATATTATGTAGATAATTACATTTTTTGTACTTGACTGTCCCAGTGGTCCTAAACGCAACTGATGATCACAGTCCCGGTTCGAATCCCGGCTCGGGCTAAATAAAAATCAGTTTGGAGTTTTTCATTCAAAAAATTCTCAGTGTCAGCTCGAAGTTAAAAAGAAGGAAGGTATTCCCCGTGCCTCAGAAAGTACATAAACTCGTTGGTCTTGCGCATGATCTCTCTCAGTGGTATATTGGATTACCGCCCTATCGGACTATGAGAATGAAATAATAAAGAGTACATCTCTGCTTAGTCGGGCACTATATTCCTGTCCTGGGCAGATGGTATTCTGTAAGAGCCATGTAAAGTGTGCCTAAAGGCTAATAAGCTTTTTTATAGTATAAGGTGTCAAAACGAGCACACAGTTCACCTGATGGTAAGTGGATGCTGTGGCCCATAGACATCTACATTTATCTTCGAGTAAGAATTAAAACGCAGATGCAATGTCACCCTTGAGGACTAAGATGGAATGCCTCGTTTCCAGTAAAAAAGGGTCTCCGGATCTCTACACTCACCATACGAAACACAGCAGAATTTAGATGCAATTTTACACTGGTTATTCTGTGAGAGCGTGATCCTTCCCCGACCCGACCCATTCGTGCTACAACCGTAATATAGCTGCAGCGTGGCTCTACCACGTATAAACTTCACAGTATGGGAGCAGCCTGGGTTAATCCCTCTCCCCCCCCCCACTAATGATATTGTTTAATTTGCAATTATAAGTGCTGATTTACCACGCACTCGGCGTTGAAGGAAAACATCGTGAGGAAACCGGGGACCAATTGCCTCAATTTCTCAGTCTCTATAATTTTTTAAATATTTTGTGGAAGGATATAAAGTACCTATAATACAAAAAAATGTGACTTACCCCCTTTGCTGACTCCACCACTCTGTTAGCCATAGTTGGAGAGACACGCAAAGCGTACACAACTCCGCGTATCCTCTTTACCAGTCCCCATTTCGTCCACTGCAGCGGTCGAAGGTGACGGCGCACGGGGCAACGGAAAACTATCTCACCACCGCCAAGAGGCGGTGCACCTGTGTACAAGGCATTTTATATTGTATGAGATATGCACAAGACTATTTTCATATCAATTATACGCTTAATATATGTAAGTACAGCACCAATCAATTAATAAAATGAAACAAAAACATGTAGTTGTGATAATTATATGCCATGGATCCTACTGGCAACTCATTTAACAATAAAATAGAGCATAGAGCATGCATCACTACCTACGTTAAGCATACTCGCAGTGTATAAATAATACCTTATATAACTTTATCTACAAATTCATAAATATAAAATACTTGGGCTTACTAAGCCCCTCTTCTCCCCATTGGGTACCACCGTGGTAGGTGCTTTATATAACTAGCTCCCCGTTTATGTTTACATTAATGTGTAAGCATATCAACATTTAAGCAACTTTATATCATCTATCATCAAGTGTGTGAATTGTATCCGACAAGTAGGATATTATTATATTACTCACATTTTTCATATCATCATTCACTAATATAATATTATAACGGTCACTACCAAGTTGTTTCTTAAAATAATTTTTGTAAGTGGATTGTACAAATTTTCTTATCAGACTAGTCTTACTAGACATACACATAGTCCATCTGATGGTAAGTGGATGCTATGGCCGATAGACATCTACATTTATCCCCGATTCAAACCCCGAGAATCAAAACGCAGATGCGTTGTCACCCCAGAGGACTAAGATGGAATGCCTCGTTTCCAGTAAAAAGGGTCTCCGGATCTCTACACTCACCATATAAAACACAGCAGCATTAAGCTACTATTTTACGCTGGTATTCTGTGAGAGCGTGGTAATTCCCCGGTCAAGCCGACTCATTCGTGCTGTGCTACAACCATAATAACAAATATATAATAACTCAAAATAGTAAAAAACTGTGGGTGCCAACATACTTGCCAAGTGTGACAACTATGGAAAAATTCCCCGTAAGCCAATCTATGGGGGAGGCTTATGTTCAGAAGTGGACTTTTATAGTTTGTGATAGAATGGATGGATGGAATAAACTAAAAAAGAAAGAGAAAAAATATGTCTATTTATCTCACCTCTTCTGACTACTTTTAGTTCTAAGCCATCATCTACAAGTATGAACTTTAATAGTACTGGCAGAGCTGCCGATTTGATTTTGTCTACAGAAACATCCAGATCATGATGTGTTACACCTTGGAGCACAGCATTTAAAGGCTCCTTACAAAATGGTCCTACAGCTAACAGAACCTCTAAGTAGTAACCTGAAACAAAAAAATGTCTTTAGTGGGAATGCAGATCTTAATATGACCACAATTGGCTAGTAGACATCCGGTACTCGATTTTAATAATAGCTTTAGCTTAGAAGGCTGGCTTGGGTTAAGCTTGAACCTATTACACTGTTTTTAGATGTCGGAAATGCGTTTTGAATTAATTACGATAATAATAAATTTCACTAAATATCGCTTATAACGAAACACAAATATATCAATTTGGTCTAGTACTAGATATGTAGTCTGGTACTTGATTTTTTAATTTTGTTTTCAATTTAAGAAGTTTGTCAGGATTATGTTTAAACCTTTAACTCCGTTGTTGAATTTTGGAAATGCCTTTTAAATTAATTACGATAAAAATAAATTTCACTAAAAGTCGCGTGTAACGAAACGCAAATATGTCAATTTTTTAACATGGATACACCCATAAAAAAGTTAATCACTCGGACATAGACCATCCATTTGTGGCTGAAGATGGGACTCACTTACAACAAATTGAGTCGCAATGGAGAGCAGTCAAGAGGTTTTTTAGAAAATAAAGTTATAACAATTTACGTTACATTGTTTCATTTACAACTATCATAATGCAGTAGAGTTTAGGGCAACCTGATTTTTGGATAAGATTGGTCAAATCTGTTCTAAAAGCGAATCAGTACTCCCAGACTCCACATAGTCTTGTCTGCCCTACCCCTAGTGTTTTTGTAAATCCGTAGGCGCGAAGGGAGAGCAGACCCCGCCCGCCGCGAGCTGTAGCAAAGCTGCGGAGGTGAGCATGGGTGCCGGCATTTTGCTACGCAAGGGCGAAGGGGCTGCACTTCCCGAAGCGAAGCTGTCGCAGAAGTAACCTTGGGTCAATATTCTTGTGTAAAATGTAAGGTTATGATTTTATAAAAAAAAATCATTACTCATAAACTATACACTTCCGCAAGGGGAATCCTCCCCCACCCTTCCTGGTAGGGGAGGATTCCATGGCACCCACCCTCTCCTCCACCAACTTCCCACCCCCGTACGCAAGTACCGGATGTCTATTGTTTTATCCTAAATTTTTCACATGGTACCAATCTAGTTTTAATCAATGCACCATTGACTAAATTAATGATCTCAATTTTTCAATTGACCTTAAATATCAATTATTTTACCACCTGTATACAATACAATGTGAGTAAATATCTAAACAATCTTTGAAATTGTTATAGTAGGCTAAACTTTAATTTACTTTGAAAGGGTTTGATATATTAAATAAATAAATTCATAATGCTATTTTTGTCATTGTAAATAATAAATGGAGAACTTGATCACATTATTCATTCAATTTTTAACTTTTAATGAAATTCACTGGTTTTTTTTAAAGCAGATTATCAGCTCATGATCAATATATTAAAAATTATATCTAAAAAGTTTTCAATACTATGAAGCCCAGCAATGAAGTGTTATAACCCAATAAAGAACATGAAATAAGTACAAAAACATTTAAACATGTTAATCAATGATATAGGTAAGTAATTATTTAGATTTTATAACATAATTAAAGCCCCACCAACAATTTCCTATCAAAATATTTAAATTTTACCGACCCTAGTCTATTTCGAAAACCAATGAGTTAGTAGCTAAGAAAAAATAAAAAGAATATAACTCATCTAAAATTATCAGACATATTGAATTTTACAGAATCTTAGGTGGGAAAAGTCTGCCACTGCTTTAACCCCGATTTTAAGGTGAATAGGAAAAAAAGACATCAATAAATGAAATAGAAACAGTAATGTTAATAATACATCAAAGCCATCATTCCCTTCACAAGTCCACTGTTGAATATAGGCCTCCCCTAAGAAACACCACAAATCAGTTCTGAGGCACCTGCATCCATTTACTTCCTGCATATCTTATCAGGTTGTCACTCCATCTAATAGGGGGCCGCCCCATATTGCCCCTACCATTACGAGGCTGATACTCGAGAATGTTTCCTTCCCATCAGTTGTAAATTATGTGTATATTATGTGTTATGGCCAACCCATGGTTGAAATTTAGAATCATTTGGCAGGAGAGGGCGGGGGTGAGGGGAGAGGAGAGGTGAGCGTCCTCTTACCTCCGATACCACTCCCATTAAAAGGTAATACACCATTCTTGAGAAAAATCAAAAAGAAAACCCCATACACCTAACCTCAACATTATAACGTTATCGTCCCCGGCAGGAGGGGGGAAGAGGGGAGCAGGAGTGTGCCCCTCTACCCTTTACTCCTTGCGGAAAAGTATAGTTTTTGAGTAATGGTTTTTTTGTATAATCTAAATCTCACTTTTTTTACACAAGAATATTAACCAAAAGTTATTTCTGCGATGGACAAAGTTATTGTTTCGGCGTTGCGGGAAGTGCAGCCCCTTCACCCCTGTGTAGCAAGACGCAGACAACCATGCTCACCACCGCAGCTTTGCTACGGCGGCTGCTCTCCCTCCGCGCCTACTAAACAAAAACTTTACAAATAACACTCAAGGAGTAGGGCAGACAATACTACGTGGAGTCGGGGCACGCTGATTCAATTTAAGTAAAGATTCGATCAGATCAGATATCTTACCCATAAAGTCAGGCTGCCTTCGGTCCCACCACAACCTTCTAACCTATTACAACTGAAAGTATTTTTTGGGTGTCCATGTATTTCTGGATAGTTTTAAACAATTCAGAAATAAAACACAAGATATTATAATCATTTCTTTATTGTTTGTAAACATAATATATTATTTTTATTAATTCCTCAAAAGGATCTCTTTTATTTTATATAATTTCTCATCTCCATAAATATTAATATATCAAGTCGGTAAAATTGTCTCCATTATTATAGTTGTCTTTTGCGAAATAACTTTAAAAATAAACCAGACTCAATTCTTTGAGTGTGGGTGCCATCTGCTGGCACAAAAGGGTTTTCAGGGTCACTATGATTTATATTTTTGTGTGTGTACCCATAATTTTCTAACCCATCATAAGCCTGCCAAAAATCAGTATGGATGATGGTACCTTTAACCAAATCTTTTTGAATCAAGGGCATTAAAACTTCAGAAGAACACATTTTGGGGGCTACTTTCTAGTCTTAAACCTTCACTGTCATTTTCAATCATACCCAGCATCCAATGACCTTTAATATGACGGTCTAAAACAAGATTAAGTATTAATTTAAAATTTTATTGATAAAAATTAACCTATATCATCTCCAGGTCGTTAACTATGTGCATGCATTTAGCCATAACTGACCTTTATTATATTTCCTTTTTCTAAATTTACTTTCATCAATTTGGAAAAATTTTCCTGGACCACTAATTTTTCCCAGGAAACTTTGTTTCTCTATTTCATTAATGACGACGGCCTCCCAACAGTAAACCAATCAATAATAGTTGCTTTACATAAACAATGTAACCTTTCTGAACAATTTTCTTTTAGAGTCTTATCATAACTCCACTTATTTGCATATGCATATACATTAGGTAAAATACTTGAGTCATTGTTAATTTGACATTCACAAACTAAGTGCCTTTGCCACGGCTAACTTTTGACTTAGATCTGAATGGGCCTCGGTTGCAGACAAATGAGCCAAACATTCTATTGGTGAAGTGTCCTACACACATAATTTTTAAAGTAGCTACAAATTTTAGTTGCTGGGATCATTCATACCTTTTTCCTCAGCCAAAGCAATAGCTTGCACTTGTGTGCAAAGTTTTCGGTACACAGTGACCGAATTCCATATTGCTTTCATCTCCTTGACATATAAATGGCGTTTCACTTGTGGTTTGCCACTGTCAAAATTGCGACTCTTAGATGGCTAAGGTTCCTCCAAATCAGACATTTTAAATATAACACGTGTATCATCCAGTGTAGAAAAACAGGTAAGTTGTGTAAGCAAGCAATCAAAATCCACATGCGCGCACAGTTCAATCGAGTAGGCAGAAATTCGGTGTCCAGGGTAGAAAAGTAGATGTCGTCTAGTAGGCAAGAAATCGGCATCCAAAAAAGAGAAAACAATCATCGATAAAAACTACAATAATACACTGGAGAGCACACATTCACGCAAGAGCAACCAACGACTGAATGCATCAAAATTAGTATGTCATGCGATTTGAGATGCGATTTTTTACGTGGTAGAGCCATGCTGCAGTTATATTAGTAGTATAGTTGTAGCACGAATGGGTCGGCTCGACCGGGGAAGGACCACGCTCTCACAGAATACCAGCGTGAAATAGTAGCTTAATGCTGCTGTATTTCGTATGGTGAGTGCAGAGAACCGGAGACCCTTTTTACTGGAAACGAGGCGAGTCCATCTTAGTCCTCACGGGTGCCAACGCATCTGCATTTTGATTCGTAATCGAGGATAGATGTAGATGTCTATGGGCCACAGCAACCACTCACCATCAGGTGGACTGTGTGCTCGTTTGTCACCCCATCCTATAAAAAAAAATTTGACACTTGACGGAGAGTATAGACAGTAGAATAATGTGACACTAGTCTTACGTCCTTGTCACACTTACACAAAACTCTGTATGCTGTTCAGCTTTCACAGTAATATTGCATACATTTTTCCATGCATGGAGTATAGAGGTAAGGAGTACCATCTCACATAGGAGAATAGTTGAAAAATTGTCCATCTGTAAGCAGTAAATAACAGTTCAAAAACTCTACACAACAGCGCTGGAGTAGCTAGAGGGTATGAAATAAGCTTAGTAGTTGTCGACGGAGTGAAGTGTGCTGAGTTGAAGAATTTAATACGAGGGTGGATTGAAAAGTACTCGGCCTAACACAGATCCATTCAATTCTAAAAATCAAATCTACCCACATTATTTAGTTCAGTTCAGACTAGTTCATTGTGTCAAGTTCGAAACGTGTGCGATAATTAGTTGTGATTTTATAAATTTATTAACAAAGTAATCGGACATAATTTCCGCGAATGGAGCAAATCGAGCAGCGTGCCGTCATTAAGTACCTCCATAAGAAGGGGCTATCATCAAAAGCCATCCATGATAACATGGTCAGTATATTAGGCGATTGTGCTCAATTTTGTGTCAAAAAATGGATAGCAGAATTTAAGCGTGGTAGAGAGAGTGTGAAAGATGAACCCCGCTCTGGAAGGCCTTCGACGTCAACTACTGACGAAAATATTAAAAAAGTACTTGATTTAATAATGGGAGACCGCAGATTAAAAATTAGAGAGATAGCCGAGATTATAGGCATCTCATATGAACGAACTCAAAACATCATTGTCAACGAGTTGGGTTTCCACAAGGTGTCTGCGAGGTGGGTTCCGCGACTGCTTTCAGTTGAACAAAACAGGACGCGATTGACTATTTCACGCGACTGTTTGGAGTTATTTGAAGCCGATGCAGATGATTTTTTGAATCGTTTTGTTACTATGGACGAAACATGGGTTCATTACTGTACACCGGAAACAAAACAACAATCAAAACAGTGGAGAAGACCTGGTTCACCACCCCCTAAAAAAGGCTAAGTCAATTTTGTCGGCAAATAAGGTGATGGCTTCAGTATTCTGGGACTCGAAAGGTGTGATTATGATTGATTATCTTGAAAGGGGTCAGACTATAAACTCTGATTACTACTGCACCTTACTACGTCGTTTACGAGAGGAAATAAAAGAAAAACGTCGAGGAATGCTCAGAAGAAAAGTCCTGTTTCATCAAGATAACGCCCGTGTTCACACGTCAGTACAGTCAATGGCTGAAATTCACAACTGTGGCTTTGAACTGTTACCGCATCCGCCGTATTCACCTGATCTGGCACCATCAGACTTCTTTCTGTTCCCTAACCTAAAAAGCACTTGGGAGGTCAAAGATTTTCGACAAACGACGAGGTCAAAGCAGCTGTAGACGCATATTTTGACTCTAAGGAAGAATCATTTTTTTTCAACGGTCTAAATGCTTGGAAGGGGAGGTGGCAAAAGTGTATTGAACTTGATGGTGATTATGTAGAAAAATAAAAATATAACTGATTTAGTATGTGTTTATTTTCTTGGTTAGGCCGAGTACTTTTCAATCCACCCTCGTATTGGTGGTGACTGGAGTAGTTGATGAAACTGCAGTTTATAAAACCTCAACTACTCACGACATCTAAATTAATTTAGTAAATATAACATAGAAAAAGTCACCGTGAAATATGTTGAGAGTGATTTTGAAAATAAAAATTTTGAAAACAATAAAATAATTATAAAAAGTTATTTAATATTTACCCGCGAGATATAGTGGTGCCGCTCTTATTTAGAGCTCTCCTGTGACACTTTTTATATAGTTGGTTCTCCTTACCTCTAAAGTCCATATTTCCATGTTTTACGCATTTTAGGTTATAATAGTTTTTTTTTTTTTTTTGATAATGGTGCATTACCCTTTAATGCAAGTGGTAATATTATAATCGGGGACAAACCTCTACCAAATAAAACACCTTACTCCCCCAAATTCCTGTCAAATGATTCTAAATCCAACCCCAGCCCATTTCTATTACAGCTTACTAATCTGTTGGGCTATGGCAGTTACTCTGTTTTTATTATGGATACTCATTTCTCATTTAGTTTATCCTGATAAACCACACACAAACAAAGAACAGAGGAACCTCGAAAATAATCCTCTCCATAGCTCACTTAGCAACATTGAACTTTCTCATACAGCCAGCAGTGAAGGAGCATGTCTCAGATCCATAAGTCATTAACAATTAAAATAATCATTAACAGTAATGTTATGACAAATATAGTAATAAAGACTGAAAGAATAAACACTGACATGTATATATAAATATATATATATATATTATAAAGATAAAGGTAAGTATGATAAATAAACGGAAATTACCTGATATTGGTACTAACCTATTCCTCTTTGTGTGCAACATGTATGTGTGACTTGCCCACCAACTAAAATACCAGGCTGAAAGTACATTGATGTGCCAGTCTCACTAAGTTCAACCCTCGTACCGTTTGTAATTTTATCCAAGAGACGTATTAAATTAACTTCATACTCTCTGAGACCAGGATCATCGTGTGTACTTCGAATATCTTCTATTTTGATTGCACGTCCGCTCAAAATTGATAGAAGAACCCTTTGACGGAATAAATTACTACCTTTATATACAAGGACATCGTTCTCTATTATTGCTGGCATTTATATATATTAATTTTAATATTGAACAAAATATTCAATTAAAATTATTGTAAATATAATGCTAAGCACCAAATATAACACAATACACCTTCGATACACGAACACGTGCAAATGACATTGACAATAACTGCGGTGGTGCTGCCATCGTAGAAATCCGAGTTGGCGTAGGTCATAGCCTAGTTTGTCGTGATTTAAGGTAAAAGTTACTAAATTGCCGTATTTTTAATTAGTTATTTACTTTCAAGATGTATATACCTCATCGGTTCCTTATTACATTTACTACTTCAAGTTCACGTTTATGAAGTGTGTATTACTTCTAATTTTTTTACAAACTACTTACTCCAAATATTTTATTTCCATATATTTTTTTTTAATTTATAGCAACTTTTATATGAATGGTAAATATAATAAAAGTTTTCTTTTTTAAATAATCTAATAGAAATCACTCACATGACACATACAATCTTAAACACGTGTCTAAGAACACGTTTTAATATATCACTATCTATACAAATAAATAAAATTGAAGTGTCTGTTTGCAATGTCAAGAAAAAGAAAAGTTATTCGGATATAGGAGAATATCAATGGATACGTTTGATCATATATTAGAATGCATAGTGAATTGTCTTACAAAATAAATTCTTCTACATTTATTTTGGAAGACAATATTACAACGCACGTGGTTAGCTCGTTGTGGTTTGAGATACCCGCACCTTGCGATGTTAGCCGCTTGCCACCCGCGCACTCACTGCGGGTGCGGCCAATTGTATTAACAAGTAAAGGTGGGCGAAACTGTTATATTTTTCTAATTCGTTATGTTGTTGTAATATATTTTTCTAACTGTTGTTTTAAACTGTTATAATATATTATAACAGTTTCAAATATTACATTGTACACGCGGTTAATTTAGTTCAGTTGTCGGGTGTGTTAGCGTTTTGTTGTATGTTGTTATAACGATTATAAATATTATAAATATTAAATGATTATAAGTATTATATAATATTTATTTATAGCTCAGGACCGTGCTTTGTGGCATTACTTGGGGGAGGCCTATGTTCAGCAGTGGACTTGTGAAGGGCTGTAATGATGATGATGATGATGAAAAGTATTATATGAAGACAAAAAAAATATTTTTAAGTTGTATTAGCATCATTTGAGTGTTTCATGTTTTAAAAGAGAATTATTTAAAATATGTATGTTAAGTTCAATGAACTTCCCTTCCTACTTTTTACAAGCTTAGGACTGTCTGAATGTATGTTAAGCTGTGTAATTATTGTATCTGTTTTTAATTATTTACTTATATTTTCAATTTAAGAAAAATAACTCATTCAGGCGTAGTTAGAAGCTCATTGATGTTATGTACATTTTGATTGGATTTTCACATTATTTACACTGTGGTCAAGGTTTTAGTTATCTACAATTATATACATTTTTTCAGTTACTATTCAAAAATATTATTTGGTTTACTTTTGACGACGTAAGCCTTGTGCGTCTATCCGATATTAAATCCGAACGGCAAAACTTTTCATACACTCCTACGTGTCTTTGCTTAAGATGAAGCTTTAAATTTGTAATTGTACTTTTGAAAGATAAAGTTTTTTTTTTAATTTCACATTTTTTTTTTGCGTCCACACTTTGGACTATAAAATAGTTCCAAATGGCTGCGCAACGCTAAATTCTATTTATACAACACACTAAATTCTATTTATATTACACAAAATATTTAAAATTACTTTAGGAATAAAACTTAATTAAAAATAAACAAAAACAACAATAGCTTTTTCACCTGCTATCAAAACATTACGTTACATATACTTATTAATTTAACAGATAACAGTGTCATCATTAATTACTGTGTATATATTAGAGAGTGTCATTGTCACCTCAGCTAGACAGCTAACTGAACACTAATATATAACAACAGCCAAAAAATTAAATAACAGGCACAACATGCAACAGCTAGCAATGAAGGAAATAATATATTTTTATTTACCGTTATAATTTAGTGTTAGTAAAATAAGCTCTTATTACGTTAGCTTACAGTTTAAATTAGTGTAAGCTATACGCAATCTTTGTGGCATAATGAATGTAGTATTTTATTAACTCCCATTGAAGTGCCGCGTCTCGGCCGAAGGCTGTAACGTAAACGTAAACAGATGACGCTTTCTAACGATAATGAATATATTATAACAGTCAATAGTTCATTATTCTAATGTGTTGTAAGATTCTCAAAAATTTTCAAAAAATTCTTACTGACGCATAAGTATAATATTGTTACGAATTTGTGTACAAAATACTCGTCTGACAGGGTCATATGGTCTACGTTCTTTGACTGCTTTAATTTGCAAATAGTAACAACTACAACTTTATGAAACTCAAAGTCAAATAAATTAAAATGAGTTTTGAGTTTTGGCGAAAGCTTTACCACCGATGGATTCTTACGACTTTCACCATTGATAGTTGGTATTGTACTATCGTTTAAATAATGGATTGAAGTGGATTTTGAAACATAAAAGTGATGCGATTTTATGTATTAAATATTTGCGCATGGTAGAGGAAACGACGAAACCAATGCTCCGATGATAACGTGAATCTCATGTTTTAGATTATCTATAACAAGGAATTTATTATGAAATTCAGACAGTGCCTTTCCAGTATCTCACGGAATAATATATTTGAAGACAAGGATGTCCGCATTTATTAACTTCATGAAAATTTAATCCAACTGCAGAGAGGTGTAAGACAGGGTGACGTTATATCCCCGAAACTCTTCACCGCTGCATTGGAAGACGTTTTCAAGCTACTGGACTGGAAAGGATACGGTATTAATATCAATGGCTAGTACATCACTCACTTTCGATTTCTCGACTATATAGTCCTTATGGCAGAATCGCTGGAGAACCTAAGCACTATGCTCAATGACCTCAACGGTGTCTCCCAACGGATAGGTCTTAAGATGAACATGAACAAAACAAAGATCATGTTTAATGTCCATGTCACGCCTATGCCGGTAGTTGTGGGAGCACTTTGCTCGAAGTTGTTGACGAATACGTTTATCTGCGACAAATAGTCCGGCTACGTAAGTCCAGCTTCAACCGAGAGAGGTCAATCGACGGATTCAACTCGGCTGGGCAGCGTTCGGGAAATTACGACGCATCTTCTCGTCAGGTATACCTCAAACTCTGAAAACTAGATTGTACAACCAGTGTGTGTTGCCAACGATGACTTACGGATCTGAGACGTGGTCCTTCACTGCTGGCCGTATGAGGACGCTCAAGGTCGCTCAGCGAGCTGTGGAGACGGCTATGCTCGGAGTTTCTCTGCGTGATAGACTTATGAATGAGCATATCCGCAGTAAAACCAGAGTGACCGACATAGCCCAACGAATTAGTAAGCTGAAGTGGCAACGGGCCGGCCATATAGCTCGAAGAACCGATAACCGATGGGGAAGAAAGGTTTTCGAGTGGCAGCCTCGTAGTGGTAGGCGTAGCCCCCCTAGATGGAGTGACGACCTGGTAAAACATGCAGGAAGTCGATGGATGCAGGTGGCTCAGGACCGTGCTTTGTGGCATTACTTGGGGGAGGCCTATGTTCAGCAGTGGACTTGTGAAGGGCTGTAATGACGATGATGATGATGATGATGAAACTTTAATTACGTTTATGATCTTTGCTTTCCTACATTAAGAATTAACATAAAAATTCTACTCCGCAACAAAATGGATTATAAAAGGTATTGAAAAGTCTCAAAAAGAATATCATTTTCCTTATTTTTTTAAAATAAAATGGTAGGAAGGTATACGTCAAGCCTTATCGCAAAATTTTAAAATCTTGTATCATTAAAGACAAAACAATAATACGGAATATACCAACAATATTTTATTTCCTAAAGTAAAAAATAAGTGTGAACCAACCTGGAACCTAATCAAAGGGTTTTCAAATGATTTACGGCGAAATATAGACATTAATTTGATTTACAATAACGAAACATTGAATAGAAGAAAAATAGAAATCGGAAATAACTTTAACAGCTTCTTAACAAATTTGACTAGCAAAACGAATGTAAAAGCTAGTTTTTTTCTTGGATAAAATCCCCCAAAGCTTTACAATTTACAATAAGACTGTATCACCAAGTGCTTTGCCTGCCTTAATTGGCGAAATGTTATAACAAAAAGTTTAAAATGTCAAATGACCGAATCATAGAGTATTTTATTTTTTATAACCAAGAGACCGAATGTCAATTCAAATGCCATGACATAAACTTTTTTATAAGAATTTTCAATTATTGCATTCATCCCAAAATACTAAAATAAATTGTGAACTTACTCATACTTTTGTATATACCTAAGTGAAGATAATGAAGGCATCCGTCGGCGACGTAGTCTTGCCAGGCGACTATTGCGAAGAAATATCCGCCGTTGGCGAAAAAGCAAAAGTTATAATTGGACCAGGTCTTCAAAAGGAAATTGACCATGTTTACGTTACAAAAGCTGGAATTTTGAAGAAAAGAAATCCAAATACGTACTGGGTAGATAACTACCAGAAGCGATATATACCAGCGAGAGGAGAAAATGTTATAGGAGTAGTAGTTCAGAAAGCTGGGGATATATTTAGAGTCGACGTAGGAAGCAGCACAACTGCAGCATTATCCTACCTTTCTTTCGAAGGCGCTACAAAGAAAAACAAACCAGATGTACAAATAGGCGATGTCGTCTACGCAAAGATGCTTGTTGCTAGCAAAGATATGGAGCCAGAGTTAGTCTGTGTCGATTCACACGGGAAAAAAGGTCGAATGGGTGTTTTATCCGACGGCTTTGTGTTCAAGTGCTCGCTCAATCTAATTAGGAAGATTTTAAATCCTCATTGCCCTTTACTTGAATCTTTGAAAAATGAATGGCCATTTGAACTTGCTGCAGGAATGAATGGAAGGATATGGATAAAAGCCAATACCATGCGAGAGACAATCGCTTTAGGAAATGCGATCCTTGGTGCTGAATATCTAAGTGATGAGGAAATAAAGTCTATGTGTACAAATATAGCCACTATCTTAGCTGGTCATGTATCATGAAGATTGTTCTTTTATAAACACTGCATTTGTACATAACACTATTTTTACATTATTGATATAACATTTTACAAAATCATTTCTTTTCCTACATAAGGATTCATTGCTACATCTGTTTTAAGTCAATTATACATGAATGGGCAGTATGGTATTTGGAGATTTTAGTTTCAGATCAAAAATTAATCTGTAATTTTATAA